TCGACAAATTTTATAAAAATTTTGGTCAACTAGGAGATGCAGTTTACAATGAAAGAGAAGATTTTGTGTGTGAAGTTGAGGAAGATTTCTCCATCATAAAAAAAATGAACGACGATTACGAGATAGAGGATAAAGCATTGGGCATGAGATTTTGCTCCGAGTGCAACAACATGTTGTATCCAAGAGAAAACCGATTAAACAAGACTCTAGAATTTAAATGTAGACACTGTGATAATAGAGAAGCTGTAGACACCTCCGATTATGTTGTATATAAAAACGATATCAAAGCTGCCAAAGATATCCAGTGGAGTAATATTGATTGGGCAGAACTGACTAAAGATCCGACTCTGCCTCGGGGAACTGTTGGTGTAGGTGCCTGTAAAAACTGTGGTAATGGCGAAGTCGTGTATTTACAAACAGGATTTGGTATCATCAAAGAAAACCAAGGCGGTATGAATTTGTGGCTAATATGTACCAGATGCAACCATCGCTGGAAAAATCAGCTATAGAGAATCATAGTAACAACAACAATAGATCGGTCCTCAGAACAAAGCTAATTGACATGAGTATTTATTGTATTCGTAATTATTTATCACTATTTATGACTTGCAATGTTTCTAGAGACTTTCGATATGATTAATAAGCATCATCTTTCCGAATCACTCCAGCTAAATACTGGATCTAGAGTAAAATTTCTAACTTTTTGTAATGAATCAGAGGATTATTTTAAGGTGGACAACATGTCATTCATTTATAATATATCAGAGCTACTGACTCGTCTCAATCAAGATCCTTTGGCTTAGCCTCCAAGAACAGTTGGACCATGACATTTGCCACTGATAGAACATTGACTGAGTTTCCCATCAATTTATATTGTTGCTTGATCGAAAGCTTTGAGGAAGGGCAAGAAAACCAAGGAGTAAAGGTCATCAAGCGGGCTACTTCAATAGGGTGAAGAAACCGTATTCTTCCCAACCCGGTCAGCGTCTCAATGTTCTCAAAGTCAATACTTTGAAAAATTTTCTCGACATCTACATCCAAATATGTGTCGTTTAACAACAAAACTAGAGGTCCAGTTCCTCTGAGAAATTGAGTTTGGCCGTACGACTTTGTAATGCAACTGCAGACACGCTTTAATGGAGCAGTGTCTTTGGAGTGGTTGCTCTTTTTCAAAATCAAGTCGTACCGATAACCTTTGATTTTAGCAAGATGTTTTTGTTCCACAAAAATCATATCTCGTTCATATAGTTTTTCTTCTTCAGAGGTTAGCAATATCGAAGAAAGATTATAGAGATCCAAAAAAGTTGCTTGCTTTCCTTGCTTTTCTAATTGATCAATTTGTTTCGGGTGATTAAAAACTCGGTCATAATCAAGAAGAGGTCGTAATTGATTATTTTCAGATTTTAAAAACATGTAATCAGGAAGGCAAGTCTGTAAATTCAGTGGGATTTCTATCATTTGAGAGATTTCAGTAATGTTCACAGCATTTTCAATGTTGAATTCTACTCTTCGTCCTATAAGATAATATCTCACACGCTGATTGGGAAGGCCTAACTGAGTTGGGCATAAAAGAAATTCCTTAAATTGATATCCATGGTTTGTTAACTGGTTCACTAAATGTTGTCTAGTTTTCGATATCTCAAAATTTTTGACATTTTCAACAAATATATAATCCGGCAATATTTTAGGGAAAAGTTCGCTCATTAAATATAAAAAACTTCTTGTTCTATCATCTTCATTGTCTTTTCTATTTCCATTGAGTGTAAAGGGTTGACAAGGAGGAGACATTGTCCACAAAATTTTTGAGAATGTTTCCATCTGAGAGTAATTTTCGCTGAGTTTTTGCTTCTTTTGAGACTTTTCAAAGGTAGATGACGAATTTGAATATTGTTCTTTTCTCTTTTCCAAAATTTTCTTAAAGTATTGTCTTTCAAAATCACAAATTGGAATATGAGCAATATCCTTTGCACAAGGTTCGTGTCCAAATAAATGTTTGTATAGTATATTTGCATTTTCGTTGATATCAAATGCTCCAATCCATGAAAATTTAATTTTGTTCGGAATGACAACAGATAATCCATCATTTGAAGGGTTCTTATTCATAAAAAATTGTTCAATAAACGCTTCAATGAGTTCTACGGCCATTTTTGTTCCTCCGATTCCACTATAAAACTCTGCAACATGAATTTCAATTTTTGAATGATTTGTTGTTTTTGTTGTACCTTCGGAGTCTGTGGATGATGATTGAATGCAATTCTCAATTTGAGACATTTTTTAAAGTTCAACGACGCAAAAAAAATGAACACAAATGAAGACGTTGTAATGAATAGTATCAACCAAACATTGATGACCCACTCAGAAGCTTTCGGAATCATCTTTAAACATATTGAGAATTTCTCAAAAACATTGGACGGATTATCTAACCACATCAATAATCGGAAACAAAAGGTAAAGTCAGTTAAATTAGTCTCCGACAGCAACCAACCAATTAAACCTAAACAACCTCTTCCTCCAAAAACAACACTCATAGAACAAACTCCATCCCCTGCACATCCTTATCGAACTGATGGACCATCAAACCAAATATCTAAAAACAAAAATATTACACATCCAACAAACAAATCGAAAATCAACAATCAAAATAAGACAACAAACTTCATCACCAACACAAACCTCACCAAACCAATTGAAACAAGCACAAACCTCATCAAACCAATTGAAACAACTTCAAAGCCCCAAAGTCAACCCCAGCTTCAATCTAAGAGCCCACCTATCAACACCAGCTTCAACCTGAATGAATCGCAATCGTCATACTTGCAAATAGCCAAGACAGCCAAGAACATTACATTTGATCCAACAAAAAAAACTCCGCAAATCAAATCCTACAATACAACAACAACCATGTACCCTCCTGCTAAAAGAGCTAAAACAATTAACTATTCTCACTGTGTATCTATTTACCTCAGTAAGCATATCGACTCAGACATCACTGAATTTATTACAGATGCAGTCAAAGAAAAACTTACATCATGGTACATACCTAACGACAAGACGCACGTACTCCAACTTGTCTGTAACAATCATGAAGATTATGTATCAACCTTGGGAATTTTAAACTCACAATCAACAAGAGACTCCAGTCCATTCAAATACGTTGTGACTCCTATGAATTTCTCACCAGCTGAACACACCCTCAAATATCATACTTCATCATATGACGAGATGATGAAGTATACTACCACATTATCAAAAATTTTTGGAAAAGAACTAATGGAGTTAAAGAAACTAATACCAGTTATGACAGAGTCCAAAAGCTTTATAAAATCAGAATAGCAGTTGAATCTCTTGAAGATAAAGAATATTTTATGGCAAGGAAATATTCTGAATACCGATCCATTGACCAGATCATAACAGAATCTAAGCTTAACTGCTCTTGCAATTTTTCATCCCTCTACACAGAGAAAGATATCAAAACTGCGATACAAAAGATGGTGGAAAAAAGCAACTGTGTCTTCCAATCAAACCACTTAGAGATTATTAACAAACCTAGCCCATATCGCCCTGGAGAGCATTATTATATAGCCAATTACAAAGCAACTAATGTTGCAGAATTGGAAAAAATTACAAAATTCCCAACAAGTATCACTCCACCAAATGGCACAAAACCAACCTCAAAAAACTCATATCTACAACCAAATATTTGGTAGAAAAATTCAAAAACAACAAGAAAACGAAGTGACTGGTGCAACCAATAATTTCCAATTCAATAATGACCTCTCAGCATTAGAAAAGAATCACAAATCACTTCAAGTAGAATGTACTGAAAACTCAATCAAACTGGAATCACATTCTAAACAAATACAAAACATCACCAATACACTAACAGACCACACAAAATCCATACAGACCATTTTTGAAAAACTCAACGAAATAGCTTCCAAAATGGAAAATATTGAATTACATTTGACAAAACCGTACCATCAATTAATTCATGAATCCAAGGATGATGTAGAAGATGAAGATGATGAATCTTATCACCCAAAACCAAATGAAAATAGTGATGATGAAATGGAATATGACGAAGAAGAAGATATAGTAGAACCTAGAAGAGGTGATAAACCTCTTGGAAATAAGAACAATTAAGTCACCAAAATGTAATTTGAAAATTGGCTGTTTTAACTGCAACGGGCTCATAAAGACAGCCACAAAAGAAATATTGACAAATGAAATCAAAGGGATGTGCTACAATCATAACATCCAAATCATGTCAATTACTGAAACACACTTAAAAACATATGAAGATCAAAAAGAAGCCTATAACAAAGGGAATGGAAGTATCTTCTTTAATTCACTATTTGGAGCAAGAAAAAGCTCAAAAGGGAACAGCTCTCTTCCATATTCTTAACAACAAAAGAAAACGATTCATATCCAACGAAAATCTAATACAAGGAAAACTTCAATGGACAAGGTTTTTCTCTAGAAACAAACCTATTAACATCATTACGGTTTATGCTTCATCTGATGGTGAAGATGATGATGAAATAATCAACATTATTATTCACCTTCTACTAAAATGTGAAAATGAATTCAACATTGTGCTAGGAGATTTCAATATCAACACAAGGAAACCACAAAATTCGAGAGAAAAAGAATGGAAAGAACTTATTGAGTGTTTCCAACTCAAAGAACTAATCATCCCAGAGAATTACACATACGTCAGAAAAGTCATCAACTCAGTTCAAAAATCACGACCTGATCATATCTTCGTTTCTAACAACATCAGAATAATCAGAGAAGTTATTTTACCACCAATATCCAAAAATGATCATCTACCGTTCTATATTGACATTGAGTTCGAAACAGACTATTGTTGGAGAAACTTCATCTCTAGGAAAGATATGAATCAAATCTCAACAACATTGAACGAATCACACTATGATTCATTTGATGCACTTCAGAAAGACATATCAGAAATGGTTAACAAATTTTCTTTCAAAGACGATAAGACCAATCTCAAATACATTAACACAATCAATAAGAAAGAAATCAAAACCAAAGAAATAGAACTCCTCCATCTTGTAACACAAGGAAAAGGTCAAAATATCGAGGAAATTGAAAAACTAAGAAATAATATCAAAGTACTATACAAGGAAACTGGAGCTGATATCAAAGCAAAACTAAGTGAAAATTTCAACAAACATGACAGCTCAATGATTTACCAGTTTGACAAACATCTAAAAGAAAAATCAATAGATTGGAAAAATATCCAATTCTCTGAAGAAGAAATTGTGCATCATTTTGAAACAAAATTTACCTCAGTATCCAAATCATCAGACTTTGAAAATCCACCATCAACCGTCAAGAAAGGACCGAAAATACCACAAATAAGCCTTAAAACAATTAAAGAGGCGATATCGAGAATGAAATCCAACACACCCGGTCTAGACTCAATATCCTTCCAAATTATACGTAATCTCAAAGACGAACATCTACAACTTATTGCTGACCAATTTGAAAACTGCATTCAACAAGGTAATATCCCTGAAGAATGGAAATCTGGTTGGGTTAAATTACTCCCTAAAAGAGACATTCAAAAACTAAATGATATTAGACCCATAACCATTCTCCCAATATATTACAGAATACTTTTCAACATAATTGCATACGAATTAAGACAATGGGCTTCCAAACACATCAACTTAAGGCAACAAGCATTTATTTCACACAGAAACACAATGAATCACGGATTATTACTTTCATCTCTAGCCAAAAAGAACAAGTCGTCATTCCTTTTGGTAAACTTAGACATCGAAGGCGCCTATGATTCCGTTGAAGATCATATCATTGAAAAAGCTCTCACTCATTGTAAGTTTCCAGATGAGTTGAAAACTTTTATACTAAACTCATACAAGAGTCAAATATTACAGCTAGAAATTGATCACCATCTCTCTAGACCATTCACAAAAACAAGAGGAATACCACAAGGATGCCCTTTAGCTCCTCTTATATATGATTGTATTACTCAACTCATCATTGACAAATGCATACAACAATGGAAAATTTCAATCAAACCAACCAAGCTTAATATTAACGATATTGGTTTGCTCTGCTTTGCTGATGACATTAATTTAGTTTCAAACAGATACTGCAATTATAACGAAAGACTTGATAATATCTCTAAATGGCTCGGCCAATTAAGTCTAAAAATTAATCCTTCAAAATCCATGGCAACCACTCTCCCAACTAAAAGCAAAATGAAGCCAATGATAGACGGTACTATTATACCAAGATTCAAAAACCTTCGAGTACTTGGACACTATCCTTGGGATGACTCTACTTTAAATGAAGATATTGAAAAAAGAATCCTCCAATTTCAACTCTCACTCAAATATATTCCACTGAAAAGAATGGAGATAACAAACATTAAGAAAGTAATTTTTGCCAAATGCACTAGCTTATTTACACACATTTTACGAACAAATTACATTCCTGAATCACTTGTTGATAGAATTAACATTGAAGTAAGAAAAGCAATAAGAAAGAAAATTTTCATGCATAATGCTAGTCCAACAAACTATTTTCACCTCCCAATCACCTATGGCGGACTTGGTATTCCAAGATTCGATATCTTTGCAGATGAAATTCGAATCAAAACAGCCCTGTATCTTATTAACAATGATAATGAACTTCTTAGAGAAGTATATTCAGAAGGAATCAAACACGAAAATTCGATTTTTAAGGAAATGAACAGATCAATGAAGAAATACAAGATCAGACCTCAACAATTTAACAATGACGAAATCTTTCCAAAACTCAAAGGAAAGAATTTTACTATTTACACTGACGGATCAAATCTCAACAACTCAACAGGTTTCGGCTTTACCGCCAAAGTTAACAATTCCCAAGAAACCCAAGATTTCTCATACAAAATTAACAGCGAATACTCACATAACGTTGCTGAATTATCAGCAATACTCACATCACTAAAGATACTTCCACCTAAATCTAAGGCAAAAATTCACACAGATAGTGAAATATCCATCCACGTTTTGAAAAACAAAGCCTATAACGGAATTTTTAACTGCTTCAAGCATGAATATCAACAGGTCATTCAACAATCCAATCTAAATATTCAACTAATCAAAGTTAAAGGTCATGTCAACAAAGGAAACATCAAAGCTGACGAATTAGCTAAGAAAGGAGCTCAAGAGCACAGCTATTTTGACATTAAGAAGCTATTTTCGAACCAAACCATCCTTGCCACATCTAATACCATTATTTTCGACATCAAAAATCCATACAAAAGAAAAGATATGATGTAATGTTTAGCCAATTTGATAGAGATAATTCCAGTCTACACCTTACCAAGAACTGGTCATCTATCAATCTAAAATTCATCAAATCTAAAATTGACACAAATACTAAGTGGTCAATCTGGAGAAACTTAACAAGCAACCATATCAAACAACATAAGGAAAGACAATGCGCTCACTGTAAATGCCCCGGAACTCTAAAACATTTCATATACTATTGCCCTAATACTCAATGCTTTAGGGATTTTTTCTACACTAAATTCCTAGATATTACATCAATGCAATGTATCCTCAACGATTATCAAGAATCAAGATACTGTGAAAGAAGGAAAGTTTTCATTATTCATCATGACGGAGTAATGATTCGAGATACTCAAATGCCCAACTTTAAAAATTTACCAAATATTTACCAAAATTGGCCTGAAATCCAAACAATTCTCACCCTACTAGTTGGTAAATGTCACACCAAGTATTATGAAAACTCAAGGTTTAAAAAACCAATTCAAAAACAAACCCCAATCCTCACGGATTTACCAGCACCAGTGGTGCTAACAATAAACTAATTAGATTTTTTAAAGTTCAAGAATGCGCAATCACAAAAAAAGAAGCATCAATGATGTTGGACTTGCAGGAGACGACTATTGACGTTCAATCAGAGTGTCGCTGCGGCTTAAGAGTAAGACCATGGGGATTTTGTTTTCACGCCGAACTCGAGAGGAGCACACCAAAGAGAGTGTTTTCCTATTCCTATCATTCGTACGTTTGCCGAATAAGATAGGAACCGAACATCAACGCCTGTTCCATTCTTTCCTTGTGTGATAGGACCATTGTTGTGGTTTTCATATTTTTTAATTAATTTTTGTTGATGAGAGCGAATATTGGCGGTGATAACGTAATTGCTAGAAGCGCAAATTGCTTTGGCCAAATATTCGGAACTAGTGGATTGTTTTGTTGTCGCACACACAAATGATGGACTGACGAGAAGAACCCATCGTCATCAAGTTCAGCAAATCACTCGAGTAACATTCAGACTGAAAAGAAATGAACTCCTTTTGAACACAAGTTCATTGATGTGAGGCCTCTTCTCGTTTTATTTGTGTTGAGCAATGTTTGAGCGTTGGGAACTTTAAAAATTAGAGTTCCTTGACTTCAGGCTCTTTCGCAAATTTTGAGTGAAGAAAAAAGTCTTGACGTAACATTGAAACAACAACAACAAATGGCCACTGCAATCACAGTTCAGAAATTGCTGCTCGAAAGGAAATACTCTCCTGAATACATTGAACAATCGAGAGCATACAGTTGTGTACATTCGTGTAAAATGTCTCGAGAGCATTCCAAGAATAACAAATTCACTCAACATTATTCTTCATCCATACTTATGGAAGGGGAGAAATTGCGACTTTCATTTGAAAATCTCAGTGATCAATCCACACACATCATCATCATGTTTGTCGATGATAGGCGGCGAGTGTTTAGTTTATTTCCATGTTTCACAGATTTTTGGGATGTGATGAACTTTCATCACGTTCCAGGAGGAAATCATTTGGTCGTTCAAATTGACACAGGATCATTACCCTTTCAAAAGATGCTGTCAACAATGGCTCTACCACCACTGTTCGAAACTTTCAAATTATTTGCTGCTCGGTAGTGAAAACGATTAAGCAAGAAAATAATGGTCATTCGCTTTCTTTTGAGACAAGTTATGAACCTGTGTTTCAACATTTTGACTTTTCCATTCCAGTTAGATCCTAATGGATTCCTCATTCCCATTCATTTACCTCTCTTCCCTAATTTATTGTTCCATCCTAATTGTATTCCCCTTGTCATCTCAAACCCCTAATAAATCCCACCATGATGTCCTTATCGCGATATTCTCGATACACATCTATATCGTTGAATGGAGAATTTCCAATATCCTTTTCATCGAGGGAAGCCATCCTAAATCGATCTCGTCTTAAAGGAACAGAGCATGTGAATTGGTAATATTCCTTCAATGCTTGAATTCTCTCGAAGGGATGACATTATTTATACTCTTAATTTGATTGATTTACATTTGTGGCAAGTTTATTCTTCAAAGGAGGAACCAACTTTTTTCGTTTTGAAGTGCTTGTGTAAAGTTCCATGTAGAAAGTGTGGAAGGTCGATCAAAGGTTCTTCATTCTTCTTGCAAAGTGCCTTGAACGCTCTTTGGTTTAATTATTTCTCAAATAATGAGATGGCATCCAAGTGAACATGGAATTCCAACTTTCATTGCCTTTTGCATATGTGGAAGTAACAAGTAAGAGCAATTGTGCATTTATCGATACCAATACCTCAGTACATTATTTTCACAAGAAACTGATAAGGTTTTGAAATCAAACAACTCCCTTACTAAAGAATCGTTAGAACAAATATACATTAATAACAATCAATTTATTTTTGATGATTGGTGGAATAAACTTTCTTGGATTGAGGTCTTCGATGAATTTACCTGGATACTTCCAACTTGGCATGCTCATTCATATACTTCATCACAACTTCCTCAAAGTATTGTTGGCCAACAAGTTGATAATTCAACCTGTTCACATACATTAAGTACAACTTGTTGTAAAAATGTTTATTTTGGTACAGATATCTGAGGGTTGTGTTCCGTTTTACTTTTGGTGGTGTGGCATTGGCTTTCTCCTCCAGATAAATCTGGGGAAAAGGAATGGAAGCAATCCTTCTTCGGCAATGAGTGGAGCAATTAAACCAGTAGCTCCCGTAATCATCTTAAAGCTTTTTGCTAAAGCACCAAAAATGCCAAGCACACCTCCTTCCCTAATGAGATCAAATGATCCAATGACAGCAACAGCAAAGAAGTGAGTAATAAGTCCATGAGGTGAACGCCAGATTCCACTAATGAGAGAAAGTGGTCCAGTTTGACAAATACCTCCCTTCTTGAAATATTCAAAAACTGCTCTACGCATAATACTCATACTGTCATTCTCTGAAAGTGAAGGAATAGGTTCGTTACGTTTGAATGCTTCCCAATTTCTAGCACCTCCAGGTGGAGCAAAAATGCTGTATAAAGCATTTGCAAGTATGTTGATGGTGTTAGCAACCTTTGCTCTGTTCTTGTAGAATGTTGCAATTGCATTATCAACTTCTGCCACTGATGACAGGTCTTTAGCATTAATGATTGCTTTAGAAAGCTCCTTGCAATCTGAGAAGGTAACTGTCATACCACCACCAGTGATAGGATGTCTACAATTCATGGCGTCTCCGATCAAGACAACGCCCTTCTTTAAGAGAGTGTCTGGAGTTTCACCTGGAATTTCTCGATTTTGAACAACCTTAATTCTGTCAGCATCAACTTCGGCCTTAAAGGCATCATGTACTTGAACAGGAAGATGAGGCATAATGTATTGCAACAAATACTTTGCCATTTCCTCTCCTCTCTTTGGTAACTTGTTAGAATCTCCATCAGGGAAGTCAATCAAACATCTGACAGAAGATGTGCTGTTTGGATAAAGCAAGCATGGAGCGTCAGGTAATAAGAAAACATTACCATGTCCAGGTTTTGGCAACTTATCTGCACAGTTTGGTAATTCCAATCCAATGAATTGAGAAACAACCAATGGTTTGTTTCCGCTACCGATTTTGTCAGAACGAACTTGTCTTGTGAATGAGCTACCAGCTCCATTGCATACAATGACCATATGGGCAGAGACAGACACAGTTTGATCTCCTTCCTTATACTCTACACCCTCAACAAGGCCTGGAGTTTTTTCGATCAATCCAGTGACAACTCTTTGTATCATCTTAGCTCTGAAAGCGTTTGTGATCATAATTAGTTGACATAAGTTTAAGATTGGAAATTCCGTTATTATACTTACCCATCTTTCTCACAAGCTCTTCTCAAATTCATGATAAATCTACCATAGTGGAATGCTCTTCCTTCAACTTGTGGATAAGGTAAATGGACAGTTTCATCCCTATAGAAAACTTGATACCCCTTAACAGTCGCGGCCTCAATACCTTCGAGACAATGGCCTAGGCCTAGATCTTTCAAGTGTTGAACACCTCCTGGTTGAAGCAATTCTCCAATGATACGATCAGGCTCACTCATATCTCTTTCGATAACCAAAACTTTCTTATTAGCCTTAGCAAGCACAGATCCAAGAGCACAACCAGCAATACCAGCTCCAACAATGATGATATCGTAATCCTTATTGGTGATTGAAGGTTTTGGAAGTGAGAACATGTACATCATCTTGTTAATGAGCTTCTTCAACATGTAGAAAGTAAGGCCAGCTCCAGTCATTCCAACAGCAAGACTAAGCTTGCGTTGTTGATCGCTTGGAAGGTTAATTCCCAACATTTTAGAGAGAAATTGATTGCTAATGGTATCAACAGAAGCATCAAGAGTTTTAGAGAAAGTGCTATGCAAAGATTGCAACAGCGTTGGATTAGTAGTGGTTGTGGAAGTTGTACTTGAAGTGTTCGTAGTGGTAGTAGTAGTTGTAGTTTTTGGAGTAGAGGTTGTAGTGTTGCTTGTGGTAGTAGTTGCTGCTGGCTTTGTAGAGGCCGATGATGGTTTCATAGGTGCCATGATGAAAATTATTGAAATATCTAGATTTAATAATTGTGGTAATTAGAAGTAAAGGAAGAATGAACAAACACACTCGGAATGAAAGTATCAACTATGGTCGAATGTGTACCGTGTTCGGAGAGTGAAAACTGGCGAGTCGTGCTTGCGTTACTGAACCACAAGAAAAGGCTTTTGTTAAATTTTTTGCGGTGCCCAACGATTTCTTAACGACCAGCAGACCGAAAGAATTTTCGACAAACATGTTCAATTCATGATTTCGATGTGCGAAGCTGGCTTCAAGTTGTTGGTAGTTTCATTTTCGGACTTATTTAGGGGTAATTCACCAACACATCCATTCGGCAATGTCTCAACCATTGTCCTCATGAATATCCCCTTTCGCGTTTTGTTTGAGAAAACTCGAGTGGGTCAAGTGGCACAACGTATCATTGAACTGTAAAAAAATCAAGAAGGCTGCTTGAAGAATTGGCCTCAAGGACAGAAAGAGATCTAAAGGACGAAGATGATCATCTTTGATCGATCGAATGCTTTTGACATTTAAAGTCCATGATCAACACTTCGCTACATTCTGTGAGAATAACAAAAGATGATGATTTTCACACTTTTCTGAAGAATTAACATTAGTTGATGAAGTTTTTCACTCGAACTTTTTGGGCGAAGGAGACTCTAACTACAAAAAAATTCTCCAACAATCACCCTTCACGTTACTAGCCATATACGAAATCATCAAAGCCATAAATTCAAAACACTAATAATCATGGGGGCAAAGGTTAAAATCACAGTAAAAAGTTGTAGAAATTTGCCCATCATGGATCGGAGCTCATCGTCCACCGATGCATATGTGATAGTTAAATTTGGGCCGGAGTATCAATTCAGAACACCTGTTTGTAGGAAAACTTTAAATCCTACTTGGAATATTGATGCTTGGAGATTTGAAGTACCAAATAACGATTACTTACAAGAAAATGTGATACAATTTAAAGTTATTGATTATGATGTTGTAACACAAGATGATGTGATCGGAACAGTAATTGTAGATACTAATTTATTAGCGCTAAACCAAGTTACTCAGTGCAGTGGATGGCTCCCAATTTTTGATTCAATTAGAGGCGTTTGTGGCGAGCTGAATGTAAATATTAAGATTGATTTTATTCAAAATATCAATCCATATAGAGATAGCTCGCCTGAGGTGCAGTTTTTCTCTTGCCCAAGTATTTATCCTCTTATGGAATACACTCAATACTCTTTGAGGATAGGAGATCTCGTAGAAGAGCTTCTCATTGACGATGACCCTGAATATGACTCATGGAAAGACCTTATAAGAAGCAGTAGAACATCAAATGACGAGAGACAGTTATTATTATATGAGTTATCTGGAAGATTAAAAAGAAGAATTGGAAAAAGGTTTTTGAAGCAGGAGACAATATTGTAATTGGATACGAAGAGTGTTTTGATTTGGAAGATGATAACATTATTGTACGAGGTTTAGGAACAAGATGTAAATTGAGCTCAATTAGATCATCTGTTTCTCCAGCACACAACACTGAAAAAGCGTTAATTCCTCTACAACTTGCATCAGAGCCCGCGATAACCTTATCCAGCATAACTCCTCCAATGAATATAATTCCTCTACTTGAGTTCCATGCATCTCCTACAGGAAACGCCCTTGCAAATATAGAATCTCCAACTGGAGCTGGTTTCAATACACCACAAAGTGATGTTAAATTACTTACAATCAAATCACTTGATTCTCAACATATCATATATTTAGCAGGAATTGTTCAAGCAAGATCTGTAAAATTAGTGACAACAGAGACAATGAAATTAAGTGACATGCAAAAGGAAAGAGATAGCTGGTGGAATGAGTTGCGTACTGAAATAAGAGAAAATGCAAAATCACTTGGATGCTCTCACGTGATTGGATATTCAGAAAGTTATGAAATATTTATTCGTGGATCTGTTTGTATTTTGTGCGCACAAGGTACAGCTGCTATTCTTAATCCACAATATGATATTTGTAACATTCGTAATCTGTCTGATGATCTTCATGAAGAGAATATCTCTGAGAAGGTGTCTGAAGAAAAGTATTGCTCCATTTTCCATCTTCCAAGAAATAGCCCTTTCTATAGAGCTGGTGCATCGAAATGCCCACTTCATGCAGATGGCTATGTTCCAAACTTATTCCTCTCCACATGTGAGATGCCTTCAATAGTTGAACAAAGAGTGCTTAATCAACCGAAACATTACATAGAGGCACGAATTTGTAGATCGAAGAAGAAAGAATTCGGAGAAAGCAATGCCACTGTTGTTAGCAACATTCTTCCTTTTGCAGTTCATGATTTGCACAAACAATTTATGAACAAGATGAAGCTTTGCAATTGCAATTCAGCATTTTGTGTGACCTATGGACTCACAATTAATGACAACTTTATTGTGCTGACTTGTAAGGGAACTGGAGTGTATCTTGATGCTCTTCCTAGAAATGCCAAGATGGACTTTATATTGCCTGACGAAAAAGATAACACAGAACAGTTAAAATTGCTTAAAGAGTATAGTGATTATTACGTAAGTATATTTTTAAGGGAACATTTGATTCATTGTCACGATCATAGTCTGCTGAACTGGATGCTTCTATTGTTGAAGAACCCCATTTGATACGAGAGCTTCAAGATGAGGAACGACAAGTCGACTCTCCAAGATTTAAAGACACTTTGGACAATAGCTCATATACTTCCTCTGATAACGAGGATGTTATTGGAGAAATGGGAAGTGCAGGATTTGCACTTGAATTAGAGGATGAACAGGATGAGGATTTCATAAATTCCATTCTCGAACCGTTATCACCGAATGGAATTCATTTTACAACACTCAAACACCAATCAGATATTGCCTCTAAACACATGTCTCATTTGCAATTTATTTTCCTAGAAAAGTCCTTCCCCCTTTCCAAAACAACGCACAATGTGAAACAGCAGCAACAGTACATTGCATCACTATTCAGAGAATTATACATTACACTTTCCTTCAAATTATTACTGTTTGCTAATCAAGAGCTCAATCAACGTGTTTATGTGATGGGAATGTCAGAAAAGATTAGATTTAACAACGCCAATGATTTCACAATCACTTTGCAAGCAATGCCTGTGCTTGTTTCATCGAAGCCTAGTACGCTGAGTCATTTAGATCAACTTAAATCGAACTTGCCAAAATTATTTCCTTCATTTCCATATCCTCATGATATTGGTGGATCAAGTGATCAGCTTTCGAACAGTCCAAGAAAAGGTAATCAACAATCTCCTCTCAACAAAAATCTTCCAATTAGTACTGACGATATGTTGTTTAACATGGATATGGATCAAAAGAGGATACTATTACTTCTTCAGAAGAATTGAAAAACATTAGGGATATTGTCATTGCTCAAGAGAATGATATTGACAAGGAGTGGCTTGAGGAAAGTTATGTTGTCACGTCACCAATGTATTTCATTCCTGGAGCAAAGATTGAAAAGTTAGTCGGCAAAATTAATCACCATCTTGTCAGAGAGTCTAACAATGTGATGGACTTTGCTTCTTTCCAACAAGAGTGCATTATGGAAGCAACATCAATTGTGCGAGCTCATACTAGAGCAATCGACTGTAATGCTCTACTCAATTATTGTGTCAAATTCCATGCAGTACTCGATAATCCGTCTAAAAAGCAAGCGTATATAATGCTCACAGTGTCAGGAGATGCTTGTAGGGTGTCATATTCCCCCAACTCCTCTGCAGGTATTCATAGATTGATAGAACTCTCATGCTCAAAATGAGAAGTAGAGGTTCATCAAGAAGTAACATATTTTCTTCTTTTAAGGTATACTTTCGTAACAATATCTAAGGAACTGCACTGATATCAATCCATCATGAATTAAATAGCAATTAAAACTTCAAAAGAGCCCTTTGTTTGTCACATCCACCAACACTGTTTGTTTTGCATTTCAACTCTCTACTGTGTTTATCCGACTGCAAACATCTAACAGTCAATCTTTTTAGTCATCATTACCACGACCACTGATCCTTCAGAGGAGAGCCTTCCACTTCCTTCCATATTCCATCCAACTTGGACCGAGTGGTTGACGGAATTAAAGTTCAATATCTCCCTTAATTGGAATAATAAACTTTTGCAAGTTCATGCGTCATTAAGCCGCTTCACGAAGGCCCTCCTCTAATAAACTTTAAAAAAATTACGATACGGATTCCAGTTGTTCTTCTTTTCTTCAATCAACAAAAACATTTCAAACTATTCATCTAGATGAAAAACTATTTCCGATATCCAAGCACGAGGCGGAAAGAATATCCTCCCACCATCACAACCGCTCGTTCAGCATATTGCAATGGAAAGATCCTTTGCACGATCGTCATCATTACACTCCTAGTCTTTGGTATTTTGAAGGATGTTCAAGGTCTCTCCCTACTAGGACATCAGGATGGACCACCACCAGGAAGTTATTGGAAATACTCTCAACCCAGAGCAATCACGACCTTAGTAAACACAGACAAGCCAAGAACAGTACTCAAATCATCCGTTCAATATCAACCGATGTATACTGGAATGAAGGTTACATTGGTGGGTAGTCAAAACAAATACTTTTACATTCGGGTGAATGATACCGACAAATCAGATCAGCACCTTGTGTTCGGTGCAAGTGTTGTCTCATCAACACGGCCAGATAATAGGTTCTCTCTAAGTATTGATGCTGATCCATGTGTTATTGGATCTTTTAGTTATCCCATTGATGTTGACCTTGATGGGGATTATCACCTTTCTGTCATCTTTCAAAACTGTAAAAACTACGACTATCCTTATCTCTATGTGACCGTGAGTTCTAATTTTCAGCCTCAAGACAAAGGAGTGGTTGAATTTGAGTTTGCACAAGAAAGGTACTCTGACAACACCATTATCATTACTGTTCCAAGTTTTTTGATACCGCTTACAGGTATTTCACTTGCTGGGATTGCTTTGATTTATGTCTTTATCAAAAAGAAGATGAGACAAACCATTAACAAAATTGTAGATGAATCGAACATTAAGAAGGAGGAGGAGGAAAAAAAGAAGCATGAAAGAGATGTAATTGCTAACGAAAATTCTCACAAGAAACCTTCACACATTATTCCTCAACCTCAACTTCCATCCACGATCCCACACCAAGTTATTGAGGTCAACCAAAAAAGGTACTGCTCCTCAGGCTCGAGAGGTTACAACAACATATTCTAATGAGGGTATTGTAAATTATGTGCAACCGCCAGTCTACCAACAACAGCAAGTGATAGATCAACCACCGCTTCCTTACCCCGTTCAAAATGACGCATATGTCCCTCAACCAATATTTAATCCTATTGGAATGCAAGGTATGCAAGTTGACTATCCTCCCCCACCTGCATATCCAAATACTACTCATCAAGCAGGAATAATTACCAGTACAACCACGACAACTGTACTTGTTGGCCCTCCCATTGGTGACAACAATTTTGCAAACACCAAACCTCACGAGCCATAGTGATTGTAAAAACCGAACTAAATTATTGTACAAAATGTATCATAGTAATGCATGCCATTTTGTTTCAAAATCAAGAGGAGTAAGATGGTCTGGTTATTTAAAATTGTTTGTTTTTTTGTATGTTTGTTTTCACTTGTGAACTTGTTTATCTCTTATAACTCGATCCTCTCTAATTTGATCACAATGTCATCTGCTGGTTTAAGTGTAATTCCTGCAACCTCTCTAACATCCCTTTGATTTTGGCATTGGAAACGAAAATTCCTAACCATTCTACAAATCACATCCAAAATTTCCTAACCAATTAAACTTCAATACATAACATGTTTGGTTGTAAAACTTACCATTTCTGCAAACTTCATTCCAATACATGTTCTTGAGCCTATACTGAATGGAATGAAAACATATCTATTCTGCTTCAGCAGATCTTTGATTTCTGGTCGTTCAAATCTTTCTGGACAGAATTGCAGAGTATCTTCACCCCAAATTTCTTTGTCCATTTGTGATACGCAAAACTTCATTTCTACTGTCACACCCTTTGGTACGGTTTTTCCAGCAATTTCTACTGGTTTTAAAGTGTATCTGGTGTTTGTATGAACAGGGCCTTTCAGCCTTAGAGTCTCATTAAGAACATTTCTCGCATAAATGAGCTTTTCCTTGTTTTGATAGAGATCAAAGTCAATTCCTTCAAGTGGCACCTCTCGAATAACTTCTTCTCTTAGTTTTTGTTGAACATGTGCATGACTAGAAACAAAGTAGAACATCCATATCAATGTTTGTTGGCTTGTTTCATCTCCTGCAAGCATAAATGCATGAGAGTTAGCAATTACTTCATCCTTAGTAAAGCCTTTTTTCACACCATCTGTTGGCTCCTCCTCTTGGGCAAGCAGCATTTGTGAAATTAAGTTACTCTTATAAACCTCTCCACTTTCTCGCTCTAGTTCAATCTCTTTTTCTCGGCTCTCAACCATGTTTCGAAGAATGGAAGGCCATTCTTTGAATACTAACTTGTACTTGGATGGGAAAAAGATCTTTGTAAACGGCTCAATATATCTTCTGTTAAATAATAGTCCTGCAGAATAAACTTGAACAATAGTTTTAGCAATGAGAGGGAGAATATCTTTTTCATTTCCCAGGCAATCAAACTGAGCTCCAAATCCATCTTGAGAAATTACATCTAAAGTGACTCTTCTCATCCAATCATTGATTACTACACAATTATTTTCCAAATTTCTTCTTTCCCAAATCTTTTCCACCAAACGATTCGAAATACGGTGCACATGTTCTTTCAATATTTTCGCAAGATTCTCATCTGAGAAACTTGGTTGTGTCAATCGCCTTTCTCTTTTCCATGAATCTCCATAATCAGTGAATACATTCTTTACTCTATAATCAATATTTAAATTATTGAATAATGGATGTTTTCTAAATAATTTGGCTTTTGTAACGAGAATATCTTTGTAATGTTCGGGATCACTATTTACAAATATCGAGTTCAACAAATTGAATAACAGGATGATAAATTATCCCACACCACTAATAATTCTTATGAAAATCAATAATTGTACTATGACTTACACGACAAAGCAAATAGTATCTGTTCCCATTGTAATTCTCCAAATATTGTGCTTTCCGAACTTTTTAGCATTCAACTCTTGGGATCGAGGAGAGAAGAGAAAAATCTTGTTGTGGTGCAAATAACTTCAACGTGAAATAGGAATAAAAGGAATATCCTGGAATGTGTTTTACTCGATTCACTTCCTTGAGATGAAGCGTGTAATGATACAAATGATACGTGATGAAGAGAATAAGAGTCGACGAGAGGACCACGAGAAACATTTTTTTGTTTAAAACTCTCCAATAACTTAATCAGAAAATAGATGGTTACATATATATACTTAACAGCCATGACAGCACGAGGTGAAGAACCAAACCTCGTGTGTTTCAGAAATTCCTACTCATAGAAAATTGATTTGTAATTGGAGTGCAATTTTAAATTCATCTTTTGAATATGAAAAAAAATGCTCAACAGCAATCCCGCATCATCTTCAAATAATAACATGATGACTCAAGATGATGATGATTTACAAGGACTTGATATCGGACCAATTGCACAGTCTATAAATACTAGTTCTACTAATCATCATCATAATTTACAAAATCAACAGACAACAAATGCTACTTTGGATTCGGAAGGGGATGTAACAATGACAGACCATGGTGGTGATGAAGTTATAAAGAGATTTGAAGTTTACCTGTCGCATAAATTGTCTGATAAACTTTATGTATTACAGTATCCGTTGCGTCCGAAGGATAATAATTATAATTTGAATCAATTAAAAGAAGTACGATTCAAACCTAATCATAAAAAGATGGAAATGGAGTTTGAAGTGAATACAAGAAGTGAACACTTTGATGCAGATACTGGACAAGAATATACAAGTTTTTGCTTGTCATCAACTTCGGTTCCAGTCAAGGCTAATTATGCTGTTGGAATTTTGAGAGGCAACCAATTGCATTTAACTCCATTATGGAACATGCTTCAACTAAGACCAAGTTTTCAACACATCAATGAGGGATATTCTACAGGAAAGAGTAAAGTTGTAAGAAAAAAGAAAGCAGATGAAGGTACAGAAGCAGAAGGCGAAGAAAAGGCAGAGGCGGGCACGACGTCACAAACAGGAGGAACCACAAATTTCAGACTGCAATCTGACAGAAAAGCTCTTGAAAGATCTTATCAATTTATGAAAGATCAGGAAAATAGCGAAAAACCTGTAGCACTGGCTTTTTATCCTCCTCATGATTCACGACAACACATAGAGTCTCTTTTTGAACAGAGAGATGATCCTGTTAAGTTTAACGTTCCTCCAACAGCATATCTTAAACAGCTTGTTCAATATAGGGAAGAGGATCAGTCATCTATGGCACAAGGGTCACTTGGTGCTATTAAGAAAATTAAATTTGGAGAACGTCAAGTGTACTATGCCTTGTACCTTGCCAAGATATTACCTTTTGCTAAAATAAGAGAATTAGCAACTCGTATCAGAAGTGACGAAGAATTAACATCTGCTTTACAAAAGTACGGAGTTTATGTGAATGGAAGATGGGTCTTACGATCAGAATTCAATGAGAAAATTATCAAGCTAAAAGAGTTGGACAAAAACCCGTGGACACTGCTCAAATATCCAAAGACGGCAGCCTACAGAGAATATCTATTGTATCTTTTCCAAACCGAGAAGCGAGTTGTTCGAAAACTGTTTGTTGAGAAAACAGGAATTGACCCTGAGAAAGCCAAGCAGCTTCTTGAAGAAATTGCGGTAAAAGTGAAGACAGAAAATTCACAAGATATTGCCGCATATTGGGTTTTAAAGTATGACGCTGATCATGAATTTGAGAATGAATTCCGAGCATTTATTGCAGTCACACTTAAGGAAATGTGGAAAAAGAGAGAACTAGAGATGAAGATTTTGTTAGAGTCCAAGTTTAAGGATCTTTCCATCTTGTTGCACGAGGTACCAAAACCTGGAGCAAGATCCGGTTCGGCCGTCAACAGACCTGTACAGAGTGTGGAGAGCGAGTTGCGAAACTTCCTTAGTGATATTCTCAAGCAGTGGGGTGTTTGTAGTGAATCCTATCTCAAGAAGAGAAAGAACGAATCATCTTCAAGATACATCAAACAGGCTAAGGAAGAAGACTTTCAAAACATCCTAGATGAAATTACGGTAGAGTTTAACAATGCTAGAATTTTAAAGCACAAACCTGATTACTCGGAACAAGAAAGCAGATTTCGAGATCTAGTGGTCAAAGCATTCAAAGATCATAAGTACACCTTGACAAAACAAATTGTGAAAGAGGCAATCAAGAAAGAGACTGGAGCAGATATTGCTCCCAGCATATTGCAAGGATTATGGCTGAGTTGGCCACAAGTGATGCCACCAACAAATGGCATGCCAAAACTGGAACCGAACCCTTAAAACCTCCAGGACAATAAACAAGCTCATCATTGGAAAATATATTTTGTCATCAAATTATGCTACTTAACATCATAATTTTAATTTCGTTTGGCCTCACCTGAAAGAAGTAATTGAGTTTGCGCTCAACAAAATTAAAAGCTTAAAAAGGCAAGGGTGGATTTTCGCCACCAATCGCTTCTGATGAATGAGCAGTTCGCGGTGTTAGAATTACACAACTTGCCTCACAGAGAGTAATACTCTGGCAATGCTAAATGGCGATCATGACCTCACTCCCTCTGTTTGTTGTGGTTTCATTAAAATTGTTTAATTTAAAGTTTTTATTTTTAGATTCTGCATGTTTGAAATTGTGGTGATCTTACCAAAGTAATTGGCAATCGTGAAGTAAACGATGATGTTAGACCAAACAAGCACAGTTTATTAGAAGATGAATGATTCGTTTGAGAAAATGTTTGTTATGGTTGACAATTTATTGAGTGGGTTCGCTTTCAGAGATTTAAATGTTGGAATAGTTTGCGTGGCACAATAAATCAAAGTCCACTCCAGCAAGTCCTAAATAGCAGAATGATGACTCTTTCAATTCTCATTACATTCTTCACTTACAAGTGGCAACCGTTTCTTCTTCCTTTACTCCAATGTTTCCACTGTTGGTGCACAGGCCAACTCTTAAATGAATTCATTTTCATTCGTTGCTTCTTCAAGGGTAATATCATACTTTTCCAAAATTCTTGCTGCAAACTCGTGTTTTAACAATTTCTGATCCTGTGCAACAAAAGAGGCATCACTCCAGTGATTGAATACATATTGGAGTGCGTTTGTTGCATCCTCCATGTTGGTGGTAAGCAAAGATCCATGTTGAGCGCAAAAGTCCAAAATTTCAAATATGGAGTCGACAGTGTAGCCAGTAACAGTGTCACTGTAGCCCAAGTTATATAAAAACGCAAAGACGTCTGGCTTCAAATTAAACTTTTCAATCAGTAATTTACAAGTGGATATGAAATATTCCATGTTACTAATAAAATTTGACAACAACTGATCCGTGGATAATCCTTCATAGGTTCCCATGTTATTCTCTGAAACAGTAGCTCCTTTTTCAACAAGGTACAAAATAGTATCCACTTTGGTTCCTGATATCGAATTGAAAATGACTAGTGGTAATGCGCCAGCATGAGGTGAAAGGTCAGCATTCACATCAACATGACACTCTTCAACTAAAAATTTTAGCACATCAAGAGAATCATATGATCTGGATACTGCAGCATAGAGTGCATTGGGATGCGAAAAATTCATACCTAATTGTTCTTTACATTTTCTTAAGAAGGAAGGCAATTCAGCATAAGGGTAATCTCTGATTGCATTTTGAAGTAATGATCCAACAAATTCGCTCTCATTAAAGTTTTTCAATTGATGAATACCAATGTCCAAATACAAGGTTTGCAACAACTCAAAATTAGGTTTTGCCAGACATGATACGAAATGTGCATCTTGTAAGTATGGCTCTACCATGCTTTCCTTAAATTTTGTGAGCTTTTTAGAAAGTATCAATCTAACAAACTTTGACACAACATGCCCAGACGCTGCTCTGCTAAAGTTAGTATTTTGAACAAGACTCCTGAACATGATCTTGGATACTCCTCCTTTGCTAGAGCTCTTGAATTCACTTTCAAACTTTTTAAATAGTCCTGGGCAATAACACAATTCTCCATTTTCTGAAAACTCATCTTCTTTCTCAATAAAGATCTCTGGATGTCCGAGTGCAAATAATGCATCCATGAGAGGACTGACCAATGAGTTAACTCCTTTCACAAACAGGTATTCCAACATTTTACCAACAAATTTCACTCTTTTTTCTAAAAAGTTCCAAGATCTCAAATACAATCGACAACTCTTCACGAAAAGATGACACACAGTCTCAGATGGATTCAATATTGAAATGCTACATATTTGATCTCTGTCATAGATTGGATGATTTTCAATAAACTGTATCACATCCTTTTCCCAAACCTTTTCAAAATGTGCATCAAAAATCTCTTCTGGATTGATGAAAGGAGAGAGCTTTTGAACGGAAATGATCATTTTCAACAACTCCAATGCAACTCTTCTTTTAGATCTTTCTTGCAAAAATTGAACGGTACGTTGCTTGTACACATTGCCAAATATGTCATCATTGGTTTCTTTTCTTTTTGTAAACGGCAGCAAATTGATGATGAGAATATTCTCTCTTGTTTCCATGGATTTAATAAAACGTTCTCGTTCTTTCTGAATATCTTTCATTGTAATCATTCCAGGACTTGTCGACGACGTGTCGTTCCATAGATTCTCCATTTCATGAATTTCAACATTTGATGAATATTGAATTTGAGATCGGAGCGATTGTTTGAGAGTAGCCACCCAAAACATTTCATAATGTGTGAGTTCATTCCAATGCTTACAAACAAGCATCAATGCATTCATGTATTGATCGGGTGTGCTGTAATTCGTGAAAATATGAAAGAGAATGTCATGAGGAAGGTGTTGGGCTGTGGACATTTTTTCATTCAAATCGAATTGAAAGTTCATGAACAAAGATGTCAAGATTTAGAAAAAGAACATGGATGCTGAAACTTGAATTTCCACATGATCCCTTCAAGAAGTGTTCGTTATCTTTCAATATTATCACAAATGAATGGAGTGGCCTTTCATGGGTATACGTCTATCGATTGGCATACTTTAATCTTTGACCATTCAAGCTGGATAAACATGTTCATATGTTTCAATGGTTTCTTTTTCAATTAATTCATTGGATTGTCATCATAATGGAGAGCCTAATTTCTTCCTCTTTATCATACAACAAAAAATGTCCACAACGGCAACCACTGCAAAGGCTCCCATCAAAACGCTGACCGAAGATGAGGAATTATACGTAGAGTCTGAAAGTAAACTCTTCGAGTTGTATAAACACAGATCAAACAACATTACTCAAGCACAATTGTTGGAAAGAGAGAAGAGAATGGCAACACTCACTTTTGCTGAATTGGAAAGACTTCCCGAAGACACTCCAACCTACAAAGCCATCGGAAGAATGTACATCACCAAGAGCAAGGGTTCTTTGAAGGAAGATATTGGTAGAAATATTGAATATTGTGAAGCTGAGCTGAAAAAGCTCCAAGAAACAAGAACATCCATCTTGAAGAGAATTGAAGCCGAAGAAGAAAACTTTAGGAATATTTTCCAAAAGATTCAACAACAAAAAGCAGGACAACAGAAATAGTCTCTTTTCACAATTATTGACAATATTTGGTTTTCACCAGTATTAAATTATTATTATTTAAAATTTACTATTTACAAGATGACACATTCTTGGAATAATCCGATTTGTGAAATGATGATTAATTACAAAACGTGCCAGATCATGTTTGTGAACTCTATTGCAACACTTTGTGAAATTGGTTATAGGCCTGTTCAATATCATAATACAATTGTCGTGCCTGGTCCTCATCTATGCTTTCGTGGGCCTTCATCTGGTTAAAAGTAACAGTCCAATCTCTAATCTTTGTCTTTCCTTCAAAGTCTTTGATATGTAATGAATTTAGAGAATCCATGAGATCAACCAAAATCGGAGCTAATTGATCTTTGGCTAACAATCCAAGTTTTATGGTATCCATGACGGTGATAAAGTATTGGGTCGCTTGTGCAATCAATTTAACAGTTGGTGCAGTTTGGTTAGGATCCTTTCCTCCATGTTCGACTGTTGCTGGAACACCGACTTTAAGCAATCGATTAGTTGCTGCAGGACAATCCAATCTATACTCTTTCATGAATCGTTCAATATCAGGTACATCTGCCGAAACAATTGGTTGAATAGTTTTAAATTTTGCAATTAATTTTCTACAAGCATCGGCATATTCAGTGGCCATAATGGAATCCTTGACATAGGCTTTTTCTAATCGTTCCACAGAAACAATCAAAGAATATAATTCAGCCATATTTTCATACTTTTCTCTTTCCTTTCTATTTTCAAATAATTTAACTTTTTCTTGAGAGCCTGTTTTTTGTTGAGATGGAGAAACAGATGATCCACTATTAACAGGTGATATCGATGATGAGGATCCTGTTGTGGTTGTTGTTCCCGATGAAGAAGATGGAGGAGGTGTTGAAGCTCCATATTGCTGGCTTGAGTAACTGAAGGTTCTCTGCATTTTTTATTTTTAACGTTTTCAAACATTGGAACCCAGGGCTAGTTAACACTTCGAATGAGCGTCTATTTGAAAAAAGGAAGGATACGTTCAGAGACAATGATGACATCTCTCATGTATGGTCAAGAAGAAGAAACATAAACTCTGCTTCTTGATCAGACATTAAATAATATATATATTGAAATGAAATATTAGAAGAAAAAATGAAAATTAGAATCAAGCGCGCTCATTTTGTTGCTTCTTGGACTTGGAAGAGTCCCGATGAAGTGTGTGGTATTTGTCATTGGCCTTTGGACGGACTCTCTCCAGACGGAGCGAGTAAACTTCAACAACCAGGTGATGATTGTCCAGTGGTATGGGGAAAGTGTAAACATGCTTTCCATCTCACTTGCATCGCCAAATGGTTGGAAACAAAGTCAACGGAAGAGCAAACGTGCCCACTGTGTCGTAATCATTGGGAGTTTATGTGATTCTCATCTAATTATTTGTAATTAATTATTCGCAACATATGGTGATACCTTTGATTATAATAATTATTCATTTCATCAAAAAGAAAAATGTCATCGTCATCACTCTCTCGATTTTTAGACTCACCTCCTAACGACAAGCCCACAATTATCAATGACCACACTGAGCAATTCCTAAAATCTCCATCTCTGGATTTCATTGACAACCTGTTGTTGAAGCAAGATCCACTCCTAGTAAACACATCGGACACATTTAAATTTTCAACAACCAGACTCGTTACTTACGGAGAAACAAATCAAAAAGTTGGGCCTTTGATGATTCTCAATTCACACGTTACCAATTATCATGATAAAAAGACAGATACCATTTTTAAATTCAAGTTGTGGCAGGAGTGAAAGTGTAATAATGAATTTACTTGATTGTCTTTACAACTCTCCTCGATAGCAAAGCAAGATCTGTCATTTGTGAGAAATCGGCTGCTCTTTCTATTATAATTCGTTTCACCTCTCCGAAACCTCTTTTGCATGCTTGACATTTCGAAATTCTTGCCTCTGCATTAATATCCATTTGTGCAAGATTTGAATTGCTATTAAATAGTTGTAAATTTTCTTCAATCATTCCTGAGAAACTTGAATACAACAACATGGATGCTTTGAGTGCAGTTGATATGTGTTCCTCATAATTTTCCTTTATGAGGTCAATAATTACTGGTAAAAGGAGAGCACACAATTCAAGGGTCAAATGCTTTTTACATTCTGGACGTAATAGTTGCCCTAACATGTCAGATGCAAGTGGTAAATCTTTCATTTTTACAAGTGCCTTAATGGCTTCCTTTGGATCTCCTTGATCGATCCAAATTCTTCGAACAATTTTTAAATTGTTTAACCTATTTGTCATGGCACTCGACATTTTTTGGTGAGATTTCATTATTTCTTCTATAATTTGATCATCATCAAGTTCAGAGAAAGCTTCTCCCTTCTTCAATAATAATCCAAGTTACCTCATCAATCCATGCATTCACCAACGAATACTTACTGGAACGAACGAATCAATATCAATATTAGCTGGTTCCTTTCTTTTCGATGATACTATTACCTCACTTGATGGCGTTTGAGGGACACCCAACGCAGGTGTTCTTCTTTCTCCAGAAACCTTGGTCACTGTAATCACTTCTCCTCGGGTTGTTGTTGTAGTAGCTACACTCACAGGCTTCCTATTTCTGATTTCATTTAAAACGTCCTCAGTTGAGCTATTTAGAGTCTCATTCACCATTTCTTTTGTCAGTTGAGGCGAGAAATGCATCTTTTTATCGTCTTGACCATTATACCATGGCCTCACAGAGTCAACAGGTATCACCCAAATACCCACATATCCAGTCACCGTTGGATTGGCGCTAACAGCAAATATTTGATTAAGACCTTGATGAAGATTGACATCATTAATGTCACCCCATTTAGCATCAATGGTATCTATGCAACGCATATTTGCCGAGTTCCAAGCATGCACCTTCATTCCTTCATCGCATATCGATAAAAGCACTGAACCATCCTCAGGACTAAATTGCACTGATTTTACACCGGATGGGAAAATGTCAGACTTTGAAACAACCTCAATCGAGTCCTCCAAGCTTAGAACTTGAACTGTTCTATCTGCACTTCCTGTGGCTAAGTAAAATTCAGAGGGATGGAAATCAATGGTGGTAACGGTAGATCTGTGACTTTGAATTTGACCAAACTTTTTACCAGTCGTAATATCGTAAATCTTAATGGTTCCATCTTCTCCACCGGCAACAATCCACTTTCCATCTGGTGTAAATCTTAATGATGAAATGGGCTCCTTATAATTTTCTGATTCTCCTCTATGTGACTGCACATCCTTTTTAACTCTTGAATCCCACACTTTTACATTTGTGTCAAGAGATCCAGTAGCAAAGTATTCGGATGCAAAGGGTGAAAGTCCACGCAAGTGACCGCTGAACGATGTCCACCTTGAAAAGTTTTTGATGATGTTGGCTGTTCAGAGTTTAAGTCCCATAATCGAATAGATCCACTCTCGGAACCAGCAATAACAACATCCTCCGTGCTATTGAAGGTCAAACACGTGATCGGACTTTTATGTCCAGCTAGGGACATCAAAGGGTCATCATTCGCTACATGCCATAATTTTACCAGAGCATCTTCTCCTCCAGTTGCAACTATTTGACCTGATTTACGCCCTATTTTTGAACACAATACTTGTTTCTTGTGGGCTGAGAAATTACGAAGATTGATAGCTCGGCCTTTCGATTCCGATCCAAACATTTTTTAAATTCAAATTGTTGTAAAGAATTGGCGGGCAATTTTCGTTTCCCAACAATAATTTAATAACATACAACAATTTTCAATTCTATACATACAATTCGTCAAATTTGTCGTTCTACAACTATATAAGAAAGCGAAAACCCAATTTTATTTGGAATCACGTGCATTATCGAATTCGATACAAGAGAGTTCTCAGGCTCCCACTCTTGTACCAATGATTATTAGGGAGAGAAAGTGGCTCAATATTGAGAGGTCAAAGACTTGGGTTGAATGTCTAAATCTTCAAAGGTCATGATGGTCCTTTTTACAGATGGTTCGATTCTCTCCAATGTGGAATTAAGAGTTAAATCACCACCATGTTGTTTCAAAACAAGGAATTGGTCACGAGTGACAACAGGATTTGGTAACATTTGTGTACATCCAAGAATAAAATCAAATACTGGATACCAGACTGGTAATGCTGGCTTTCCAAAAGCTTTCGACATCATTTGTTGAAGTGTCATTACCTCTGGACCTGCCAAATACAAGCTCTTTCCTCTAGTTTCTTCCACTTTGGAGAAAATGACCTTCTCTACAGCATCAATAACATCATTCACAAAAACAGGTTGAAGTTTAGCGTCATGTAAAGGAGCAGGAATTACTGGTAGGAATCTCAAAGGAGTTCTTCCGAGTCTGTTAATGTAAGCTCCAGAATAGATATTTTCCTTCTTATCGAACATAATGCTTGGCTTTACAAATGTTGCTGTTGGAAAATTAGAATAGACAATATCCTCCGATCTGTAACGAGTATCTGACCACCATGATGGGGAATCGAGCTCGGAATTGAGGAAACTAAATTGAATCATTTGATCAACACCTAATCTATGAGCACTATGAGAAACATTGCTGGCTCCATCAATATGAGCCTCAACAAAAGTATTATCACTTTCATAAAGAAGGCCAACAAGATTAATAACAACATCACTTCCGTAAATTGCACTGTCAATTGTATCCTTATCGGTAACATCAGAATAGACAACGCTAACATTGTCTGATTTTATGATGAGAGTTCGCGTAGAGATGAATCCAATGATGATAATATTATTTCCGCAAATATCCACATATCATCGAATTAAACAAGCATATTACATTGAATACACGATGGATGAATATTGACAGAAGTTATCATCAGCCAAAACAACAATTCAGACTGAAACTAATAACAAAGCCAACCTACCATAGTGTCTTGCTTGATGTTCAAATTCAGAGACTCCTCTACAAGCGATAATAACTTTCTCGCACTGAGGGGCGATACGTTTCAAAATTTGTTGGCCAACAAATCCACTGCCTCCAAAGATGGTCACTGTTGGTTTGACATTTCTTGCCGATGATGAATAACACTATAAAATGACGAGAAAATATGGTAGATGCATCCAATATTATATAAAAATTGAATATTTACATTTTGTTGTGGCTGATGATGAATCATCAAGGCAGACGAAAAATTCTTCTTTGTGGCTTGGCTGCCCAAAATTCTCGACGCAACTCGCTTCATCATTTTTTTTTATTTTTCACTCCATTGCCACTTATTTTCAATCTCATCATCATCAATATTCAGCTTCATTGATACAACAACACATCACAACAACAATAATCATGAATCGTTCTCAACACTGTTATTCCTTTTGATGATGGTTCAATTTTCAACGGAGAATTTTTAGAGGTTTTTGTAAACGAAAAAAATGTTCTCCAAAACCTCCATCTCTACTGCCCGTTCTCTCTTCCAGAGATCAAGCAGCCTTTTTACCAAACACAACAACAGCGGAAAGAACTTTGAGAAAGTGTCAAGAAGATTTAAATCATCAAATGCAGATAAAGAGAAATATTTTAATGAATACGGAAGCAGACCTGAATATTTACAAAACAAGAGAAAGACATCGTTGCTTCCACTCTTTCTTGCTGGTGGATTAGTTCCTTTGGTCTTAACACCAATGTTTGTGGATTATTGGATTAGAAGTGATCGTGAACATGGAGATCCAAACTTGGAGGAATATCTTGAGCATCGTAGAGTTAAGGAAGAAATAAAGAAGGACAAGGAAAGAAACTCCAGGGATGTTACTGTTGCTTCAGCAAAGAAGACTGAAGCTACTAAATACAGTATGTAGAGACACAACAAGGTCAGGTGATTTACGCTAGGAATTCTATTGCGATTTGCAACATTTAATATAATAATAATAATAATTCGTATTCATAATAACAATAATAATATATTTGATGAATTTATTTAGAGTATATTTTAATTGGTGGTGGCACTGCTTCTTATGCTGGTAAGTTTTGTCGTTCAATGTTGCAATCGCACCAACCATCATCCTATCATCAACAATCGCTATATTTTGCTTTTCGTGATGATACGAATCTGAACAACAACAACAACAAATGCAGCATTGAAGGCCATCAAGAAGAATGACCCATCGGCTCAAGTTCTTATCGTTACCGGTGAGGAATATGCTCCCTATGAACGCCCACCCCTCTCAAAGGAGCTATGGAGTTCCAATAAGGCTGATGAGCTCAAGTTTGTGAACTGGCTTGGACAAGAGACTTCTGTTGAGTATGAGCCAATTTCTGCCTATGAATCAGATCCATCAACCACTCTTTTGACCAAGACCAAAGTCGTTCAATTGGATACTCATAACCAAGTAGTTACCACATCCGATGGAAAGCAATACAGCTATGAAAAGTGCCTCATTGCAACAGGAGGAACACCAAGAGAATTACCAGGCAGCGACCTCTTCCCAAATAATGTAACCACTTTCAGAACAATTAACGATTACAAGAAGTTGGCTGCTGTTGCCAAGAAAGACAATGCGCATGTAAGTATATCGGCATTAAGCTTAATTTTTTTGAGGAACACATTACTGTTATGGCTGCTCTTTGAACGCAACCATAGATTGTTATTGGTAGGTATCATCGTCGACATTATTGCTTGGTTTCTTATTAAAATTGTTTGAAATTATGGACAAACATCATATCAGTTGGTGGAAGTTTCTTGGGTACTGAGTTGAGTTATGGTATGTACATACTTTCTGATTTAACCTTTCGCGAACATGTTCCTTAAATGTTTCGATCTTTATTACAAAAGCTGTGGCCAATAAGCTCCGTGATAAGAAGGGTTCGAAGGTCACTCAAGTTTACCTTGAACCTGATGTCTTGGCTCGTTGGATTCCAAGATACCTTAGCGAACGTGTCAGACAAACCTTAGTTGCTGCTGGTGTTGACTTGAAACCAAACAGAAACGTAGTGAATGTTGAGCCAAGCAATAACAAGGATAAGGTTGTCGTTTCCCTCGATAGCGGTGAAAAGATTGAGGCCGACTATGTTGTCACCACTACTGGTATCTACCCCAACACTTACATTGCTGAAGAGGCAGGTTTGGAAATCGATCCTCAAAACAGCGGTATTGTTACCAACTCTCAATTAGAGGCTGTTCAAAATGTGTTTGTTGCTGGAGATGTCTTGAGTTACTATGATGTTGTTTTGGGAAGAAGAAGATCTGAACACCATGAACATGCTGAAGCCACCGGTAGACATGCTGGAACCAATATGAGCTCTAATGCCAAGAAGCCATTCCATCACATCAGTATGTTCTGGAGCGACATTGGTGATATTCATTTCCAAGCTGTTGGTGAAATTAACTCTAGTCTCGATACCTATGCTGTTTGGGATGACGTCATTGTTAGACAAAATGGTAGCTCATGGGCTACATCCGCTGCACCAGTTGTTGCTTCCAACTATGGAAATGGTATTGTTTATTATTTGAGAGACAAGAAGGTTGTTGGTATTTTGATGTGGAACGTTCCAGATAAATTAAGCCATGCTCGTAAGGTTATTTTGGAAAAGAAACAATATCAGTCGTTGGATGAGTTGAAGAATAAGATTCAACTCAAGAAATAATTATTTATTCTTTATTCACACAATGATATGAATTAGACAGTATCATTCAAGAGAAAATTAGATACACATTGCCTTTTGGAATCATCATTAAACCACGATCATGTACATATAGTATATAATAATGACCATTTGTGAAGAACATTTAAAAATGCTCAAACATAACGAAGGGTACAACTCCCCGTTGCTTAATCGCAATCACAACAATAGCCATATGCAGATGAATGGTCCTCGTCAGTACTCTTCTCCATCCCAATCTAAATTCTTTTCTTCACCCTTAATGCGGAGCACTCAACAAATCGCGCCCCGAGGGTCTTCTCCCGTAGTTTCATCTATTCTCTCGGCAAATGCATCGGGAGAGGAAGTGAGCATAGATCATCATCACACAATTATGGAGGAACTGAACGAAGAAAGGAAGAGAGAAATTGCAGAGGAAATTCTCAAGCGTTCGGAAAACAGAAAGCTCAGAAAGATCAAACAGCAAGCAGAGGCAAAGGAAGAACAAGAAGTAAAATTGTTAAGGGAACAATCAAGACTGCAACATATGGAACGTTTGAGAGAATTTGAGAAATCCGAACAACAAGAAATTGAGTCGGTACGACAAACGTCCATTGCTCTGGAAGCTGCCTATCTTGCTAAAACCGATAGAAAGAAGCGATTACTTGCTAAATTATTCTCTTTGAATGGTAAGTGAAGAATCACAATGAGTCAATATTCGCCTTCTTTACACACAAATTGAGCTAGCTAAACAAAGAGCCAATGAGATCGCATTTGAGGATGCACAACATGACAAACTTTCAATATCGTTGAATCAAGTAGTGGACTCGGCCAAAACAAAAACACGGGAATATATTGAAGAACGATCCGAGAATCATAACACCTATTTGAAAGGTCATTTCATCAAACACTTTGAAGACTTTATCTCTATTCCAAAAGAGAACGAGTATGAAGAAATAAGAGAATCCATTGGGGAGTTTATATCTCCAGCAATTCAAAAGATTAAGGATGAGCAAGAGCATGCTCAACAACCGCATGAATTACTCTATAAAAAGGAAAAGGAGAAATACTTTCTTGTGTTAACGAACCAGGTGAGAGAATACCACGATAATCTATTTGATAACTGCTGTAATCAGAAAGTAGAAGAGATCAATAGAGGAAAAAATATAATTCAATTAACACCCGAGGAAATCACCGAATTTTTAGAGGCTGATATTGAGGAATATGAAACAGACATTGGAGTTGTTGATGCTGAGCTCGATAGGATGAAAAAAGAGATTTTTGAATGGAATGAAAAAGTGCAGCTTAAAAGGGAATACAACGACAAGCAAATTGATGCCGTTAAACAACAGGTTTCTTCCTCTTCTAGGTCAAACGAAAATCTTAAGCTTTCAATCCAAAAATTGAAAAAGCAATTACAACAACTCAAACAACAGGAAGAAAAATATTTAGAAAATACCACTGACTCGTTGATGGGGTTAATGGAACTAACTTCCAAGAATTTGAACGTGGAAATTCCAAAAATGCAACAAATGAAGGGAGAGGTTGAAAAAGAACTTCAGGAGTTGGGTGTTAGGCTCCACCAAACAGAGTCTGATGCTAATTCTGAATTGCAAAATTTGAAAATTGAAGAGGAGGCTGTCAAAGATCTTGAATCAAAGAACAAGGAGATTGAAGATAAAGCCCTTCAACTTGAAAATAATATTATGAAACTATCCCAAAGAAAACAAGAATTGGAAAAAGAAGTTAATGATATTCAAAAGAAACTATCCTGTTTAAAGTACAACAAACATCTATCGTCTGTTAGGTTTGAGGTAGAGATGTACAAGGATATGCAACGTTCAATGGAACTCAACTCAAAAATAGTTCAAATAGAACAACGTTTTTACAAGCATCAAAGTTTGAAGTTTGACGATTTACTGAAAGAACAGTACTCCGCCTTGCAAAACCAAGCATCCACAAACTTTGAAAAACTTCAGAAAATGATTCATTTGTATGCAGTAATGAGAGCCATTTGTATCATTGACTCTATTTCAGATACTCCTATCATCACTATTTTGGCAGAAAAGCAACTGGATTTATTTGAAGAAATGAAGAGTTTAATGAAAAAGAAAGCCCCAGAAGACGTACTGTCCACTACCGTGACAAGAGTGCATCAGTTACATCCCATATTGACTTTATTTTCCAACTTATTTGAAAGTGATTGCAATAAGTTTCACCAAGGTGTATTGTCGCAAAAATTGGACTCTCTTAATGAACTGAAACATGTCAATTTTAGGTCGAAATTCATAGAGAAGAGACTTTCAGCGATATTGTCTATTCTTTTAGAAAAGAGCAATTCAGATCTAGAAACAATAATTTCTAAAGATGCATTAACGAAGGACACCTATTGCTCCTTTGTTGATCCTCTATTACATGAGCACGTATATAGCTTGGAAGGAGAGAAAACACAAGATATTTTCTATTCTACTATTAGCCATGGTGAGCTGGATGAAATTCATTTGGAAAATGTATTTAAGGAAATTGAATTACATTCCAAGAAAACTATGGAAAAGTACTCCCTCAGCGATCCCTCAAACATCCATTTGTTTTACAAAATTGAAAAAATCACGAAATTTATTTGTGATAAGGAGAATTTAGATATTGCTGGAGAGGATGAAAAGTTAAAACGAAAGATTTCCTTGATCAAGAAAGAGAAAGAACGAGCTTTAGAAAATCAAAGAAAATTAGAAAGCATTGAAAAAAAGAATGCCTCCCAAGATATGCCGCTTAGTCCGTCCATGGTCAATCGTGAACCAGGTCAAACAATTTCACCTCAGCTCGATGAAAAAACTTCAGTTATTGTGGACGAAGAAAGAAAAAGTAGACAAAAAACGTCTACATTTTCTCCCAGTCAAATTTTATCGAAATTTGAGAACAGAAAATCTCTTCAAAACTAATCATTGTCGGCCTCCCTATCTCTTTCTGGAACAAACCTAGCAACCTTCATAATGGCTAATGTAATACAATTTTTCAGAATGTCTGTAACATTATTACTGAAATCGATATTTTCTTTAAGCATTTGATATTGACATATGAGTAAATCTTTTTTTACATTTAGAGAAGTTCTGCAATGGTGTTGCAATTCTTTCCAAGTCATGACTGCCAACTTTTTTGAGGAAATAATATTTACACCATATTTTGCATGTTCGAGGTGTGGTCCTTTTCTATAAAGCACATAATCACAACCGTATTTTGCTCCACTTCTTGTGATCCATCCTCTCGATCTAAAATAGTGATAAATCGCATATCGAGAGATGAAGAAGTCAGTTCCTTCAATTTCACAAAATAATTTAAAGCAATCTTGAATACTTGTAAAATTCTGGCCAACCCGTATCCGCAAACATCCTAGAGCATAATATAAATAAAAGGCCTCTTGCAGTGAAAGAATTAATTTTTCCATATCTTTAGGGGGAAGTATTATTGGTGTCATTTCCGGATTATTATTTGCATCATCAGCATTTGCAGGTAAATGATGATTGATATTTGTAGACGCTGTGTTTGCATCAAACCAATTCGAAAAACATGGTGTGGATCTAGACATTTCTCCCTTTCCATAGTAATCAAAATTGTAAAGTGTTAAATCATCAACAATTACATGATTTCCGATGAGTTTTCCTTCGATCGGTTCTCTACTCGAAATTTGAAACATTTTTTGGTGACTGTCCTTTACAATTTGGACTAAATAAAATTCATATTAATTTTTTGGTGAATGTATTTTGAAAGAAGACAATAAGTTTAATTTACATTTTGGATTATAATACGACAGACGAGATTGAGAACTTCTCTATTTAAAGTCCTTTTCTCCAATAATTGTTTTAGGATCTAGAGCATTGGCTTGATCTTTCTTTTCTGTTCTCGTGTTCTTATTCTTGTTTATAATGTTCGAAACCAAAGCATCATTTGTTGCTGTTTTTGAATCACTCGATGCTGGCTTTCGTTGTTCTTTCATCTTGTGGAATACCTTTTGTTGGAGATTATTGGCATCTCTCTTGGTTTGCAATATTTCCTCAATAAACATGTTCAGATGATCATTAAGGACAACTGTTGATTCAATACACCCATTGAGTAATTTTGTAAGCGTTGAAAGCATTTCTGAGGTTGTTTGGTCAACATTAGGCTGGAATGACTCCATTTTGATTGTTGAAATCTTGTTCGCCATATCAGAATCTTGCTCTAGAGTGGATGCAATTTTATCCCAAAATTGCAGTTCATTCTCTAGTTGTGATATTGTTTTATCATAAAATTGTTGCTTTTTCCTATTTACTTGATTAATGGGGTCTGGTATCACACGTGTACCATAATATTTCTCAATCAGTTTTGGAAGAGTGTTTGTTAAATATTCTCGCTTAATTTCATCAACTATTAGAGTTGTTACAATCATTGCATGATGCGAACAAGTGATCATTATGAAAATTTACATTTGTCACAAAAGTAAATGAATTGCTAAACCTACGTGTTTCTTTTTGGATAGGAGTTTTGCAATATCGCTCTGCATGTTTTAACAAAATTTCGTTTAAAGATACCAGTCGTGCACTATCATCCATATCTTGTGGAATTGAAACACAAAACTTAATGACATGTCCTATTTCTTTTGCACTGCCACTTCTCGAACTTTTTCTCTTCTTCTTTTTTCTTTCATGAATATTTCTTTCTTTTCCACGACCTTCTGAAGAAGAAATTTCTTCTTTCCCTCTTTTTCGTTTTTCCATTCCGACGGGTGAAACATAATCATCACGATGTTGTTGTTGTTGTTGTGAGGAGGAGGAAGTGGGTGGTGAATGTGAAGGTGATTCCGATCGCTTGTTTTTTGAAGTGCTTTTGGCAGCAACGACTGTTGAAGACTTTTTCATTTTTTTATTTTTTTAAATTGCGGTTGAAACGAACTTTTTCAACGCGGGAAAATGTACTTGAAGAAAATTTCTTTTCAATTTGAATGAATTCAACTATTGGATTCGTTCTGGTGATCATCATACGATACGAACGAAAGGAATTGAAACAAAAACATGTGAATAGACACTCCTTTTTATATTCCAAGTATTATTAATTATTCAAAACAAAGGTTTTGAAAGACCCAAAAAACGCAAAGGGATCTCCTTCGTGCGTAGTTATTATCAAAAAAATGCAAAGGGATCTCCTTTCTCAAGAGGGAAGGAATCACCTTCTGAATACAAGCCTTTCTTTTTCAGCTTCTTCATTACTTCCGAATCTCTTATTTCCAAGTGCTCATCATTTATTTTCAAATGGTTTTTCAATCAGTAAGAGTTGTTCTTCCATGGTGCTTAAGGAAGGTGCTGCTGTTCAGGCAAATCAGGATTTAAATCTTGATCAAATGAATCATCATCACTGTAGGAGTGTGGATGATGGTTCTGATGGAAGATGGTTTAATTTTCCACCACATTCAATGATGGTTCAAGCCGAGGAAGAGGCTGCGTTCAATAATGTAACATCTTCATCACCATCGGTTTCATTGTATGGTTTCTTTTCTGCTGGTGTCGGATTGTCAAAAAGAGCAAAAACAAAAAACATGCGGCATGTATTAAATGCACAATCTTTCTATCCAAATGTTGGACATAGTGATGAAGTGGAAGAGAAAAGTGCAGGTGAAGACTCGTATTTTCAATGTTCACTTGCTATTGGGGTAAGTACTGTCGCAAATTATGTCACAAATTGTAAATATTCTTTTCTAATTGAAATTGGACTTCTTTTAGGTTGGTGACGGTGTTGGTAGGTGTTTTGACAAACATTTTACAAAATTGTTTCATATTCAAAATTTATATTGTCAACTACTAGGTGGATGGGCCAAGTACAACGTTGACCCTAGCTTGATATCCAGATCAATCACTGCTAAAGTCCTTGCAATATTTCAAGAAAAAGAAATCAAAATATTTAATTTTATTCAAAAAACTAATTTTCAAGAAATGACAGAAAAAACCGGATGGACCTGGTGGGGCAAATCACCCACAGAAAGCCCTTCAAAAGTAGTTATCAGAGAGTCACCTGTGGAAATTCTAAGCAGGGTTTTTGCTGATATCAAAACTAGTGGAGCAATAAGAGCAGGATCTACCACGTTCTCAATGGTCATGATTTCCGATTTGGAAAAAGGCATCATGAAATCGTTAAATGTTGGAGACAGTGGATTTGTCATTATTAGAGATGGAATGGTTGTTTTTAGAAGTAAGACTCAGCAACATAGGTTCAATGCTCCTTATCAGCTCACTATTTGTCCTCCTGAAAGGAATGGTTCATGCATTGAGAATCAACCTACGGATGGAGATATGCAAGAGCATAAAATTCAAGATGGTGACGTTATAGTCATGGGAACAGATGGATTATTCGACAATTTATTTGATTGGCAAATTCTTCAAATAATCAACAACCAAGGCCAAACCTTGTGGAGCGAACAACAACAAGCGGATCTATTGAAAAAAGTTGCGTCTGGAAATGTTCAAGCCATTGATGAGCTTAATCAATTTTTACTCTCCAAAGCAAGACAAATAGCCACTCTAGCCAGAGTTGTAAGCTTGTCAGAGAATGCATACACCTTCACACCATTTTCTAAAGCATATTCTGAAGCCACAGGACGTCAGGTCAGTGGTGGAAAACCAGATGACATTACTGTCATTGTTGCCATGGCACTGAAACGCAAATTACAACTTGAATTACTTTCCAAAAATCTTCACCAACAACAATAATACTCACACAACATTCCAATCACAGACTTTATATTAAAACATGTACACATTCAAGATCATTTTCTATTTCACAAGGATGGACTCATCCTTAATGGAGGAAAATAGGAAGTTTTTGAATTTTCCATCATGATCTACACGCACGCGAGACAAGATCGTCAAACGTGGAAATTACAATCAAAAAAAAATGTTCAAAGATCAATCGGTTTACGTTGTGTCCTACGTGAGAACTCCACTCGGAAGCAGTGGTGGATGTCTTTCCTCGCAATCTGCTGTTCAGATTGGCTCTATTGCACTCCGAGAGGCCATTCAAAGAGCTCATCTCAAACCAGAACAAGTTGAAGAAGTCATCATGGGACAAGTATTGCAGGGAGGAGTTGGTCAAAATCCAGCTCGTCAAGTAGCTCTTGGATCGGGATTGCCAAAAGATGTCATTTGTACAACAGTGAATAAGGTTTGCTCTTCCGGAATGAAAGCAATTCATTATGGAGCTTTGCAAATTATGACTGGGATGAGAGAAGTGATTGCTTGTGGTGGAGTTGAGTCCATGTCCAATGTTCCTTATTATTTGTCAGACTATAGAAGTGGAAAAAGAATGGGTGATGGTAAAGTGATTGACGGTATGATGTACGATGGTTTGTTTGATCCATACAATAAGAGTTTGATGGGTCAATTTGCTGATGTCACTGCATCAACTCACAACATTTCAAAGCAAGATCAAGATGACTATGCTATCAAGAGTTATGAAAAAGCTGCGAAGAATGTTGAAAATTTCAAGAAGGAAATTGTTCCAATGAAGATCAACGGAGTGACATATGACAGAGATGAAGAAGTTACGAAATTTAAAGGAGCAGATAAACTAAGATCACTTAAACCTGCATTCAGTAAGGAGGGAGGAACTGTGACTGCTGGAAACGCATCGAAGATTTCAGATGGAGCTGCATTTGTTCTTCTCGTAAGCGGAAAGTTTTTGAAATCAAACCCAACCTATCTTTCAAGTTTGAGAAATGAGAATGTTTTTGAGATTTTGTCATTCGAGGACGCAGAAAAAGAGCCTCAATGGTTTACCATTGCTCCAAGTCTAGCCATTCCAAAAGCTTTGAAGAGGGCTGGACTAACTGCCAAGGATGTTGATTATTTTGAAATTAATGAAGCATTCTCCGCTGTAGCTTTGGCAAATTTGAAGCTCTTAAATCTTCCAGAAGAGAAGGTAAACATATGGGGTGGAGCTGTTGCTCTTGGCCATCCTCTGGGTTGCTCTGGATCACGAATTATTGTTACACTTTGCAACATCTTGGCAACAAATAAGAAAACAATCGGATGTGGAGGTATTTGTAACGGAGGAGGTGGAGCTAGTGCTTTAGTAATTAAGAGAGTGGATCCTTCTCAATTTAAATCCTCTCTCTAAACATTTACAATAATTCATGAACATTTACAATAATTCATAAATAAATATGATGTCAATATGTACACAATAATTTACATTATTTCTCAGCCAAATTCAATGTGACTTGTTTTTCGCTTAAGTTGGCCTCCGCAAGAGAAAGATTGGCATGTTCTTCATAGGAAAATCTTCTAGCAGGATAAGTGGTCACTAGCACAAACTTATCAATATCAATTTCTTTGGTAACGTCCAAATAATCGAAAATATCTCCAATTGTGTCAGAATGTCTGAAGGATCTAGTCAACCGTGAAGAATCAGGAAATCGTATAAGAACTTTTGAAAAATTTCTCTCTGTATCCGCAGGCTCAGCTTTGAGCTTGTTAGCTTTTTCTCTTCTTTTTGCAATTTTTTCTTGTTCCTTTCTAATTTTTTCTTGCTCTTGTCGTTGTCTTTCACGTTCTTCTTGTTCTCTTCGTTGTCTTTCCAACTCTTCTTGCCTACTTCTTTCCTGATCTCTTTGCAAAGATCTCAAATAAGCTTGGTCTTGCTCTTCTCTCAAATTAAATGCAGAACCTTCATTATCTCCCAAATCAACCATTGTTCTTCCATTATTATTACCCGAAGAGGACGTCACAGTATTTACATTTCCACTTCTACTTCTTCTTGCTGCTTCTTCATATTCTTGTTGTTGCAACAGTTGAGCAAATTCCTCATCTGTCATACCATCATGAGCCAGTTCGTGTTCTTCTTGCATGGATGTTCTGTCCATACTTGTTCTACCAGCTATCATGTCATGTTGTGCCAATCCGTGATGCATTTCTTCCTCATCTGAATCTCTGAGTTCATGGTGTTCGTCAGTGGCATCACCTCTTCGGACATGACCTTTCCAAAGTGTTCTCCTTACTTTTAATTTGATTTTAATAGATTAATGGTTGAAGATGGAACAAATAATTTTATCGGATATTATCCAAAATTCGGTTGTACAAGATCAAGTTGATATTGTATGAACATTGTTCATCATCATCATTGCAATTTGAAACATCCAGTCCATACAATCGGAATACAATATTAATAGATTTGCCGGTTAGGTTCAATCCGATGATAATTATAATGAAGTATTTGATAACAGCACAAGTAGGATTCATCCATTTACGTCAATGAATTGAATATTGATTGCCATCATTGTGATGTCATCATCGCGTACGAACCTTCATCGCAACAGCCAAAAACATTTAAAAAACATGAAAACATTTTTTTCAATTTGAAAAGAAATCGAATTTGGATGTTGGTGTTTTTAATAACTCAGAGATCAATAATGTTCATGTAAATAATGACTGGAAGTAAATAGCTTATTTCTTTTTATCTGCCTTTTCTTTTTCTAATATTTGCTTGAATTTTGATGGTGGGGATGATGTACTTGTTTGTGATGATGTTGAGGATGTGTTGTTGTTGGGTGTGGAGGTACTTTGATTGATGTTTCGTGACATGAGATCATTCAATTCACGTTCCATGTTGTCAATCATTTCTTCGCTTGGTTTTTCACCACTCTTTGCATATTGCTCTGTTTCAAATGTTGTTGACATGCAATTAATATTCAATAAATTAATTAAGAACAAGGTGAAAATTACCTTCAATAATATTTCTCATAGCCTTTGACATATCTCCGCCGTGTTTCTTCACAAGTTCTCTTTTAATTTTGTCAATATTCATTTCTTTCTTAATGCCAGAAAATTCTTCATTCATCTTTTTGGCTAACTCTGCAAATTGATGGTCAACTTCGGATTTCATTCGTTTTTGTTCCCGAATCGACTGAAAGATTAAATGATTCGTTACTTTTCATTAGTATTCATCAATGCATACCTCTAATAATGCGCTTGCCACAAGCTTAGAATAGTTCTTTTTCATTTCTTCCTCTACTTTTTTGAGCTTTCTTCCCTGTCGGAATGTATCCACAAATTCCATTATATTTCCCCATATAGATTTGCTTTTTTTTTCTTCCTCCATGTGCTGCCTCGATGATGAAAATTCTCTCTGCTCATTATGAAACATCACTATTCGCAGTGATAATGATGTTGAGGATGATGAGAGGGGAGCAACAAGCCGATGATGACGATTGAATCGTACAGTCAAAAATTTACAACTCATCATTTTTTATTTCTTATTCTTATCATCACGGACCAATCTCTTCGACTCCTTCAATTAATTTAATCAAAGAATTGTATTTCAAGGAAAGGAAAAGCCGTTTCTTCATCTTATATTTTGAAATAAATCACTATCATAATTTAAATGATATCAAATTCGCTTTATCATCATCTTAGGTTTGACAACATTGTAAAATTGTTTTGAAAAAAATGCTACGAAACTCTGGGGTTGCTTCTCTCTTTCGTTCGCTTCATGTGGTAGCTTCATCAAGAGGCTGCAGCCATCGTTTCTTGATACCACAAACGGCCATTCATCAATCACGTACATATGCTAAAGACATTGAAAAAGATGGTTTTGATCCGACTCAACACTATGAAGTAGAAGATGCCATGCCATACGTTGCAAAGAATGTAAATTTGAAAAAAACAAAGAGTTTACTCGATTTATTTGTTACGAAATTAGAGAAAGATGAGAAGGAAACAAAGAAAGAGGAACACTTCTCCGAATTTGAGGCTCTTCAAAAGTCGGAGATGGCCAAAACCGTGAAAGCTCAAAAGAAGAAAGTGAGAGAGGCCAACGATAGTATTTATGAAAGAACCTCTGCTGATGCTCAAAAACTCAAGACATTACAAGCACTCTTTGAGCAAAAAACAAAAGTTACACCCACACAGATATTTAATGAACAACTTATTGAATTGGAAACAAAGGAAAGAGAGATGCAAGCAAAAGCAGGAGATAGTCTTCTTTCATTCATGTATGAATCTAAGACCCCTTATAAAGCGATAGAACCATGGGAAGCCGAGCAACAAGAAAGAGAAGAATTGGCCAATGAATTCAAACAACAAAAGAAAGAGCTGAAGAAACTCTTGAAGAAAGGTACCTCTACGGAAGAACAAGAAAATAGAAATGAATATTTCCAACAATATGACTCCGTTACTCTTAAAAACGACATGCTTGAGGGTATGCCTGCTGTGAGCGACTTTTCATTGAACGTCGATTTAGATAGAATGTCTGCATCTCCAACATCCCTGTCTGGAGACAAATTGATCCTTGTTAACTCACCAAGACATGAAGAAAAGAGTCCATTCTGGAACACGTTAACTCCTCATGAGAAGCGTTACTTTTTAAACGACGAATATTTAGAGAATGTTTCAAAGAACATTGAAAAATATTTGAGCATGAGTGAAGATGAAATTGAGAAAAACGCTCCTTGGCTTTTGAATGATCCTAGATGGGAAACGATTGAAGAACTTAGAAAACAAACATTACAAGATCTTTCTGATGTTTCCGAGGATAGCACCTTTTCAGAAAGAAACAAATATTTCAGAGAAAGAATCTTCGATGACGAAGCTCTGAGAAATCTTTATGAAGCCCTTGGATCAAAACAATTTGACAATGTTCAAGAGTTTTATGAAAATATTAAAGAAGCAACTGATGAAAATGGCTTGCTGAGGAGATTAGAGGCAATATTCCCATCCATACCAAAGGATAAAATCAAGTCAATTTTGAATAAGGTGATTTTAACAGTCCAACCAAAGTTTGACAAATATGCAAGCGCATCTCAAAGATCCATTCAGCTCATTACCGATGAAATTACAGCTACAGCCAAGCCTGCTGTTTACACACTAGCTGATATAGCAACCAAGCCAAAACCAAAAATGCAAACTGTTTTGTGGTCCATTAGGCAAATTGCAACAAAGAAAGCCAAAGAAAAAGAGGTTGAAATGGTGTATAAAAGAGCAAAGACTTTGAAGCTTGAGGACTTCCCTTCACCAATTGACCATATCTATGAAGTATTGCGACCAATCCACGACGAAAGCATGAGGATTGGAGCTGAAGAGAAGGCTGTCACAGAATTTCACCCTGCAATTTACGGAGGTTTTTCCACTGCTGCAGGTAAAAGAAAGTCTTCCGTTGCCAATGTTAAAATCTCTCCAGGAACAGGATTATTCACAGTGAATGGAAAGTCTGTACTCGACTATTTCAACTTATCTCGTCATCACTACAAACTCATGTTACCTTTGAAATTTACAGACACTTTGAACCAATTTGATGTTGAGGCCAGAGTTCGAGGAGGTGGTCAAACTGGTCAATGTGATGCAATCTTCCTTGGCCTTTCAAAAGCTTTAGCCAAGTTCGTTCCTGAATTTGGACCAACATTAGAAGCCAGTGGTTTCCTCTATAGAGATCCTAGAGTAGTCGAACGTAAGAAGCCAGGTCAAAAGAAGGCTCGTAAGAAGTTCACTTTCGTCAAGCGTTAATTTTCCTTCGTTTGGACTTGTTTCTCAGTGCAACCACCAGGGTAGAAGACACAATGTCCAACATTCCAAACAACAATTCTTTCAGTTGCACTTAACAATGTGATGATATTAAAATATAATTCATTTCAAAACCTAGTGTATTACAGTTCTTTTTGCATAACTCTTCCTTTGAGATGCATCAAATCATCAAATGCCATCTTTTGGCTGGCGTCATCTCTCTTGTTGAAGGAGAGCAACAAAATTATTGAATTGAAGTGAAAAAAATATCGACATTGCTCTCTCGCTTTCATTCAACAGCAACAACAATTCTTACAACTCATAAATTATAATATTTCATCATGGCATTCGACAAAGGCGGTAGAGGCGGTGGTCGTGGAGGTGGAAGAGGTGGTGGCCGAGGTGGAGGCCGAGGTGGTGGTGGTGATAGATCTGGTGGTGGAAGAGGCGGTGGTCGTGGAGGTGGCCGAGGTGGAGGCCGAGGAGGTGGAAGAGGCGGTGGCCGAGGAAGAGGAGCACCAAGAGGTGGTGGTCGTGGAGGAGCCAGAGGAGGAGCATCAGCAGGAGGAAAGAAGGTCATTGTAGAGCCTCATCGTTTCGAGGGAGTCTATGTCGTTAAAGGAAAAGATGAATCCATTGCAACACTCAACATGGTTCCAGGTGAATCTGTCTATGATGAAAAGAGAGTTACAGTAGAGAAGGGATTTGGAGAAAATGTTCAAAAAGTAGAATATAGATTATGGAGTCCTTTCCGTTCAAAGATTGGAGCCGCTATTGTTGGTGGTATTGAGAATATCTACATCAAACCTGGAACTAAATTGTTATATTTGGGTGCTGCCTCAGGTACTACGGTCTCTCACTGCTCAGACTTGGTCGGTCCCGAAGGAATGGTCTACGGAGTTGAATTATCAGAACGATGTGGTCGTGATTTGATTGAAATGTCCAAGAAGAGACCAAATATTGTTCCAATCATTGAAGATGCTCGTCATCCATTGAGATACAGAATGTTAGTGGGTGCTGTGGATACTATTTTCGCAGACGTTGCTCAACCAGATCAGGCCCGTATTGTTGCTCTTAATGCCAAATACTTTTTGAAACCTGGTGGTCACTTTGTTATTTCTATCAAGGCTAACTGTATAGATTCAACGGTTGAAGCTGAAGTAGTGTTTGCTAGGGAAGTGGAACAACTCCAACAATTTGGTTTTACTTGTGAGGAACAATTGGATTTGGAACCTTTTGAACGTGATCACTGTATGGTTGTTGGAACCTTGGCTGCTGGTAGCTCCATAGAGTTTTAAAGAGAGAGAAAAGACACTCCTTTAACACCCTATTGAACTTTTCAATATTATATCTCCTGATTTGATAATATAAAACATAATGCATTTCATGAAGATTTTTGGTGTTTGATGTGTCCTTAATGAAGTTTGTTGGTGAGTCTATTCAGTGGAAAATTTTGGGTCTCGGTATAGATCAAAGATGAACTTGTGGCGTTGCACTCAACTTGTCGGTTTGGTTCTATCTCAGTATTGTTGAACCACATTTCAATTCATAAATTTTGGTCATGTTGCACTTCAATAAATACAACTCTCGAAAACAATCATTTATTTCTTAACAACCTCTTCTATTAAAGAACAACAACAAAGGCTTGCGCTTTTGTCACTCACAGTTCATACAGTCAAAGACTGTAGCGGGAGTGTCGCCATATTCCTGGCAGGCATCCCGTCCATTTTCTATCAAAAGAAATTTACCTTTCAGAACCAAATGACATTCGGTTTTTTCGACTCGGGTTTAAAAAAAGTTTTTAACCATGCAATGTTTATCTATTCAATTTGTAGGGTGTTGAGAACAACGACCAATCCTGCTTGTCATCCGTTATCTTGACATATTTACCCACTAATGATTTGGATTCTTTTTGAATCTTAAACGTTCTACTAATTGAAAATTAATGGATTCAAATGCTTTTACAACAGATCTGCCATTCTTTGAGGGTATGTTGTTGAAAGATAAATCCAAAAAAGTTAAATTCTTCAAATTCTTGCTATTTGCAATTACATTAACACATGTGGCATCAATATCATTGCAAGACAAATCTAGTGAGGTTAAGTTATTCATATATTCACTATTCGCAATATGTTTAACCCCTTCTGAGTCAACGCTATTGTTAGATAAATTCAAAAATGTCAAATTTTTCAAAGTGGAGCTACCTGCTATTAATAGTGCGTTGTCAATGCTATTGCTAGTCAAGTCTAATGAGATTAGTTTTGACAAGTGTTGACTATTTGCCAAATAGTTGACTCCTTTTGAACCTATTTCATTTCCATACAAATCTAATAAAGTCAAGTTCTTCAAATATTCACTATTCGCAATATATTTGGCCCCTGCTGAGCCAATTTCATTGTCACACAAATTCAAAATATTTAGCTTTTTCATATTTTCACTATTTGAGATAAATTCAGCACCTTGTGGGCCAATGTCATTGTTAGACAAATCCAAGCAAGTCAAATTCTTCAGATATTTGCTATTTGCAACAAATTTAACACCTTTCGACTTAATTAGATTAGAACCTAAACCTAATGATGTTAAATTCTTCAAGTTTTGGCTATTTAAAATATACTTAGCCTCTTTTGAGCCAATACCATAATTTTTCAACTCCAATGAGGTTAAATTCTTTAAACTTTCGCTATTGGCTATGGATGCAGCAATTTCTGATTCGCTAAATATAACTTTTTGAGTGTTGGCATTAATTGACAATGTTAAAGGAATTTGAAAGGATTTTTCTCTCCATTGTCTCGAAATTTTCATGCAAACTTTAATGATAAAAGTTGAATCAAGAAAGCAAAGAATTTCATAAATGACATCATCCATCAAAAGATCATGATGGTGTTCAATGATTGAACTTGCGGAAGATGAACATGCAGTTGTATGATTATTTTCCAATGATGATGAAGATGATTGATTCAAAGAACAACTACTATGAGATGATGCGGAACAGGCCGAACCAGCAGAACTATCAGCACTGGCCGTTGTGGTGACGAATAATTTTCTCTTTTTGTTGGTTGGCGAGAGGGACATGACATAGGTGTGTTTTTTTGTCGGACCTGTGTGAAAAAGTTTGTGAAAGGCAAACTTTTGAGACTGGTGAACATCGCATGAAAAAGGTCGTAACAACTGAGGAACAGAAATCTTGGGGGAACTATACAATTAGACTGGGTGCAAAATTCTGCGTACTTGATAATTTTTCCGTGCACTGGTAGTGAAAGCCAAAGTCTGTTCCGTAATCGCCAGCAAATTTAAGATGAAATACTTTTACTTGGATTTGCAAAATCTTAAAAAGAGTTCACTAAGAACTGTCCTAATTTCAAGATGAGGGCTCAATATCATTTTGGATAATAATTCATCCAATTCAATCCAGTGATTATAAAAAAATGTCTTTGGTAGACCTTTAAAGGTTGTCAAACCAGTTAGAACGAGTGGAATCATCGAGTTCACAATATAATCAACAAATCTCTCCTGATCAAGATTTTAATCAACAAATCTCTCCTGATCAAGATTTGTTTGCGCAAATTCTTGATTTTCCACATAAAATGTGAATACTCGTTTAGCAGTGTTAATAAATCCAGTAATTCCAAATTGAACCATTTCCATCTCAACATTTTCTTTTTGCATTGAAAACAATTCAGAGAATATTCTTAATGAAGTGGATAATATTTTTGTTTCAGCATCGATCATTAGTTTTGACGTAGAGCATAATTGAGAGTTGGGTTTTGTTGAGATTAAACTGTTTCCAATACGATTATCCATTTGCTCTAAAATCATCACAAACCATGTGAAATATTCAAATAATTGGTGTTCCATTAAAAATGTTAATATTCGATTAATTCCTTCGGTAATGTGAATAAGCATATATAAATTCATGTTGTGACTGTTTTGTCTTGAAACTATCTCTTCCAAAGATTTTTGGATCTTTCGCCAATGAGAGTCCTCAAATTTTCCTCCGCAAGTGGATATTAATATTTGAATGATATCAGTTCCTACCTCAAAGACCTTGGTCATGTCTGCATATTGGTCCACAGTGTCGATCAATGTGTAACATTTCATGATTACGTTCATTATGGATGCAAATAGATCAAAAGAAACATCGGAGGAAATATTATGATCAAGAACAGAAACAAGTACTTTGAAGACGCTTCTACTGGTACAATCAATCCAAGCTTCGTCAAGAATACCATTATCACCACATGAAAGATGATCAAAAATTGGTAACAATGCTCCATGCAATATTAGCCTCCAAGTCTCTGCAGAAAACATGCTGACAATGGACTTGTCATTTAACAGGGCTTGTAAGGTCTGCAAAGCACCCGCACGAATATCTTCTCTGGCATCATCACTTACAAGGGATGACAGGCATGTCAAAATCGGGATCCAAGTCGATAAAGGAGCCCCTGTCATAATGTTTCCTGATTCTTCAATTCCCACAAGCGTGTTGGCACAGTCTTGAATGAGAGAGATGGCGTTTAAACTAACTTCCTTCATGGAAGGAATGTTCATTTGAACGAAGGCCTTCAAGCAATATATTAAATCTACAAAACATGAATTGTGAAGAACATAAGAAAGGTATTTACACCTTCTCTCTTCCTGGTCTAAAATGGTGAGTAACTTCTCAAAGGCAATTCGTACAATTGTTGTTTGTTTGCTTGATGAAGCAACTGATAATACTTGAACCCATGCTTTCCATCCTGTTGTAATAAAGTTTGGTTTTGTCAATGCTAAATTGGTAATACATTCAATGACCATGAGTTGAATTTCTGAGGAAATGCCTTGTTGTACTATAACGATAAATGGTCTAAGCATTTCTTGTTGAATGTAAGAAAGAGAATCAATTTCAATGAGTTTGTGAATCAGTTGACGCAAAGTGTCGACGGCATACATGGCAACTGTTGAGTCTTTGCAGGTAGCGACACTAATAAAAAAGTTGCTGATAACATTCCAAGTTCTACTCCACAACTTATCCATTCTGGCCAAGTTAAGATAACAAGCTTCAATAACTTTGTTAATGCAAAATATATGACATTGTGTCTCGTTTGTGTGCCCCTTGCATTGAATAGAACAAAGAGCTTTCACATAGTATTCAATTGACAATTCATCCATCTTTTCATTGTTATTACTAAATATTCTGTCGATGGTGACTTGATCAACATGTTGATGGAAAGAGGTGGTCATGTTATCAATTTCAGAGACTTGGATAAACGCGTTGTTATTGTTAATAGAAGAAAGTATTCGGTCCACTTGATAAAACACTTCCATCATACAGCTCCAGCTCTCTAAAATATCGCTTGCATTCGTCTCTAAGATGCTTAAAAGAGTCTTGAGAGCAACAAGGTGTTTCTCTTTCAGGCTGAATTTTTCATTATTGTTCATCAAGGATGTAAATGTGCATAATGTTTTGAAAAATTCGTTTCGAGGTACTGTCATTCCAAGTTCAACACACAGTTGAAGAGCAGTTTTCAAAGCACTCAGCACTAAATGATGCACCTTCGCTCCCAACTGATCATTTTCAAATAGAGAAATGAATGACTGATTGAAATATGGCCAAATGCAATTGAAAAGAACCTTTGAGATGGAAAAGTGATCGAGTGTCGAGCTTGAGACTTGAAATAAGGAATCTTCTTCTATAGAACAACATTTTGACTTTAGAACTCCTCTCATAACCCTCTCAATTTCGGCATTTTCTACCACAACGTCATCATTGGGTTGAAGTGATTCAAAAACTGACATGTCATCTTCGGTAAGGGTAAATTCATTTTCTTTCAAGTCATTGAAAACTCTTTCCTGTATTTGATGATCAATGGTTGCAGCATCAGTGTAGAAATTTCTTTGGATAAACGCTTCGAGAGTGGTATTGTGTATATTCTTTACAGCAACATTATGCAGCTCTGAATTAAGAATTACTACGGAGATTGTGAACACATAGCAAGCATCTGGATTTTTAAACATTTCATCCATGGATTGAGGATTATCTTGAACAAATTTGTCAGCAAATGAAGATAGGACTCTGTGTATTTCTTGACTCTCCTTTGGTAACATGAATAAATCAAGGCACTTTCTGAGCGCTTTCTCAAACAGCATTCCAGAAAAAGATTGCAACTGGATGAACTTGGTCAAGACGCCTTCATGATCAGGAGAGGCAAAATACTCGCCAATGGCATGCTTTGAAAAACCTTGAGTTGTCTGTAACAGGTGAACGAACGCAGTCTCGAAAGCTTCCTTATCTAAGGATGGATTGGGCAAATAACCAATTCGTACAAAATACTCAATTCCCTTCTTTGGGTTCTCGTTGAATAGAGAAATCCCTTCATAAGTTGTGTTCTTGTCACGTTTTTGTTTTTCTAGTTTCTCACATGCAGGGTGGTTGACGAACTCTTGCTGTTGCATATTTTTCATGTTTGTATGCAAACAAGTGAGTATTTGATTCAATGCCTTAAAAGCAATAGATTTCATGTAGATGGTTTGTGTTAGTGCAAACGCAGAGGTATTATCTGTTGATATCTTTGGTGTTTGAACGATCGTGGCAAGTGAAGTAATGAGTCTCTCGACAATATTCAACATTCCAACCTCACAATCAAAAATTAAAAACAGGGTATGTACAAGGTCAGAGTTGTGAGTTGCGAATAAATAACTCAGAAATTTGATGGTGGAGATTTTCTGGGACTGAGAGGTGCAGTTGCTATTCAAAATTCGAATTAAATTAGCGAAAAATAATTGTGTCTCGTATTTGAGAGAGGTTTGAAATAGCTTAAATATTTGGTAAAAAAGCTTCAATACGAGAGAAAAGATTGTAGAGCTTGATGTCAATGAATTTGTGAACAATGCGGTATACAAGTTTTGTCTCACATATTGGAAGAGAGAAATGTTGTGAGCCAACAACTGGCCACTGTTTTCAAAAATATCAAATAATAATTCCAGATAAATCGATCTCGTTTTTTCTTCAAGTTTGGCACTAATGTGGTGTTTTGTATTCAGTTTGGGTCGGTTGTGACAGATTGATAGACATTGTTATATGCAGTACTTACTTATTAGATATCGTTTTCATGGACATCTTACAGAGAGAATGTAAGATAAACAAGATATCGTTTTGGATTTGAGAAGTTTCCATTGGAATATCCCAATCATCCAACTTGGTTGAATCGTTTTGGTCCAAAGCTGTAGTTGTATTTTGCGTTATGGCGTTGGAGGCATTTGTAATATTCGTACAGGATGCTGACTCTAAAGTGGTGAGGATTCCCTCTGGGCTCAAATTTTGCTTTTCAATTATTTCATTCGCGACTTCTTCAATAATAGTGTCAACAAATTCTTCGACACAACGACTTGATGAAGTGCATTCTGAAACCGTCGACTCTGAGTCAGAATGTGGCAAAGTTTCATCAGCTAATCTCTTAATCGTGATATTGAGAATTTGTTTGAGAACCGATTTTGAGTTGTTTTCATCCTTTGAAACAAACATGATATTTAAGCATGTTTTGATTCCCAACATTTTCCCAGAAATGTTGCAGCATGTGACTGCAGTTAGAATGGTTTTCAACATTAGCAAATGAATATTTTCGTCTTGACGTAACTCAAAGCCAGATGCAATTGCTTGAACTAATCTCACATCCGAGATGTAGGACAGTCTATATTTATGGTCATCTCTAATCAACGTTCATTAGAGCCAAGACATTTTGTGAGATCTCGGAACCATCGTCAAACAACACGGCTCTCGCGATTGAGATCTTTTTTGCGGCAAGGGGTTTGTTCTTCTGGAGACAATGAAACACTTGCTCTCGAGGAGTGGTCCGAGACGGATGCTGAAGGCTGCAGTTTGATGGATTGTTGTCTTGGTCTGCTCCTGATGGCAACCAGCCGGAGGCGTCTTTTTAGGTTGCTGAAGATTATTTACTTCATTTGTTTTTCATGTTTGTCGTTAACGAGGCATATTTAACTCAATCTTCCTACTGTTATGTAGCTTTGTAATTACAGAATTAGAACCATGAATGGCTACGGCCATATCACGATGAATGCACCTCATCCCGTCCGATTTGAGAAGTTAAGCATCGTCGAGCTGCATCAGTACTGAGGTTGGAGACAACTTGGGAACCTGCAGTGCTGTAGCCTTTTTTTAGATCCTTTTGTCTTTTTGAATCAACTCTTGGAGCAAACAAACTGTATGCATCATGACCTATAGACCTAAGTTAGTACTCCTCTACAAAGAACTTTTTATCTAGTTTCAATTAGAGATGCTATAAACTTGTTAGAAGCAGACAATCGATGCAACACTTCATTCAAATCCTGAATGCAAAATATTTCAATTTGTTGAAACATATCCACCACGACTTGATTCGCTTTCAATTTTTCATTCAATTCTTGATGCGTCTTGGCAATATTTGGAATATTAATTTCCAATGGCGAACTTATGGTCACATATGTATCAATAATGAATTGAGCCATTTCTTTTCTCTTTTCCTTATTGACAGTCTTTTTAAATCGTTGAATATCTGACCAACATAAAACTGCTTCTGGACAATAACTTCTTCTTGCAAAATCGAGCATGATGGGATATGCTTTCTTGTGTTTCAAAACAATTTCAACACTACTGTCAGAGAGTGTCATGTCTTTTCGTTCCAATAAATATTCGGCTCGAATTGCATAGAAAATTGGAAGCAAGACGCAAATGATAACGTCCAATGCAATATATCCAACAAGGCTCAATAAATATGGTACAAAATAATCTGTTAAGGTAGCCACAATAGGAATATACCCAGCAACAACAAATCCAGTAATTGCAAAAATTTGACAAATGACAGCAACCAGAGTCTCCTTTTTGATATTCCATGTATCTCGATCTGAAATGAAACACAAAATCAATGCAACCACCTCAAGTGAAATATGTACAATTGCTTCCACTAAAATAATGATCAACACACTATAGGTCACAATACATCCATGTCGAAATTCAAAAAATCCAGAAGCCACCAGAGATCGTTCTCCTTTGACAGCATAAACAATTTCATCAGCACTTCCTACAATAAGCCATATCGCGATTTGAAGTAAAAAGATTGCAATGAATGCAACGGCTACAAATTTGTAACTGACCATAAATTGAAAAAATTTGAGAATTCTCAACTCTCGAGGAGTGGCCAGTTTTTTCATGGGAAGTAAATCTTCATCGACCAAGTCAGAACATTGTCCTGCAGAGGTTGATTTAAATAAATTTGAAATGCTTGAAGAGGATGTACTCTGAGAGGAATCAATTTTAGTGACATCTGACACCTGATGATTTTTGTTTGAAATTGCACCCAGTTCTTTTTCACCTCCCTCTTGCGTTTCCTTCGTTGATAAATTCATTGATGTTGCAACAAATGATTGTTGCACTTTAAAAGATGATTCATCTCCAAACAATTTCATCTTGAATAAATTCAATCGATATTCAAAAAACAATTTCAGACATCGACACGTCGTTGGCATGGTCACCACAGGACCACTCACAAAGAAACACAATGAATAGACAGCACATGGAAAGATTTTCCTTCCAATGACAATTCTTATGCAAAACATAAACACAAATAAAAATCCAGAAATCATGATTGTGAATAAATGTCCCAAATTTCGAGCCATGATGTGTCCTGAATGTCTTTTCCAAATTAATCCTACACCTGCCACTGCGATCATGACACCATACAGAATGACGAACACAAGCATGATGGAAAAGGAAACATACGTGTCAGGACAAATGTCATATTCAATTATGGGAAATAATTCTCGAGAGGTGGAATTGAGAAGAAAAAGATCTGGATGACATTCAGTCACGTTGGTTTTTGTGATGGGAGAGTAGGAGGAGGAGGAATTGTTGTCGAGAGTCATGTCAAAATCGAGAAGGAACCATAAATTGGTGGTCATGATGACAATGAGAGCAATTTGCGTGTGGATGGAGAGTATTCTACTACTACTACTTTAATCTGTTGTGGAGAAGAGGAATAGTAGTGCAATTGAGAGGAAGAGAAACCCAGACGCAATATTTGTGTGGTGATATGTTTAATTTTTTTGTTTTGCCTCTCCGGCGGTAGACCAACACCAATTAATCCATAAAAAACTGAAAATGTGAACTTTGAAACTTTAGTTTTTATCAAACGTCCCGATGCTCTCCGAATGAAAGGCAGAAGAGCAATCTGAGAAGCGACTCCAATATTTTCGTTTCAGTGAAGGACTGCGGAATGTCACACGCTACAATCATTCGACCAATTCTAAATGCCCCAAAACACAAAATTTTACAGAGACCAAATCAAACGAGTTTGAGCTCACCTTCGAAATTGGTTTTACACTAGAGATTACCAGTCCCTCTGGGAATTGGCTTGATCAAGCGAAGGTGCAAGGAAAATGTGTTTTGTAAACTGCTGTGCTATTGCTGGTTGGTCGGAGAGCCAAACATCATTTTCCAGAGGTAATTTGTAGTGAATCAAAACACTTACAAATTCATGCACACATTATGAGAACAAATTTATTGTCAGTTGTCAAATGCTCTTGGTGAAAAAACATTTTAGCCATTGGTATCACCATCTTCATAGCTGTTGCTTTTATGCTTTGGGATAAAGACAAAATCATCTCCAACCTTTGGTAATCCAGCTAGTTCGGTCAATTTGATCCAATCTTTGCAGTTAGAGGATGCCATGAGTGTCTCCAATTCATTTCTGCCAACATATGGAAGAGGTCTTTCATTGAGCTTAATTGGAAGACGTTCTAATAGTCCAACAGGAATGTATCTACAGAGGAATGAAAGCCACTCCAGCAAGAATCGACGAGTTTTGCTAATGCCTATTTCATCTGCTCCATAATGATCCAACCCATATTTAACAAAAGTTTTTAACATTTCCAATCTTTCGGATGCTGTCACATCAAGAGTTTGCTGCATTTCAATTTCCTTAAAAATCCATGGTTTGATAAGTGCTCCACGACCTTGATCATATTTTAGCTAACATTGGCGTTCAAAAAGAAAAACTTACCAATCATGAGTGTATCAACCTTGTCAACATGAGCATACCAGTCTTGATACGAATAAATGTCTCCATTTCCAATGATTGAGACTTTTCGACCTGATTGTTGTGAATAAGTGTTCACAACTCGGGCACAATCATAAATATAGTCGTAATCAGCCTCCTTAGTGTATCTCATTTCTCTACTTCTACCATGCAATGTCAACGAGTCTACTCCGCATTCACACAAATCTGCCATTAATTTGTGAGCAAAATTCTTTCCTGTTTTAGTACCAGTTCTCATCTTGACAGAAACCTGTAAACATAAAACACACATGTGAGTAAAAGGGTAAAAAATATTCGCCATTGAATTCAACTTACAGGAATGCTCAATACTTCTTTCATACCTCTTACAATTCCCATTAATTTTGTTCTCTTTTCCATCATACCAGCACCCATTCCTTGAGAACACAAAGAATTCACAGGACATCCACAATTGACATCCACAAAATCAATGTGTGGAAATTGCTCGTCAATAAGTTGTGCAACTCTAGTCATTGTCAATGTGTCCTTTCCTGCTAATTGAACACCAAAAATTTTCTCAGATTCATGTCTTCTCAATAGTGAAATGTCACCCTTTTCTCCTTTCAAAATTGCTTGTGCAAGAGCCATTTCACCAATTGTAATTTCACATCCAAAATCTTTACAGATTCTTCGGAAAGGTAAATTTCCAACTGTTGTCAACGGAGCAAGATATGTTTTTCCTTTAAAGTCAACTTTTTTAACCTCTTTTGGATGATATTTCGTTTCCTTGTAGGTTAAAATATTGAATTTTTCTTGACATTCTTCTACAGTTTCACCTCTTTCCATCATCTTTTGTTTTGCAATTTGTTGTTGTTTTTGTCGAAGCATATTTTCTTCGTTGTTTGCTTTTGATCGAACATTTGCATCCTTTTTAACAAAGTCTTCCACATGTTTTGTAATTTCATCTGCCTTTTGGAAATTGTAAGCCTTCTTTCTCAACAACTTGACAATGGAATGATCCAAAAAGTTATATTCATCCTTGGGTCGAACTGCTGATGAGACTTCCTCTTGTTCTCCATTTTCTCCATTCTCTTCAGGTTGTTTTTCCTTTTTTTCTTTTTTAAGAGCTTCTCGTGTTCGGTTATGGAAGCTTTTGGTTTTCTTTGTCTTGTTCGAATTGTTGTTTTCGTCTTGTAATTTTCTCTTCTTTTCCGATTCATCAGTGGTTTGCATGGTTTCTTCATTTGTGGTGCAAGAAGAACAAGTGGTAGAGGCAGTTAATGTTGTAACACTGTGCTCTTCCGATGTTGTTGTTGTACTTGCGAAACCACTCTCTGAATGATTGATTTGTTGTTGGTGCTTTTCAATCAAATACTCGGCCTTGATGGGTGCAATTCCTTTTCTTTTGTTGGGATTATCATTGGTTGATGATGATGCACCTTCCGTGGTTGTACTACTGACGACTTGTGTGGCAGAGAGTGATGACGATAACACGCATTCTATTTGTTTGTTTTCGAGCATTTTTTTGTTGATGCAAAATTGGGTTGCGTTTTGAGGGATGAAACAGATGAGATTGAAAAAGAACCACTTTGAAACTTAGAGTTTATTGAATTTATGCAATGAAACACACGGTGGTGATATCGTCAAATTTTCCACCCATGAATCTGAAACCACTTCCTACAGCAAATGGTGTTCGTGCGTTTCTGTCAAGTGAAACAGTTCTTGCTTGTAGGGTGACACATTTGGCAAGTTCATGCGATTGGAGTGGGGTAGATGCATTTGAACCCTGAGAGGCATCAGCAAACACATTGTCTTCAAGATCAACGATTAAAGCACCAACGTCTTCAGGGAACAAGTTATCCCAAACTCCATCTGTTGCCATAACAACAACATCTTCAGGTTGAAGAACAATTTCTTCATTTACAGCATGTTCTGGTAAGTCATGATAGGCAGTACTAATCTCTGCAGGCACGACACCTAATTGGAAAGGACAATTGAAATAGTGTTGTCGCTCTTGCGTAACAAAGATACAAGCACCGTTTCTGAACACTGCACACGTCGAATCTCCTAAATTCGACGTTCTCAAAATGTTGTTCTTCTTGTCAAAAGATGCCACACAGCATGTGGTACTTCCTGCTTGGACTTGTTTTTCATTGACAATCATATCATATGCTGCTTGCATGATCTTATTTGGATTCGACAAAAAACTTGTATTGTTAATTTCTCTCTCACAAATTAATTTACAGTTGAGCATGAGTTGATTGCTAATGTGTGATGGATCGACACCTTGATCGATCCATCCTCCAACACCATCAGCAACACCAATGATGGTGAAAGAATCATTTTCAAAAGTAAAGAAAGCATCTTCTCCACATTGTTCTGCGTAGTCGGAATCGTCTGAAGATCGTGGAGGAGCATATTTCTTACCAATTCCAAATCCACATGCTTGTTTTCGTGGTTCATTCACAAAGGGAGAGTCTGAAGAAGGTTGAGAAGTGGTACTAGATGGTTTTTGTTGTAACCATTGTTTTCTGGATAAATATTGTGGGATACTAGTCGTGGATAACCTAGGAGAAGAAATATTGGTGTTATTTAAATTCTTGTAGGAAATGTACTGGGGAGAAGTCATTCCGAGCAATGATGAATGGAAATGTTTGAAAAGGTTGTTAGAGGAAGGAGATGTCGCAGGAGAAACGCTCCAGGAGCTATTGCTGCCATGACTTAAACTTTGAAAAACTGAACAAACAAGTCCTTGAGAATGACTCAATAGCTTGGAGGTTGGAGCAAGAATGCTTCTCGTAGAGTTTCGGAGCATGTTAGAGGCACTCGGTAAGTCGGAAAAGAGAGAGGATGAAGATGGCTCTGCGTATTTTTCTTGTTGTGTTTTTGAGTCTTCATTGTAAGAGCTGCTGTTTTGGTTGTCGTCTTCATCTGACAAGTCGAGAGAAGCATTGGATGGTTCCTCGTCTGAAGTACTCTCAAAATCCATCGCAGTAGATTTTGAAAAATCGACATGACACATATTGTCCACATCCGAGTTGCTTTCTTCCTCATCGATTAGATCCAATAACGTTTCAATGTATTGGGGATGTTGTTGCGAGGAGATATCTGAGTGTTGTTGATGTTTCATGGCAGCTATTGTTGTGGCATACTCTGAAGCACTGATACTACTCTCTGTACTACAACTATTACTTGTAAAACTTTTGAATTGATTGTTTTCATGAGCAAATGCTGGTTGAACCATTGTACTACACTCCGAGGACATGTTGTTGTTGTTCTTGGTGAGGCTATTAAAAATAAACAAAATTGATTGGAATAATCTACAATGATGATGGAAGATACAAGAATTCCGAAATAACTGGGCTGTAGACTTGTTGTATTGAACGTGATGGAGATAGTATGGATAGATTACACGAGGTGAGAGAGAACACTTTTACAAACAATATTACAAGTGTTGCGTCTTTTTTTTTTGAGTTCGTTTGAAATGAGAGAACTACGAAATTATTTTTGGGTTTTTTTGAATGGCGCAAATCAGCCATTTGCTGGAACGGGTTGAACTTGGTGATCTAGATTGAATTGAACAAACAAAATGGACGAAATTGTTGAAAACTTCTTTATGAGCAAAACAGATCTGTTTATTTGCAAATGCGCAAATATTTGCAAGCAATGAAAATTGTTTACAGCCCATCAAAAAATCAACAGAGCCGTTGGATTTCGAACATGTTTCCTGTCAAAGAATTTTTAAATTTGTTGGAGGTTCTCAAAAAGTATTACGGTTGACGATCATTGCAATGATCATCATGTAAAGTATTGGCCATTCATCCAATAAACGATCAAGCTGTCCCGTTGTCGATCAAGCTTCACCTCCTCTATTGAGGTGAAAATATTCACTCGTGACATGATATCGGTGGGAAGTAATATTAAATTGCTTGCTTGTTCTCCAATTTTCTCTCCAAAATTTCAGTATTTGTGTGGGAGATAAGTAACGAAAAGTCAACAAGTCACAAACAGCGACAAGCAAAATCTGATTGGAATCTGGCAGGATCCTGAATGAATAAGTGTACTCGTTCATGTTGAGTATGTCTTTCAATGTTTCTTTTTGAGACAATTTTGTTTCAAGAAGATCCATTATTAACTTCTGTGCCATAGGATCATTCACAATCATAGTGCCATGAGAAGCATCCAGAATGTTGATCTCATTATTTTCCATGAACAGTGAATAGAGAGGATATGTGACATTTGAATAATTGAAAAGCAAGTCTCTCGAGTCTTTAGAATGAAATTCGAGTTTTTCAATAGATTGATGCTGTTCTTGTTGGGTGTGATGTTGAAGAGCGAAAGAGTGATCGAAAAGTTTTTTTAGAAATATGGGAGGAGAGCATACTACCCGTTCCTTTTTCATGTCTATCAACATTCCATTACATTGTTGCTGAAATGCATTCATGTCTAAAGAAAAGGGATCAAGTACTCGAAAGCAATTTAAATAGTTGTTCATCATGGTGATTGAAATGTTGTTCTTAATCTTTGTGGTTATAATATTCCTGTACTCGTTCAGTATCTCAAAACAAGTATTCAAATTGTTATACATAAAGTCTACATCTCTGTACATGAGAGGTTGAGTCCTGGGATCTCTTTCAACAACCATTTTCTTGGAATAAAGTTCGACATTTTCAAGTTGAGCATCCGTTTGAACCATTTGAAAGGTAATAGATTTGATAATGTGTAAAAAATCTCCTTCTTCTCCAGCAGTTTTAGCATCTAAAATAGTTGATTTTGTCTGTGATGGTTTTGTTTCAAATACTTGTTGAATTAACATGGGAAGATCTTGAGCTCGTTGTTTCTTTTTTAGCATTCTAAAATTGATTGATAAACTGTCATGATTAAAACCTTGATTAGTAAGCCACATTTGCAAACCTTCTTTGTATAGAGCTTGCTTTTTTTGTTTTGATTGAAATTCCTTTTCCCAAAGAATGCATTGTTTACAAATTAGAGCATAGTTCACCGCTTGTACACTTTCAACTCTTTTCATGAAATTTAACGATTTTAAATTTGATTTCATGTCGTCATGATACATCAAAGTTAAATCTTCGTCAATAAAGCCATGGATAACATTCATATTTTCCAATAATTCGTTCACTACATCTGAGGTTTCAATTCCAAGAAATTCTTTCAGCACTTTCTGTTGGCGTATTTTGGCTTTGTGAATTCTACACACTCTACCAACCATGGACAAGATCTGTCTCATACCTCGTGTCATCTTTAATGCAATGTTTCTATGAACAATATCTTTGATAGGACAATCATGCTGTTGTTTGTGCAAGCCATAGGTCAATTTAATTTGATTATTTATCGCATCACACGTCCCTTTGAAACAATCCACAACAATTCCTCTCTCCATGTCAACCACAATTAAATTTCTGTTTTCATAATTCTTATTCTCCACACAAAATTGAAAACATCTCTTTTGACTTGGTAAACGAGTTCGTTTTGGGTTATTACTTTGTAAAGGTGTTCTTGAGCCTATCGGAATCCAATAAATGACATCTCTATCAATAGAATCTGCAGAACCATGAATTACATAGGGTAATTTTTGTAATTTTTCAAGACTCCAATATTCCTCTTCGGTGTTGTCGTTGTTGTTAATGGACTGATCATGATGGTCCTCCTTCTCCTGATGATGATTGAGCGGACAGTCCTTTATGATCATTTTTTTTCTTCTATAAATTTGGATTAATTTGGATTAATTTGGATTTAATTTCTTTCGCAAACTTTAGAGTGGAAGTTTAATTTTGCACTTCTTGAGAGTGAAATTTTTACAGCAAATCACTCTTATAGGATCTTGGAGTGCCAACACTAGCAGGAGTCTCTACATTAGTGACTCCACTTGTGAAATAGGTTGGTAATGAAGATGAAACTGCTGTTCCCACTGGGGATTCAAGTGTTCTTCCAGACGTTCGACTGGTGAGAGGAGCTGTTTGGAAATCGGTCAGTCGTGATCTTCGTAATTGCAATTCTTTGAATGTGACCTCGCCTTCAAAGACATTTTCAGGTCGAGATCCAAAAGTAATGGAAGGAGATCTTCGAGGCGTGTCAATTTCTACATTTTTCATTTCTTCTTTCATAATTTCAACAACTGAGCTATAGAGATCGCTCCGTAAGAAACGTTCATAAGTGTCAATCATTAAAAGTTCAGTCATTAATTGCACGGAATAAAATAGCTCTGTTCGAATTGGATCTTCCGATTGCCTGTTTTCATGACGAAGTAATTCAGTTTCAACTTCTCGGGCGGATTTTCGATTAATGTTCAACTCTCGTTCGCCGTTCAATTTTAAAAATTCATCGAAAATTTTTCGAGCTTCCACCAAACGAGTCTCTGGATCTTCAATTTGTTTATAATTCTCAACTCGAAGCCAGAACAATATATTTTCCTCTGATTTTTCTCGCTCGCTGTATGAAATGAAGAAGGGTAAAAGTTTTGGATTGGTTCTCACTTGAGCTAGTTCAATATTGACTTCCTTGTTGTCGTCCTGTGAAATATTTGTTGCTATATTCAATGATGTGTTGTATCGGTAGTTCAGATGGATAGGTTGATCATTATTGTCTTTCATTTCGCCAATCTTTGCAACGGAAACAAAATCCAAGTATTTGCTCACAAAATTGATAATATCATCATCCGAGTAAGCAAAATCTTCTCTGAACCATTGGAAAAATTTTGACAAGTGAATGGTGTTTGAATCAACATCTACTTTGGTTTCCCTTTGAATATATTCTCGAGTTGCTTTTTCTATCTCATATTCAAGATTATCCACTGAGAAGAGCTGGAAACGAGGCGAGCTCATATCTGCTCGATATAAACAAAAGTGAATTCTTGGATCAAACTCTGGAATTCTCAAATTATTCAATGCACTGATCGCAGAATTGTCTTCAGTTCCCAATATCTTTTGCTTAAACTTTGAAGAAATGTGATTTTCTCGTTCCAAGTTATTGAAATTTCCACTTGTTTTTCTACTGTACTTTTCTCCACGAAGAATTCCATGAGCAATCTCATCGAGTGATAATTTGTATCTTCCAATTAAATACTTCTTTTGATGGAAAAATCGTTTTCTGAGTAAAAAATTGGTTGGCTTTCCACATCGCATCAAGGCATGAAGAACCATGATATTGTAAATGTTAATAAAAAAGCATTTTCTAAAGTTTGTATCTACAATGGTGTTTGGATCAACTTTTTGCAATTTTCTCACTTCATCCATCAAAATTGCATAGTGTTCACTAAAAGCGAATGCCTGATAATCAAAAATTGGTTTTGATTCATATTTGGCGCTGAGATCATAATGAAAATTCATTTCTTTTCCTAATTCTGTCAATGCTCGATACACTGAAACAAATGAAGATTGTGGCTCAAACTCTCCAATTTTTGACTCATCAATATTCAACGTATTTTTGCTTTCATATTCCTCATAGAAAATGTACAAGCTTGTTGAGCTGTCTTCAAAGGTTGGATTGAATTTTTCAACATTTTTAAAAATCATTTGATTCATCATTTGTTGAGCAAAGCAAACAGCATCCAAACGTAAGAACTTTCCAGATCCTTTTTCCATGATCCAGTTCACGAGTGCTTCTCCTGTGAAGGCCTTACTGTGATTTTGTTTGAGTTTTGAAATTAAACCTCCAATTCGTGGCAAATCTTGTTTCAGTCTCTCGACAAAGGTTCTTTCACTCTCGTCAAAGTTGTAAATTGTTGTGATAATATCATCCGTTGGATCGAATAATGGATTATTTGTACTGTATTCTTCTTCGTACAGAGGATTCTTTTCAATCATTTCTTCTTCAAAGAGTGGGTTCAGAGTTCTTTCGCTTTCTTCAAATAAACCATTCACTGTGACTTGTTCAAACCCATCTAACTCTTCAGCATCGACATAATTCTCTGGTGAGAGCATGGCTTCAAATTCCTTGCTACCTAAACTTTGAAAAACTTCTCGGAAAATCCATTGTTTTTTTCTGTAAGTCTCAACTTGTTTTTGAAGTTTGACCGATGCTTCTGCTTTTCTCATTGCTCTTTTGCTCATTCTCTTTTTGTTGATTTCCAAAATGGACTTGACATTGTCATGATAGTTGTCGAAATTGGTATTTCTAAAGTATCGAGCATAATCTTCATTCTTCTCAATTTCCACATCTTTGAAAACATTTCCCATTTGAGCAAAAATAGTACTCGATGAGCTTAATGGACATAAAAATTTTCCAGAGCTTGGTGTGCTTGTTTCGACATCAATGTCAATATTGAAAACTTCTAAAGCCTGTAATTGAGCTTGTAAAAGAGGTTCATCTTCATCGTCCATGAGTGTCAGATCATCTTCTGTATTTGTGGTATCTTCTTCTTCATTTGTAATGATTGAACTTGGAACTGAAGCCTCTGTCATTTCATTTTGGTAATGGCCATGGCCATGGAGATGATTGGATCCTTCGGTCGAATGATCGCTGTTGCTATGTTCGTTTGTGCTTTCTTGTGAATGTGACAACAGGGTTGGTATTCGTTCCTCCTCTTCCAACTGAGAAGATGGATGAACGGTTGTGTCGTGCAGTTTGTTTTCAGTTTTTTCGAATGAAGATTGTGTGACATCAATTTTTACAGTTATTCTTGCGAGAGTGAGATTTTCTTCTTGATAAAGAAGTTTGACAGTTATTTGTCGGTGAGGTGTAATTTCTACAGTCTTTTGACTGGCCTTCTCTGGAGTTGGAACTGTTTTCACTAATCGTGGTGGAAGTTTCTCCTCAGTTCTTGTTGTTATTACTGCATGACTATTATTTTGTGGAAATTCAATCCTGTCTTGTTTTGATTGAGATGGAATTTCGATTGTTGGAGGAGTGATCGATTTCACAGATGTCGTTGTTGATTGTGTTGAAAGAGTGGTTATTGCATCGTGATGGCTTACCACTTCTTTGATCTCAATTCGATCCATCATTGATGGAACATCTTTTGAAATTTGATCAAAACTTTGAGCGAGTTCAGGAGATGACATTCGAGAAGAGCATTCCGATGAACATGTCGAAGCTGGAGTGAGTTTCAAATGAACATTGTCCTTGAGAAGAGTCCTTTTTTGAATTTCACTCTTTTCCAAACTAGTTGGAGTTTCTATCGGGTGTTGCTTTTCTTGTTTGGATTCAATTGTTGTTGTTGGGTTTGAATCCAATGTGTTCAAATCCAATTTGGCCGTGTTCAGCCTATTACTATTTACATGTTGTTGTGCATCTCCTCCTCCTACAGCTGCTACGTTTGTTGATTTCTCATTGTTGTGATTCATTTGTTTTAAATAGTCACCCTGTAATTGAGGACTCGATGGACTCGATGAATGAAAATGTGAAAATGATCTTCTCTCAACAACAGCACTCGAGTTCAAATTTCCATTCTTTTGATGGAAGACCATCGAAGGACTACTACTCGAGAATGAAGCAGCAGAAGCTTTCTGAAACATGTTTGTGAATTTTAGAATGGTTTGACTCACTTTCGAAGGGCTTACATGATGCTTGTTGTGATGTTGTTGTTGACGTACAATTTCAGAAGGATTCACTACTGAAATCAAACTTTGAATGGACGAATTCGACAAATATTTGTGTTTGTCATGATCATCCTTGCTGGATGAAATGAGTAATGGAGCTTTACGTAAGGTTGTGGAGGTTGTTATTGATGCAGAAGAAGAAGATGAGGATGGTGTGGTGGTGGTTGTGATGGTTGTGAAAGAATGATCATCATCACTATTCGTTAGGGAAGAAGAAGAAATGGATTGCGAAAATTCTCGCATGTTGCGATTCATGTTGGAAATGCTGGCGGTGATCGATGAGGATGTGGAAGAAGGAGGAGTGTGTGATGTGGTGGAACTACTTTTGGAGCCATTGATGAGGATCGGGTTGTTGTTGGGAGTGGTAGAGGTCTGTGTTGAGAATGAATGCCAAATGTCAAACAACATCATCACACAAATATTATTATTATTTCATATTATTTCAAGTCAAAATCTAGAACTACCTACAGTGCTAGTATTATTATTATTATTAATATCAACATTATTGGTCAAGCAAGCGACCGAATGTATCTTGAATGATGCTGACTTGACACTTTCTTCATGTTTTCGGATGGTTTCTTCCCAAATTTGTTTGAGTTCAGAGACTCTGGGCGTGAGGGGAGTGGAGCTTGAAGTGTTTTGCACTTCAGAATTTGTTGGAGAGTTCATGATGATGATTTAGAAGAAAGAGCGCGCGGTGATGACCATGAACACCTTTGTGATGGAAAAGGGAGAACGGTATCAAAATGAAGGTGCAAAGAGAGAAGAAGAGAGATGGAACGTTTTTTTGTTGGTGATGATGATTGCATGTTGGTGAAACTCAAAATCAGTGCTTAGGATTTGACAAGTGACGTTTTGAAGCAGTTCAAATAAAGGCAAGTCGACTTGAAAATGCATGAAATTGCAATTATGTCAAAATAATTCATTCAATACAATGACTTTCCAAATGATGTACTCTTGGTTGAAAAAGCAACAAACGTTAAATTTACTGTTTGAATTGAGATGTCAGAAAAACCATTCATTTCTCAATTCAAACAGATAAACTATCATAGAGTCAATTCAATCATCTAAATTATACTATTTAGATTCCATTCAAATCTGAAAGATGTTCTCTCTCTTCTCTTGTAAACACTTTGTTCATTGAGAATTGAAACGGAGTTTCAACGAGCACTCCAACAAAAAATGGGCCGACGAAAGAAACGAACCACCACTTCTTCAACAACGATCATTGACTCGAACATTCAAAATATGACTTTATCGAGTTTTACTGAAGAAGAGGCCAATGTTGATGAAAATGAAAATCAAAACAACAACAACAACAATACTTCTTCAATAGAAACAGGTTCTTCAAATAATTTGTTGGATTTGGGAGAAGTTTCGGAGACATTTCATCATCATGAAGAAGGAAATCATCATCTCACAAAAGACCATGAACCTCATCATCCGAATTCCCATAATAGTCATATGATCACTAATAATAATTCTTATGAGGACGAACAAACAAGTTTTTCTATGGGTGATCCACCATCATCCATGTTGTATCATGGTGATGATAATAATCAACACAATGGTTATCAAAATTCGGAATATGATTCTTCAACTATTTTACAATATGGTGGAAACCACAACAACAATACCAAACAACCCCAATACGTCCAGCCCATCACACGATATGTCAACCCTTATGACGACATTATTGATGAAGAGGAGGAGAACCCAAGGGAAAAACAAAATAATTTCATGTTTTCATCTTATAATGATGAAAAGGAAGAATCAACTCCAAATATTGAAACAGAACATCCACTCATTGAGTCAAAATTCAGTAGCGCTCACTCGGCGTCAACACCAAACCTGGATCCTGTCACACCCTTAGAAACCGAGGAAAATTTACAAATTGAAACAGGAAGACCAAGGGCTTCTCCTTTACAACAGAGAAGTTTTGGAATGAAGATATTTGACTTATTTATTGCATTCTTTCCATTTGGTTTTATTTCATTTGGTGGTCCTGTTGCAAACGTTGGTCTTTTAGGTGAGTTATTTTGTGAACACGATCACTCTGACATTTTCTGGATGAACTATAGAGGAACAATTTGTTTTTTCCAAACGATGGATATCTGACAAGGAATTTACTGAACTATTTGCACTTTCTCAGGCTATTCCTGGAACAGCCTCTACTCAGATAATTGTGGCGATTGGTACCCTATACTTGAACTCTTATTTGGGAGGAATTATCGCATTCATTTTGTATTCTCTTCCAAGTGTTACCATTTTATTACTTGCTGGTGAAATTGCCAGTACCATTTACATACCAGCAAAGATTCCAGATTGGGCTACCAAATTAATTAATGGATTTTCTTGTGGTGCATTAGCAATTGTTATTAATGCAGCTTGGAAATTAACACAAACAGCCATATCTCCTAGCGCTAAATTGCATGTCAGCACCACCTTATTCAAAGTACTAATGGTTGTCGCTTGTGCTCTCTTTTTGCTGGTACAAAAAAATTGGATGATGGTTGTGGTCATGTTTTTTGGTGCTTTCTCAACAGTCATGTATTCATACTTTGAACAAAACTTTATAATACGAAGGATGAAGGAGTACATACCTCAAGAAGAATTACAAAAGCTTGAAGATATGAAAAACAATCCTGCTGTTCCAACTTGGCAAAAAATCCTTAAAAAGTTTTACATGTACATTTCGACCTTTTGGAGAAAACGTTTGCAACAGCCAGAAAACGATTTCTCTGACACCGTTTCTACATTAAGCTCTCAGGAATTTGCAAAAACACCAGTTGAATTGCACAGTCAAAGAATAATCGTGACCACCCACTATGCTTCAGTAGAAACACCTCAGAGTGCAATTGAAGAAAATCACCATAGTTCTCAACTAAGAGAACCTCTTGCAGTTAGAATTCGCAAAATTTTTTCCAAGTTTGGAAATGACAAACCAATTTCTGGGGTTATCATGTTGTGCTCCTTCTGTATCATATTTTTGTTGCTGTTTATTGTGAAACAATTTACAAAATGGAAGTATTTGGTACTATTTGAAGGTTTATATCGTATGGGATCAGCTGTGTTTGGAGGAGGAATTACAATTGCTCAAGTTATTCATTCCGAATTTGTCACCAAGCAAACTCTCATCACTCAGGATCAATTTCAAAGTGGTTCAGATTTAATGGCCTTCCTACCAGGACCTTTATTTAATTTTTCAGCCTATGTTGGGGCTGTTATTGGTGGCTGGCAAGGCGGCTTGATTGCATGGACTGGTCTCTTCCTTCCTGGATTTTTCTTTATTTGGGGATTGCTTCCACTGTGGAGAAAATATCGAGAAAATGCAATGACACAGAAAGTCCTTGCAGGAATCAACGCAACAGCAATTGGATTTGTTTATGCTGCCATTTTACTTTTATGGAAATCAGCAGTAGGAACCAATGTAAATGCATCTGTGGCAGTTCTGTTGTCTTTGTGCATGCATTCTGTGTATTCTATTCCACCTCCAATTTCAGTCGCAGTTTCAGGTGTGTTAAGGTTTTTGCTTTATCTTATTTTTGGAGCATAATTATTGAACATTGTTATTTGAGGAAACGTTTGTTGTAAAACCAATTGTCTATGACACCTGTCACATTTCGCATACATCTTGATTGGTTGATAAATCTTATTGCATCGGCTACATAACACTCTTTGTCTGATGTTCTGGCCTTTTGGAAAAGTCTTTCCAATAAGATATTCGACGCAAAAATCGAGATTAAAAAAAAATTGCTAACCAATTTTGAAATTTTGGAATTTACAACGAACAGTAATAAAACTCTTACTGATTATTTTTATTTACTTTCTAAAATAATTTAAAAGGTCAACAAAATTCAATGTCTATGTTGCTTATTGATCGAGCAAGCCCTTGATGATAGCAATGTAATGCACAATCGATTCCAAATAAACTGATTCATCAAGATATTCATTGTGGTCATGAAGCAGCACTTTGGTGTTTGGCATGAAACTATAACCAATCATATTGATGCCTAATCTTCTTGGAAAACGTGCATCAGTGGCTGCTGGGAAAATTCTCAATTCAGTTTTCATTCTGTCGTTGATAATACTTAAGAATTTCTTTACAGTGGCATCTCCGAGATCAGTAATTGGATTCTTTTTAGGTTGTTCAATAAATCTAATTGTTCCGTTCACATAATTGGCCCATTCATGAAGCATGTCTTCCATTTCAACCAAGTCAATATGAGGAGGAATTCTCATGTCAAATAACGCTGTAGCAGTTCTTGGAATAACATTAGGATTTGTAAAATCTCCAGTCTCTTTGGATGTGTGGCCAGCTCGCAGTCCAGTCAAATTAATGGTCACAACTGTGCTAGGTTGCGATTTTTCTCTTGGATTCTTTGTTTGAAGTTTCATTTGCAATTGCTGTTGTTCTCTGAGTGGAAATACCTTGTCACGAAGTAATTTGTGAATCTTTTCAGTACTGGTATCTTTAATAAATTGAGAACCTTTTGCAGATGAATTTGGAAAATAATTGTAAACGTGAAAAACGTTTAAAATTCATCAAAGACAATGTGTGATTGTACCTACCATGACCAACATTCCCAACAGCAGTAATTTCAAACCACCTAGATTGTCACACGTTGTTGAAAACAATAATGTTAAATATATGCAAGATTGAACGTACCATGCAACATTTTCGCCATAATAAATTGGAATGACATCTTCATTTTCTCCACTGGCAAGACCTTCATCCAATCCAAAGGTAATATTCAATTCGTTCATCATTTGTTTGTCATTTGCCAAACATTCCCAACCATCCGCTGCTCCAATTTCTTCGTCAGCAATGAAAACTACTTGCAAGTTTCTCTCAGGTTGATATCCAGACTGAACCAATCGATCAATGGCTTCCAAATACGCAGAACCAACGCATTTCATATCTTGTGCTCCACGAGCATACACTCTTCTTCCTCTACCTGTTGATTCATCAACCATTTCAGCATCAAATGGTGGATACTTCCATTGGTCTTTATCTACTGGCACAACATCTGTATGACTATTGATCATAATAGATCCTTTTTGCGGATTCTTTCCTTTCCATGTCAATATGAATGAAGGCTTCTCAGGTTTGCACGCATAAATATAATATTTGATTCTGTCATTCTCCGCAACTCTGAGACGAGGAGACACCTGACGCTCAACCAATTCGTTCTCTTTCACATTGAAAATTCTTCGTGTCCAACTCAAAAGGAAATCAACCACCTTGGTATATTGTGGTTTTGGTTGTTGTGTTGGAACTCTCAAATATTCCTGAAATCGTTTCATGATATCATCTCGGAGTTTGGCATCTTGTTTCAAAATATTTCTAAATTCATCGGAGAGTGGATCCTCACGATGCTGTTTTCCAACAGCTGAAATATCAACGGTCGGATCAGCCTCTAATTGTGTGGTGGAGAGTGGATTGGCCTTCACCTCGATCAAAGACAAGAACAACAATAACAAGGCTGAGAGGACAAGAAGAACAATCGCCGCTTGTGGTTTGTGGTTGAAATTGCCACGAAAAGGAATTTCTTTCATTTTTTTGTGATCTCTTTTGAGTGATTGGTTGTTGATCATTAGTTCGAAAGACAAGTAGAAGAAACAAAGAATCTCCTGTTCTTTTGAAGAGATGAAACTGAATTAACATATCTCAAGAAGTAGAGCTCCTTTGAGTTCAAAGTGGTTATCAAATGGGATAACATTAAAAGGTTACTGAAAAAGGCTACAGCACTGCAGGTTCCCAAGTTGTCTCCAACCTCAGTACTGATGCAGCTCGACGATGCTTAACTTCTCAAATCGGACGGGATGAGGTGCATTCATCGTGATATGGCCGTAGCCATTCATGGTTCTAATTCTGTAATTACAAAGCTACATAACAGTAGGAAGATTGAGTGAAACATCTGATGGTTTGAAGTCTGTTACTTTTCTATGATTCACTTTCAAGAGAGTGCTGTTCTCAACAAAACTGAAAATGATATGGCCGTGGCCATTCTTATAAGTGGACTTTTGCAATTTAGCGATGGCTAAATCCCCAGTTTTTGGCCTAAATTTAGCTAAATACGATTTTCGGCTACAAAGTAAACTGAAATTGAGAGTTTAGATTTGATTTAGAAATTCCATACATGGCTGCCAAAAGAAAGGAACTCTGCCATGCATTGAAAATCGTGGTGAATAAGTTTGTTCCAACCAGTTATTGCGTGAATTACAATCGTTTGGAATATGGTTTCGCTCAAGTTTTGGATTCTAAAAAGAAAGTCATTCAGCAGATCATTCAAGAGTATGGTTAAAAGTCAATTCCAAAATAGAAAATAATTAGTTGTTATATTTTGAGATTGATAAAGAAGATGAAAAGCAAAGTGGCGCAGGGGGAGCGTGGTGGGCTCATAACCCACAGGTCCTAGGATCGAAACCTAGCTTTGCTATCTTCTTTTGGGGTTTTTATTCACTCCCATCCTCATGTAAAAGTACTCATGATTTCTTATGACAGTGTATGTTAATTTCGATTCACATTAAAATTGAGATGATAAGCATGTCCAACAGATAAGATGACAGAATGGATGGGAAGAACTGCACGATGACCCGTGGACTTTAGTAGTAAGATGGAATTTTACTATTGTTTGTTGTAAATATCAAAATTGGTTGAGCAAATTTTTCAATTACAATTTCAAACATGCAGAATCTAAAATTAAAAACTGTAAATTAAACAAATTTAATGAAAGCACAACAAACAGATGGAGTGAGGTCGCGATCACCATTTGACATTGCCAGAGACTAACTGTTTGTGAGGCAAGTTGTGTAATTCTAATACCGCAAACTGCTCATTCATCAGAAGCGATTGGTGGCGAAAATCCACCCTTGCCTTTTTAATTTTGTTGAAAACTTAATGAAGAGATGTTTTGTAAGCATGTTGGCCAACATATCTTTAAGAATTCTCTTGACAGAAGGCATACCTGTGTTTTTACAGGAGTAGCAAGTGTGGACTCACTTGATAGATCATCGCAACAATCAACTAAAATCGTGCGCGATGGCTCTTTTTCTACGAGATTATTGGGCATTTTGAAGGTTTTTTTAGGGAACAGTTTCCCTATCTGATTGTTCTTGGTTGTTTCTTTCCTTTGATCGAATTGTCTTTCGATTCTTTTGTAAATAGAATTGAATATATATTGTCATCTCAGTCGATACTTGCCTAACCATGTTTAATATCCACTCTGGTTTCATTTTCCCTAAAATATTAGTGTTAAATCATAAGTCTCTGTCTTTGCTGATGCATTCAGGATCATCCAAGAGTTCCCAATTGTCATAAATCCAAATCCTCGTCGACGCCACAAACTCACTAGAATGACAAGAATGCGGATTGACACTTGTTCTCATTAAGAATCTCAGCTGGATTCGGTGTCATATACTGAATAAATGTTTTATAATCGATTTCAGTTTCGTTCTGAATCTGTACCATGAATACACGTCAGGTCCTTTTTCTTGCGTTACTCCTCCTCATCAGAACTATCATCTAATGACTCACCCAACAATTGTTCAAGGAAATTTGTGATACTTGTTGTTCTTTTTTCCAAATCCTTCTTGGCCCAACTTTTGTCGTCACCAACAATTTTCTCTGAGATATGCAAAACATTTTTGCTTGTTATTGGGTAAACAATCTTATTGAGAGCAGCCAGCTTTTTCTGAACATCCACTGGAAGAGGAGAAAACTTTTTCTTGAGAGAGTAATTTCCAATTTTCAAGAATGAACCAGAATCCCCTCTTTTCATACCATAAGGCTTTGGCATTATTTGCTCCAATTCATAATTATCCGAGTCGAAAAAATTAAATTCTTGTGTCTTGATGGACTGAGGGTCATAAAAGTGAATCACTTTTAGAACCACCTCAAACACCTTTGCCAATTGCGTGGCTTCGCTCTTGGTTGTTTCTTTGCTTAGATCGAGTTGTCTTTCGATCTTTGCCTTCCATCGATTGACCGTTTGACATTGTTTTCCTTTGAGAACTTCAATGTTTTCTTCCTTGTATATTGAAGTGTTATTGAGAAGACTCTTAATATGGTTGAGCAATGGACCAAAGGTGACCTTTTGAGATCCGTAGAGAGCATTTTTGAGCAGATAATCATGCCAAACACCTATAAGAGATTCAATATGGCCCAAGGGCAAATGGTCTAAACGATACGCAGAAAACATTCCTGTGCTTTTAGGTCTGCACTTGTACATGGCTAAAAGAATCATCATCATTATCACCGAGGATTCACGAACTGCTTTTTGGAAGTAGTTCTCGGTGATGTATTGAATGACACTCACCTTTCTCTCGAGAGATTCACTGAGATCGCATTCATCTCTATCATCTCTAGCACCTCTTCCACCTCTTCTCTTTAGCATACCAAAAGCATCAAAAAGGGGTTGCATGTAACTGTTCACAAACTCAAGATGAGTCATTTTGCTCTTTTCTGCCAACTGTTGCAGCATTCGATCGTAAGCTCTTTGTGCTTGAGAAGTGCGAATCGTTGTCACCTCAGTGTCAGCAAGAGTAACATAAACACACTCAAAGATCAATGAGAATAAATCTTCTTTCATCTCTTGGGGCATATCGATCCATTTTTTCATTGCCGTGGCCTTTTCGTTATCTTTCTCAAGGAAATATTGGCTGAACTGTAATTTGAGGTCATCCATTGGAGATAAATCTCTTCCACGACAATTCAAGGTTCCAAAGATCACAAACTCATTCTCTTCTGGTAAAATTGTTGTCACCATGACAGAGCAATTGTTTCTTAGATAAGTTAGAAAGCTCACAATCTCTACTTGCGTTTTGAGATTCTTCTTTAAATGATATCTTGTATGAAGGAGGTTCTTGGCCATTTGGAATGAGGACTGAGAATACACCACTTTCTCTTCTTCTAACGTTGCAAGATATGAGTCAAAATATTTTTTGGTTGATTCTTCTACCCTGGAATTGAAAAACCCATGATTTGCAATGTTCTTGTTGAAAAAAGTGTTTTCTTTCTTAACTGTAGTGACATCGTTTTGAATTTCAATTCTGACTTGGCCCATTGTCTCATACTGTTTTGAAGTTAAGCATTCTTCAATATTGTCGATCATGGCTTTGTACAAGGTATCTGAATGTTCCTTCTTGACGATGAGAGAGCGGAGAGCAGCAAGAATTATCGATAGAGAAATTAAGCGTTGCTGACCATCAATAATAGAGGCCCTTGGTGCTGATTCTGCTTTTTTTAAAAGAACGTTTCCCATAAAGTATCTTCGATCTTTTCTTTTTAAGGCCTCAAAAATGTCATCCAATAACTTGGTGATATCGTCGGGTTGCCATTCATAAGGCCTCTGATAATCAGGAATGACATACAAGCGATTTGAAAACAGCTTGGTGACGTTTTCAGAGGCACATTCGAATTCCTTGGTTGGACAAGGAACCACAGTAGGATTTACTAAAGAGGATATTGTCGATGATTGTGTGTCATTCGAAGAAGATCCCGCAGAGCTTCTTGATGTTTTTTTCTTCTTTGTGGATGACTCAGTAGGAGAGGGGACAGGGAGAGTGCTTTCGTTGAATTCTTGAGTACTTGTGCTAAGGTTTCTTTCAGGAGTTTTTCTGGGAGAAGAAGAAGCATTTTCGTTGTCGCCGTCTCCTTGTTTTGTCTTCTTTCCTTGTTTCTTGGGAGTGATGGACTTCCTTGGTGCCATTTTGTTTTTTGTTTGCTGTTGATGATGGAATGAGATTACATAGACAGGATGGCAAAAGATCTTTTGACGACTTAAAGATGACGAGCGATCATTTGATTGGTTGAATAGAAATTATTTTCATGATAGTGATTGGTTGAAAGAAAATGACATTTAATTTCCGAAAAGGATCGTGATGCGCAGATCGATCGTTTATCTGTGAACCTCTACCTTCGGCACATGGAAAAGATCTACCATAAGCACAACAATTTCGTGGCGGAATCTAATGAGCATCTCTCGCTGAACAATAGATTGTACATTTTTTTGTAATTTTTTTGTAATTTTTTTTCAGGTTGAAGAAGAACTTGGAAATTTTAATAAGCCATGATCTTGTGAGCGATCTTTTCATGAAAAAGAAGAAAATTGAAATTTCTCTTCTGGAAAATAAACGTATTTCTTTGGTATTTCTTTTGAGATTTTCTTCCTAAATCATTCTTTGATTTGCATCACCAATTCTTTTGAAAAAGTCAAAGAAACACAACGCATCAGATCGCATTTTGCAAATCAAATAAGAAGTCACTTTTGTTTTCGCTTCTAAAGAAAAAATCGCTTTCGGAGTCTTGAACTTGTATCATTGAAGGTATCTCATCCAAGCGATGATTTTGTGAGTGATTAATTTGACGCATTCATCTAGCTGGCGAACCATGATTCCGTTTACCTTAATTCCTTTCGCTCAAAAGAACGCTTTTTAGAATCTTTTTAGGAGAATTGGTAATAACGATTTCCAAATCTGAGATGATAATTCTTTTTGCATCATCATCAAGTTTCAGGAATTGTCTCAGGATTTCACATGCTTTTTCTGGTGTTTGAATTTTGCTATCTGATAAAAATTGACAAACTTTTTCTTTGCAGCCATTTCTCTCAACAACACTTGAAGACAACTTGTAATAAAGTTGTTGTTCGTTTTGAAAACACTTGTGGCACTTCAACAATTAATCGAACAATTTTTCAATGAAAGAATTGCTTGGACATTGACCTTCAACTGATCCGAGTATTTCCTCAAATAAAGAATCTGGAGTAATTTTTTTTCAAATATGTACATGTTGTTGGGTTGTGCAATAATCCCTTTTTTGACGAGTGACATCCGGCACCCTGTCAAGAATATTCGTTTTTCTTCTTCAAGCAGATAGCATCATTAAATGCAACCAATTGCCGTCTCCGACTAAGCATGGATTCTCCAAAAAAAAGAACCTTCTCAATAACCTTCTAAACTCCAAACATAAATTTTCCCGAAAACAGAATGACAAATATGCACTCGACGACTGTCTCCACATCATCATCGAATGGAACCTCTCCTTCTTCTGAAGCTTTGAGTTATTATCCATCATTGGCCTTGATCAACGCCGCTACTGCTTCGACTTTTCACTTCCCAACGACACTTTCAACTGCCACCATTCATGTCACCACTCAATTCTCGTTCAGTACAAAATTGAAACGAATTGAACCCACTCTCTCTGAAATGCATCATCACTCTCTTTCCCTGGAAACAGACCCTTCAGATGAAAACTCTTCCAATGACGCTGCGAGTCAATTCAATGTTGTGTTAAATTCTTCATATTTAGAACTCTCTCAACAACAACCTCTCCAGTCGCCGTGGTCATCCTCAGGAGCTTCTCTCATGTTTACCAATTCCGCACTCCATTCGATATTTCGAAACTCTGTTCAACGATCAAATTCGAACTCGAATTCTTCTCGAGCGGAAATGCATTCTTGGGATGTGTTACCTGAAATGATGCCCATGGATGAACAGTGTGTGGCCATGCTCGAACGATTCACAGAAATGACTGAAGAAGAGTTTGAACAACAAGTCAGAATGTGTTGGAGTCCTTAAAGAAGTTTGAGAAGGCCATCATTTGAATGTAACTGGTGTGTGAATGAGTGAAGAACGATCAATCATTCATCTCGCAGCACACAAATGTCGCAAAAGCCAAGAATGGACGAAAAAACGCTTTGCGGAGGGTTGGAAAAACGAGTGCATTTCATTATATGAAAATGTTCGAAGAAATGGAGCTATGATGCAATTTCGAAACAAATTTGGAAAATTACTGCAAATAAAGAAAATGAATTAATAATTCGGAAAATGGATAGTATTTTATTAGTAGCAGATATGGATGAAAGCGTGAAATTAGTGTTATCCATCTTGTTGTTGTCTTCAGAGAAGAAAATTTCAGCTCTTTCAATTTTTGGCAAACCCTGCCATATTATCCACTTTTTCAACAATGCACCATAAATATTAGCAATTTCAATTTTAAAAAGGTTCATGATGAAGAAAAGGCAACAGTTGAGTGTTGTTTTTGCATTTAATTATTGAAGCCAAGATTCAAGTTGTAAGCAGTTGGCAGATCTTAAGGTCCAAGTGTTCACAAAATTCAGTTCATCCCAACAAAGTGTTACACGAAAAGACAGGAGTGTTATGGCGAGAACTTGGCAATGTCTACAATTCGAAAAAGCTCAGTGAACCTTCTTCTCCTTAGTAATAGCTCAGATCACTTTATTTAATTGAGACGATTGAATGTAATTTCAGCAGCAGCAAAACCTGATGCATGTGGCAAAGCTTCAACACCAATGTAAATAAATGTTGGTTGATCATATCTGAATTCAACTCTTCTTCCACCTCTGAAATCAAAGGTATTTCTGTCTGGTCTGGTTGTCTTTGAGGAGACATACATTAAAACATCACCATATTCCATCTTGGCATCAAGGCTCAAAATCTTACCAGCAACGCTCTTGTCAACATAAACACTGAAATATGCAATGGATCCTTGTGGAACGAAGGTGAATTGTGGAGTCTTTTCGAACAAAATGATTGGCTTATCGAATGAGGATCTTCTAGCTCCAAAGTTTGGATGAACAACGACAGAGTAGTGAGCATCATCCTTCTTTTGGAATGGTCCATCAGGCTTGAATTCGACACCAATCCAGTATTTTCCTCCATTGACGAATCTTGGATCCCATCTATTAATCACAACAGCAGAATCACCATTGGTAGTACTAATTCCTTGCCACTATTAGTGATGTGTTGAATGTGAAATAATGGTTGAAGTTAGAAAATAATTGTCAATGTTGCAAAACAGTTCAATGATGTATTGATGAGGAAAGGATTTTTAGAAACAAACAAGCATGAATCAAGGAGATCCAATTTGTTGCATAAATACTTACTTGACTCTTTCCTTCAATTGGTCTAGAGTTAGTGTTGGAGACAAACAAATTGTATGTGGACTTATCTCCAGTAGTTCTAAAGTGCATATTAGTAACAGCAAACATGATTGATTCCAAACGAGTGTCGTTGCCACCCAAATCATATTCCAAGAAATGATATCTACAGTATGAAAATCACAAATGAGTATTAAAATGATGACAATAGGTTCATGTGCGAAATTGTTTCATTAAAGTCCAACCAATCAACAATTGTCATATCATCATTGAATATTTGTTCAATAAAAACAACGACATCTCAAAAAACAAATCAAAAACCTACAAGTTAGGAGTTTGGCTGTTTGGTTGGAAAGCACCCATTTGTGGAACTGAATCCTCCAATTGAATCAAATTCAAAGAGTGTCTAACATGGACAACAAAGAAAACTGAGCATGGGCTAGTAACTGAGGTTGTCAAAGTGTAGTAAACTTGATCAGCATCGGCCAATTGTCTTTGATCGATATCCAACAAGGTAGAAGTAGAAACATTAACAGTGGTGGTCCATTGATAATTGACTGGAGTTGGTACTTGTTTGGTGCTTGCGAAGAGAGAAACTGGAGCATCACAGCCATAAGAGCTAGCATAGGCTACAGCACCACGATGATTATTTCTCAAATTGATTAAATAATTTTCATTTGCATTGGCAATAACGTGAACAGGAACCATGATACCGTTCTTCAACTCGTGAATTTGAGCTGATACAGTGCTATTCTCGGTATAGTTCATCATGATGGCATTCACACGGGAGCATAAAGATGATCAGAAATATGATGATAGTAGTGATATTTCAGACAAGTAGAGAGATCAAATCCGAATTCATCATCACCAAGATCATTTTCAATAAAACAAGTACCACCCCACATACTTGTTAAAAGGCTTTTGAAACCACAAACAACACTTACGCAGCCAACACACACAACAGGACGGCAAGAGCGATGAATGATTTTGTCATTTTTTTTCAAAACAAAATTGTAACAAAAGGAGTTCTCGGAATCAGGACGGGCCTAATTTAGGGAATTCATCATGGGTTGGGCATACTATTGTGAGAGAGAACAGTACATACATACTTGATCTCTATCTCAAAGACCTTCAAGACCCGCGAGCCCTACCGATGTTGCTGCAACTCAATTCTTGAAAAACTCTCAGAAATTCGAAGAAGAATACTCTTCTTGATCAACATGGTGTCAAAAAGTATCATTTACTGTTGCATTCTTATACACCTTAAACGAATCATACTCTTCTGGTGACTTGCAACACATGACATTACAACACAATTCACAATCCAACGAAGGTAAAAATCGATGGCTATCACAAAATAAATTTCCTAGCCATTTGGGAACGCCCAACCACTGAAGAAATAAGGGACAAATTATTCCTCGATAACATCCACACCAAGCTGTGGTGAGACAGCAACAAGTAATGACTGAAACATTGCAGCAACACAAGACCTTGACGGGACAAATATTTTCGAGTATAAATCGATCGATTTGACCAATGATGGAAGTCTCTTGAAAAAGACGTAAAGGAGAGGGACGTGTGTGTGAAATTTTGGACAGGCTGATGCTGGGATATTTTGGAAATTCCACAATATTGTGTTTCATCTTACTAATGGTTCGATCAAATTCGAGAGTTTCAAATGTGAATGATAAGAGATTCAGAGCATTGGTGTTGTTTGTGGATTCGGAAGGTGGTGACTGAGAAGAGGTGGTGAATGAAATTCCTTCTTTGGATTTCACACCCATCTTTTCTTCGTAGTGTTTTCTCATAGAATCAGAGATTTGCATTTCTGATGCATAGATGGATTCCAAATACAGACTTACAAATATTCTTCTCATCTTGTCGTTCATGCTCTCTAATGACATTAATGCCAAATGTTCCTGAATTGACAACACTGGAACATAACATGATGGGAATTTGGAACTTGGAATCACAGATAACAGTGTTGTGCGGCCAACACGACCACAACTGCCTGAACTGGGATTATATAAATTCAAGACTGAGTTTTGATAGGCCTTAATTACATTGTTTTCAATCAGTAGAAAACTTCGAAGAGGTGAATGTTTCGTTTCAGATTTCATAGTATTGGAACAGCCATTCCTGATTTGATACCGTTCTTCCTCAATGATCTTTTTTAAATATCTGACACTTTCTGTATCATAGATTGCTTTTAAATTCATGGAACATTGCTTTTCAATTTTTCCAATCAAATAATCCTTAAATAGGTAATAAAATATTATTTTGACAAATACTGAGGTTTTCAATTCTGCATGTGCGTGTGTCCAATCACCTACAGGCAAAAATTGGTACTTCTCAATCCCTCTTCCATCATAGATTGTTCCATAGGGCTTTATGAAATTTCTCAATTTGTGACGGATTTTCCTTTTTGGATGTGTTAAGGTTGCAGAAATGCTGTCCTCCAATTGTTGAGTAGAATATGAAGGATCTCGATCGTTCATACATGGAACAAAATGAAGATGGAGTATGAACTTGTCAAATAATTGGCATGCATTGAGATTCAAATCAGAATCAATGAGTTGAGAAATGTATAAGTTTTTTCCATGTTCGAAATGTTTGTTTTTCCAAGAGTAGAGAAATTCCTGAATAGAAATATAAGGATCCTCTTGTGGTGGCGTTGAATTGGTCAAATCATCTTTTTCATATTTTCTTAATTGAGTTTCCTCATGTAGAGACAAAAAATGTTGAGTTGATTGCTTCTCAACACTAGCAATGCCATTCTCAGAGTCATCAAGTGGGTTTAAATTAGATGCTTCTATGTCGTTTTTTGCGGCGGATTTCTTTGAAAAATAACGAGCATGTAAAAACTCGGTCAGTATTTCTCGATTTCCATTCTTATCGGAATTCACATGAGCACTGTCGATATATTTCCATAGTGTTGAATATTCCACTTCATCCTGATTTGCATTTCCACCGTTCTTATCGCTCTCCTTTTCACTTTTCGTATATTCTTTACACTTAGGCCACTGAATTTCAATTTCAACTTCTTGCGATGAAATTTTTCGACACTTGTTCTGAAATATTTTCTTCATGGCATCAATGACATGTTGATAGGGTTCGCCCTGTTCAGTGTCTTCAAAATCCACATTGAGGCCCATTTGAATCACCACTCGAGGTAAATAGAGAGATTCCAGCTGGTTTCTTAATGAATCGGAAATATGAATTGGTGGCAATGAAGAAATTTCTTGTGATCGTAATGGACTCGAAAAAGAGCCACCACTCAAGAATTGATAAAGAGATCGACAGGTGAATTTCAGAGATTGTACATCGGGGGCAGAGAGAAGACCGAAGGACAAGATGTGGGAAAGAACATCAGAATCGAGTTGCGAAAACGATGACATTTTTTTCACACTGACTTAAAATTGGCGAGTTCTCGTTCCCAACGAAATACAAAGAACACAAGTTCTCCCACAGGAATAAGAACTCAACTTTTGAAAGGATCATCAGTTTTCAAACCTGCCAGATGATACCTGTATCCCAAAAGCTCGCAGGAATGCCTTGGTTTATGATAGGTATGAAGGAAATCTCGGTTGAGTTCTCTCTTCATCTCAACAACAAATTTGGAAATTTCCAATTTCGTTGTGAAGGCGCTCGTTTTCCTTAAAATCTTAATAAAAAAATTCATTTCTCCCTCATTGCCACCTCTCACCGCAAGAATAACCTTTCACAATTTAAATTGTTGGCAACAAATCCCCTTCTTGAAAGACCCCACATACGAAGAATCATTTCTTCATCTTCTGTTGTCATTACACTCAAAAAGCTTTTTCACACTTGCGTCTTGTCCAAAAAAGGTCATTCAACAAAATTCTTGGCTCAAAATCGTTCTTTCCTATTCATTGGACCAATTAACAAAAAAGACCTCTTCATCCTTGAATCAGACTGAAAGCACAGTGCTCATTCTGTGTTCACACCTCCACTCACACCTCTCTCATTCAATATTGACAATAATTATTATTATTATCATTTTAATAATAATACCTCTCAACGACAGTCAGGCAACACCTCAGCAACATCACTCTCTCTATTGCGTGTGTGTGAACAAAGAGAGAAACACAGTTCAAATGGTTATTCTGATGATGATGATGAATTCAATCATTGAATCGAAAAGCATGAATTCTACTTCATCAACTGCATCTTCCCAACTTCCATCATCACAACAAAATACCATGATGATGAAACGAAGGAGAAGAGAACCCATCATTCTTGATATCAACAACAACAACATGGCAACCCCATCCTCCACCATTACGAATAGTTGCTCCTTCTCAATCTATCATCCTTCTCGAAGTACGAATAATTCTTCTTCATCATGCTCCACAAATAACTATTCCCAGTTTGATATTGCAGCAACCACCACAACATGCACATGTTCATCGAATAACCACCATTATCATGAAGGCAACAATGAACATCATGCTCCAATGAGCGAGGATGAATTCATCATGCTATGCGAAATGAAAAGTTTCATGGATGAAAATTGTCGGAAAATGTTGCAAGAATTCCTCGAGATGAATGAACAAGAGTTAGAAAGAGAGATGAAAAAGTTGTGGGATCCATGAGAGAGATGGGTGAATGCGTGTCGATACCGTGATGATGATGAAACGAGAAGGAAAGGACTCTTCTCTGTCATTGGAAGATGGTTCCAAACGATCATTTTCAATAGGACTTTACCATTTGTTGGTTGATTCAGGCGAACCAAGAACATTTGTGCTTATACGATCTGTCTCACACACTGCTTGATCTCTTAAGCAATATCCATGTGACGCCACAACAATCCAATAAAAAACAACAACATGATGATCGCAAGTAAGGCTTACTTTTTGGTCAATTAATTAAATAAAAAATAATAAAATTATTAGAAAAAAATATGAAGAGATATTCCTCTCTCATTTCATGCCAAGCCTTGAAGCAAGCTTTGCTGGATACAAAGCCAGGCATGAGATCTTCTGTGATTAAAGTTTTGGATGGATCATGGCACATGCCCGCCACGAATAGAAATGGATATAAGGAATATTTGAATGAACACATTCCGACTTCATTGTTCTTTGATATTGATGCTTTGAGTGATCCGAACACTGATCTGCCCCACATGTTACCTCCCGTGAAAATGTTTGAAGAGAGTATTACAGAGATGGGTATTGTCAATACTGATCATGTCGTAGTTTATGATACAGCGTTTACTTCGGCTTTCAGGTGAGTCTATTCAAACGTGAAAACAACAAGATTGTTAAAATAATGAGAAAATCAAACATCGCTTTTGCCATTGATTCTTTTACTAATTTCTTTCACCAAACACCCATCGACGACGTGACGATATGAAAATAATTTGAATTGATAATTTTTGATGATCATAATGGTTTGCGAAATTATTGTTTACCTACTATGAAAATATTTCAGAGTATGGTTTACGTTTAAAGTATTTGGTCACAAGGGAGATGTGAGTTTGTTGGACGGTGGTCTCACGAAATGGAAATTATTAAATTATCCACTTGAAAGCGGCCCACCAAAGCCAGAGAAGAGAGATCAACCTTACAAGGCGAACTTCCAAGAGCAATTTATTGTAAAATTGGACGATATTTTGAGCAACCTCAATAGCAACAAGGCATATGTTGTTGGTATGTGCAATGTCATTTAAAAATTCTTGCCATCTCACGAATGAAAACATTCTTTTCACATAGATGCAAGATCTGCTGAGAGATTTAATGGAACACAATCAGAACCTCGTCCTAATTTGAAAAGTGGTCACATTCCAAACAGCTTTAACATTCCATTCCCTACATTGGTCAATCCAGAGGACAAGACCTTTAAGAGTCATGAAGAAATTTTAAAGCTCTTCCAAAAAGCTGGCCTCAACATCAAGCAAGTGGATGGCAAAATTGTCATCGATAAGCCAATTGTTGGAACTTGTGGCAGGTATGTATTTTCTTGCTGTACTTTTCCTTTCTTTATCATCCATTTCACTTGATACAATGTCGTGAATCCGTTGATGTGTCTTCTCCATGCAGTGGTGTGACTGGTTGTGCTCTTCTTTATTCTCTTAATTTACTTGGAGTGGAATTGGATCAACTCAGACTCTATGATGGATCCTTCTCAGAATACGGAAAGGTCGCCTTTGATCATCCAGTCCATCAAAGAAAGTGATTAAACACAAAATTAACTATTTTCGACAAAAAATAATTTTTAATCCTTATTACCTTCAAACATGGGTTAAAAGTGTGAACATCTCTATCATATTGAAATAATAGATGATATCCAATTAGATCGAATTGCATTTCATCTATTCCCTTGACCTTCCTCTTTCGTATTCATTTTTTGTAAACTTTAACGGATCTAGCCGTTACACAATTTTTTTAAAAAATGAATGTCAGCAATTTTTCAAAAAATTAATAATTATCAAAAAAAAACTTTCATCATCTTCGTGATTGTGTAAGTAGTATTGGCAGTCTTCAAAGCAGTACTCGTATTAATAGTCGAACCTTCATTTGACATTCCTTCAACCCTTTCGATTCTTTTCGATCGATTCCGGTTGCTTCGATCGACATTAATTCCTTTATCGAAACCATAGAATTCACCCAATTTCAACCTCTCTTACCAGCACATTCCACCAATGATGATGATGAACATTGATACGGAGAACCAACTCTCCAACAATCTCAACAACATGTCCATTTTGGACTCTCAACAGAAGAGAGCTTCGATGAATTTCGGTTCCCTCGCCTCCACCACTGGTACCAATCCTTCTCAAAACACCAATCGACGAGCATTGGTTGACATTTCAAACAAGACTGCCTCTACCATGAATTCCATCCAAAATGTTGCCATCACTCAAAAGCCAACAATTCCAACCATGGTAAAGCCCAACAATTCCACCACTGTGAAAAAGGAAACCTCTTACACTTCTCCTGTGAGAAAGAATGCGGTCGATGCCATGATCATGAGTCCTAAGGTTGATGCCTCAGATGCCGACAAGCCAGAGTCCTGTGTCGAGTATGTGAAAGACATTTTTTCACATTACAGATCCATTGAGACCAAGTACATGCCGAATCCAAATTACATGACTTTCCAGAGAAATTTTAATGAACAAACTCGTGTCTTGACCATTAACTGGCTTTTGAATGTTCATAACCATTTCGAATTGTCCCCAGAGACCATGTTTTTGTGTGTGAACATTTTTGATCGATTTTTGAGTGCTCATCCTGATGTAGCCCTTGAAAAGATTCATCTCGTGGCAGTGACCTCTCTTTTCATTGCCACCAAGTATGAGGAAGTGAAGCCATTGCTCACCGAGCACGTCATCAAAATCACTCGAAAAATGTATTCGAAAGAAGAAATCCTCCACATGGAAAGACTCATTTTGAAGACTCTTGATTTTAACTTGACCATTGCGAGCTCCAATGTCTTTCTCAAGAGATATCTCAAATGCAGTGTGCAATTCGATGATGTGCAAGTGTTCATTGCCTCCTTTGTGAATGAAATGACACTCTATGATATGAACATGTTGAATTACACTCCAAGCACTGTTGCATGTGCTGCCATTTATGTGGCAAGATCTTTGAGAAAGTTGGGTGAAAAGTGGAATTCCAATCTGATCTATTACACTGGCAAGACTGAAGAGGAAATTCTTCCATGTGCTCGTCAAATCTATTACTTTATGAAACACTTTTGCAATACTTTATATTTCGAAGGTGGTAGAAAACCAGACAGGAACTTTTTGCTGTATCGATATGGAAAGGAAGATCGATTGAGAATTTCTGAGAGTATTCGACATGTGTTTTCTCAGAAGAGAAAGGAGTAAGGGAATCTCAATGTCAATACTACTTTGAAATTTCTTTTTTCTCACAGCTCTGTGGATTTGGGCTACTCAACTTGCTAGGTTTTTCTATTGCGAATTGTAAATAATTTATTTCCATACAAGTCAATCGTATAAGACTGCGTGACCACTGACTTGGCCACTCTAATAATGTTCTTTGTGTGAAATGGCCACTCTTCTGGATACTAGTAGTGTCTAGAAAGCCATCTTCGCCAGCATTTGAATAAATTCGTCAAATTCTTAAAGAGATCTTCATTTAATTCAATCGATACATATTTCCGTATTGAATGGTTGGTTGCTGTTTCTCATCAACTTCGACAATGACGACAGCCATTGTGCTTTCATCAATAATTCGGTAGGTGGTGGTAATGAACGACGTTGGCATGACCACCTTTAAAATTGCCACATTATTTAAAGGATAAAACTCTCCCTTACAAATATTTCCAAGATATTTCCATTGAAAATGTTGAATTTCTTGTTGAGCTTGCGTTTGTTGTGAAAGTCTATGATTTGTCGTCGTCGTCGTTGAAGAGGAGGAACTAGTTGTGGATGAAGAGATGAGTGGTTGAAAGATCATTTCATAGGCAAATTTCATGTCTTGAGGTGAATTTCCAAACGAGAAACGAGCATAACGATGATTTGGTGTGGTAGTATTGGTGGTGGAGGACGATTCTGAAAGGTAGGTGGATTCGTATTTGGTATTTTCCTCAAATTGAAGAAATGTATTACTTGTTGATAAATGTTGATCTATCATTTGAATGTGGTGCATTCATCATTTCAAATAGTTTCAATAATTATAAATGATTTTTAAAATTCCGATTTGGCAAATTTCATGAATTCGTATACAAATAAAATCAACAGAAATTTCAACATACAAATTCCACCAAATTCTCTCCATTCCAAATTTCTCTTCCACTTTCCGATCAAATACGTGAAAAAATCAATCGACGACGAGCCTTCTTTGGATGCCATTTTTTTTCTTTAAATTTTAGAAATTTAAATTCGAAAAAAAATTTATGATAATTTCACATTATTTACAACGAAAGGTTGAACGAGGTGCTTTGGTCATCATTTTTTTTGTTTGAGAATTCACATTCGTGATAGTTCCTAATTTGGAACGCCCGAATTCCAAATGGTTACTCTCTTCACCAATACATGCAGGACCACCCTTTTTCTCTTATTGAATCATGTTTTGGACGGGATGCCTGCCAGGAATATGGCGACACTCCCGCTACAGTCTTTGACTGTATGAACTGTGAGTGACAAAAGCGCAAGCCTTTGTTTGTAATTTATCTTTGTTGTTGGACAAGAATTGTGAGCAGGAGTGTTGTATTTACTCGAGCAAAGTACCGCCAAGGAACAAATATTGTTCGACAATACAAAAGACTGATGACACGGAATTAATATACTATTTCTCAAAAAGTGAGGTTGACAAGAAAAAAAGGCTACAGCACTGCAGGTTCCCAAGTTGTCTCCAACCTCAGTACTGATGCAGCTCGACGATGCTTAACTTCTCAAATCGGACGGGATGAGGTGCATTCATCGTGATATGGCCGTAGCCATTCATGGTTCTAATTCTGTAATTACAAAGCTACATAACAGTAGGAAGATTGAGTTAAACATCTGATGGTTTGAAGTCTGTTACTTTTCTATGATTCACTTTCAAGAGAGTGCTGTTCATATCATCTTTATCACCCAAAAAGATACATCTTGATAAGGGGTTTCCATTAGTTAGAAAATTAATCAAGGTGGTTAAAAGAAAGGCTCCATTCGTTACTTACACACTCCTTTAAAGATACCTGCAAACAATGAAAGAACAATCATTTGATCGACTGTAAGCTTTGACTTTCGAACACCCTCTGTTTTCATCTTTTCCATCACTTGGAAAGGGGTATGAAATAGAACTAGAGAAGGGTTATAAGAAGACTGGGTTGCAATTTGAGGCTGTGATGGCATTGACGAAGGAATGGGAAAGGTGGCATGAGTATACCCAATCAATAAAAACCCAAAAGAAGATAGCAAAGCTAGGTTTCGATCCTAGGACCTGTGGGTTATGAGCCCACCGCGCTCCCCCTGCGCCACTTTGCTTTTCATCTTCTTTATCAATCTCAAAATATAACACCTAATTATTTTCTATTTTTGGAATTGACTTTTATAACTCAAAGACGATGAAGAGAAAAAACGACAGAAAAAGAATGATCACAATGCTGCATCAATTTCCATCAATTTTGTTTATTCAACGTCACACCTCCTTTTTTCCTTGATTCATATTCTTGAAACCATGATCGTCCAGGATAGACGAGCTGATTGTCTGCAATAGCCTTCTTACTTTGGAATGAATCTGCTTGCAAGATGGGGGAGTTGTCATCAATCGTTTCTAATAGTTTGAGAAAGTTCTTTCTGAAATGTCTCGCACGAGACTTTAAGGATGCATTGATGATGAATCCATCTGTGATTGGAAGTTTTGGATCAAAGTAGGAGGTCTGAATGAATCGAGTGGTATTCTCATTCATCCTAATGAAAAGATTACAATACAAGATATCAATCAATACTTTGCCTCGTGTTAATTCTTGTTCATCCGGATGTGAAAAAGATCGAGTGGAATGTCCCACTGTCACAATACAATCTGCATAGGGATCATAAATAGTAGTCTCTGAAAACCAACAAAATCTCTTCTTAACGCAAGGTAGTTTTAAATCCATTCCAAAACATCCAAGTGTTAGAGCAAGGGGTGGTTGATCTTCATCATAGAATTGCTCTCGTTCTTCGGTCACTGACTCCACAATCGCCTTATTGTTACTCGCATGACTGTGATGAGGAGGACGGTAGGTCATGGCATGTGAAATTGACATCATTCCCTCATCGATTTTGAGTCGTGACTCTCGATCACTAAACACTGAATAGACTTTCTCAAGGGGATACGGAAATGATAAAACATACTTGTTGAGCGCATGGGGATTAGAGGTTCCAAAAGAATAGACTGTCTTTGAATAATACAAGCAAAGACCTTCTTCTTGAAGACAGAGTCGCCAATCGGGTGTATCTTCACACAAGGCAAATGCAAAATAAATGTCCTTATCGGTCAAGAGTCTGGATTCAAAATCTTTGGGTTTATATCTCACATCAATGTTTCTCCCTTTTGAAACATCAATGGCAATGCTTCGAGTGAATGTTTCTCCCATTTCGATTAAAAAATTGTCCAATAATTTGGAACGAGAAAAGAGAGGAAATTGATCCAATTTCAAATCTAAAATAATGTTGACTTCACAGGAATCAAACAACTTCGTTGGTTCCAACATGAGAAATAATTGTGTCAGTCCATCCTTAATGTCAGTGTTTAAATTTTTCGAAGTTGAGGCGGAATTGGATGTATTGCTGGCAGTGTCACAAATGATTTGATCTGGAAACATGGATTTGAAATGATAGTCAATTTTGGCCCAATTCTTTGTTATGGTGGACTTGAAATGACCCAAGTTGAGTTCTTTGACTCCAATGGTGTCAATGTAGTTATAAACTATTCGCTTTGCTTGATCATAGAGCTTATATACCATCTTGATGGTTGATTTGTTTCCCCTTTCGAATGAATCCTTTTCAAATTCTACTTTTGTGTTGTGGTAATCGTTTTTATACGACTTCATGTCTTCCAAAAACAGCAACGCTTCTTCGCTATGAGTTTCTTCCTTTAAAAATCGCTTAAAACAATTACGTGCATCTTTGTTATTTATGACTTCATCAAAGACCACCATATATCGAGAAATGAGAGAGTGTCTTCCCTTCCTTTCATTACTGCTGCTGTCCGATGCGTCTGCTGATTTAAACAATCGCATGGTTGTTTGACGGCTTTGAGATGTGTTTTTTCTTTGGACTCTAATTGTGTGTCACAGAATGTCAACATGCAACATATCAAAATCTTATCTGTGAGAGATGGAGCTCGCTGATTTCATACTTCAACAGAGGCAGAGATTAGTTATCTCCTTGGTTAAGAACAAATATGTATGAGACGAGCTGTAAAAATACATTTTAGTTTTACAGGTAGGAACTTTTTCCATGTGATGAATGGCCTCTAGGAAACACCACACTGTCCTCGTTATTGGAGGGTGTGACCGTTTGTTTCTTTCTCGACTCGTATTCTTTGAACCAAGACCGATTGGGGTACAGACGAGAGTTGTCATCGAGCGCTTGTTGAATTTTGAACACATCTGAGGCAAGTGAGGAGCTGATGTGATGTTCATTTGGCGATTGAGTGGAGTTACAACTCTTGTTGTAGAGGCGCATGGCGCTTTCAAATTTTTCAAATATGGTTTTTGCATGTTTGGTGATGATGTTTTGTGATAGAGCTTGAGAATTGAGTGGAAATTTGCTGTCCACATAACACACTTGAACGAGTCGAGTGGTAGTCATGTTCACTCGGAAAAACATGCTACAGAAGTGGAGGTCGATCACGACTTTGTCATTTGCAAAATCCTTGTATTGTTGGGAATGATCAAGTGGTAAAGTTGAATGGCCCACATTAACAATGCACTCTGCATGAGTATCGTAGATACAGGTTTGAGAGACAGAACAAACTCTTTTCTTAACTAAAGGAAGTTTCAAATCAAACCCTAAGAAACCAGATGCAATACCAAGAGGTGGGGAAGCACTATCGTATAGCTCGTCTCTTTCGTCAATCACTAATTCCTTCTGTGGATCCTTGGTTTTAAATGATTTAATAGGAGGGACATATTCAAGAGAACAACTTTCTGGTAATAGTCGATCACTTATCTTGAATCTGAAATCTCGATGACAAAATGCATTAAATACATTTTCAACAGGGAATGGAAGAATCAAAACTGATTTCGAGAGGTTCATGGAAGAACTGTCTTTGCGAAATGTAAAGTTTGCTTTTGAGTGAAACAATTTGACTTGTTTGCTATCATACACCAAATCCCAGTGTGGACTATCTTCACACATTGAAAACGCAAAATAAATGTCCTTATCTGTCACTAATTGTGTCTCAAAATCCTTTGGTCTAAATCTTACATCCAAATTTCTACCTTTTGAAATATCTACAGCAATAGAGCGTGCGAATGCCTCTCCATTGAAGTAGAGAAACAAGTGGCAACATTGTGATCGTGTGAATCGTGGAAATTGGTCGAGTTTCAAATCTAAATTCACATTCACTTTGCAAGATTCAAACAGTTGTTTTGGATCGAGCACTTCCATCATTTGTCTCACCAAATCTCTATTGTAAATAATTCTCTTTGAGTGATTTTTGGATTGATTCTGTTCACTTTTGTGAGTACCAGATGGTGTTGAAGCAGGGGAGACAGGAAAGAATATCGCAGTGGGAGAAGTTGGTGTGCGTGGGCTTTTTGGTGACGTGGGAGGGCTTCCTGTCGTGTCTACAGAAGTTTCTTCTTGCGTTGAAGTGATAAGTTGCATCAAGTATTGGATTCTGTTCCAATCTCGTAAAGTAATGTTTTGAGAATGACCCAAATTGAGCTCACTTTGTCCATGGAAATTAACATACTTGTTAATGAGTTTGTGGGCCTTGTGGTACAACTTGGTGATGCTTTTGAAAGTCGTCGAAGAAATTTGTGAATCATCTTGCAAGAAGTATTCATTGCTCTTCTTGAATTCTTTTTCGTAAACTTTGAGGTCTTCCAGAAAATTGAGAGGCTCTTCATTATGAGCCTCTTCCTTCAGAAATTGTTTGAACACTCGTCTCGCATCTTCATTGTTCATCATCTCTTCGAAAATGATCATGTAATGAGAAGCAAATTCCATTGCCTCTTTTTCGCATTCTTGTTTGGTTCGGAAGAGAGGAAGAGAAAATTTTCTTCTCGACGAGGACGTGTTATTTGATGCTCTTGAATCTTCGTTGGAATGCATGGGAGTAGAATGAAGGGATGACATTATTTTTCAATAAATAACATCATGAATGGAATGATCTCCATTCCGATACTATTCATCAGATGAAATGAAGTCTCTAAATAATATTTTCGTCTCCCGAAAAAGGAGAATAATATTGAGAGAGGCCTCGCATCCAAATAATTCTATCTCCAATTTCTTTTTTCATGAACTTCATCATGGGTCGGTGCTTGTAATAGTATTTCCTTGAGCGAACGAATATGCGCCATTGTTGTTTTATTTGTCCTTCACTCTCATTAAAGCTCTATATTTCAATCTTCCAATTTTACTTTTGAGAAAAGAGAGACATTTGCCTTATTATCGATATAAAAACCTCATCATCACGGACAGAAAAAACGAAAATTTTTTTATGCGAGTCAACATGTGGTCCAGCAACATAATTAAACCTTTCTTTTGAGGTCTCCAATTTACAACGTTGATGTGAAAGCCTAATGTGGAATTGAATAATTTCTGAAGAAAGAAAAAAAATTCAGGGATGAGTTTATTCGATGATAAACGTTGTTCGATGGTTTTATGTACATTATTTAAAAGCCGAACGTAAGATACGTAGTGACTTCCTAGCAGGCACCCCGGAAGTAAAGGTGTTTAAACTGCTCACGATAACAGCAGCAACCCCTGGGATTCGAACGCTGGACCAGTTGGCTGCCACAGTTCCAGAAAAACCACTCGGCCATATGCGGGCAGCAATTTTTAATCATTAAATTGAGAGAGCCAAACCCGAGAGTTGTTGTTGTTGGCGATTCGAGGTCTAATAAACACACAATTAACACTTAATTCTTCTTCTCAAAGAACTTCTTTGCGGTTTCATATCCCTTCTCAATCATATACTCCATTTGCTGCTTATCAAATCCAATAAAGTAACCTGGAAGCCACTCATTGGGAATGAAGGCTCTAATCTCCACCAAAGGATCATCCTTATAGGCAAGTCGGGCACTCTCTAAATCCCTCAATACAATATCCATCATAGACCCAAACATAGTTTCCAACAAAATAAAAGGCGTGGTATGAAAATCAAACACTTTCGGAAAGGGAACGGAATTAATGGCCAACAAAACATCCACAACGACACTTCCCGAAGTGAGGTTTTTACACTTCTCAATGGCATCTGTAATGGGTGTCACATATCTCACTCCGCCATCCACATACAAAGAATTGTCAATACTCACAGCAGAGAATATTCCTGGAATGGCTGAGCTTGCTCTCACTGCCGTTACGATTTGATCAAAATTCAGATGGTTCTCACTTGTGAATTCTCGATAGGAGAAGGTTGAAAGATCAGTGGCTCCTACTTTCCAGAATCGATCAGATTTTTGTAATTGTGTCCAATTTAAATGTTTTGACAAATAGCTCTCTAAGGGAGAACTGTCGAATAAGGAAGTTTTTAGAAAGAAGCCTTGAACAATTCCAAATGGTTTCCAATTTTGATAAATCAAGTCGGATTTTAGACTGGACCATTCGTTGAGAAGATACTGCACTGCTTTCACTTCTTGTCCAATTTGAAATTGACTAAATGCCACTGCATTGATGGCTCCTATTCGATGTTGAATATGCATGTCATTCCAACACCCAATGTAAAGGCATCTAATTCACTTACCTGCACTATTGCCAGTCACGACTCGATATTGAGTTTCCTCTAGAGGTCTCTTTTCGACTGAGTTGATGAATTTGTGACAATAAAGATGTTGTTAGACCTATTAAAAATTTCTTTCCATGATTTGTTGATTAATACAAACCTAAATATTTCAATACTCCAATCTCAAAAGATCCTCGATCGCCACCAGAGCCAAGAGCAAGGGAACGACAAGAAGAAAATTCTTCCTGTTTTGCAAATGCAGAAAAAGAGCACAAGATCATGCACAATGAAACAAACACTAAAGCACCACACCATAGACGTTTAGGCATTTTGTTTTTCGAAGATGAATGGAGGATTTACTGTTGCTGTCATTTACATTTTTGTAAAATGTCTTTAAAAGGAATTGAGAGTGAAGCTTAACAACAGTCAATTAATTGTCAAAAGTTGATATTGCGAAAAGAGCTTTTGGTGTAAAAGACAGATGAAGCCTGATGTGAATTGGAAGAAGAAGTGTCTTGTGATTGAGGTTGTTGCTTCGTCATGGTTTCGTTTTCGCTGTTCTCTCTTCTTACTTTTGGTCGTCCTCTTTTCTTCTTTTCTTGTTTTTGATTCGAAAAGGATTCGATTGAGTAATTGCAGAATGGATTCAAACGTAATTCTTTGTTTTGAGAGCAAGATGCATTTACCAGAAGGTGATTCGTGTGTTTGGATGAATGATTATTTCTTTTTGTTTTGTGTGGTTTGGAAATGATGTTTTTCCCACCGTTTGTTTTGGATGAGCATTTGGAAGATGATGATTTCGAGGACAAGCATGATGAGGAGAATGAATTGTCCTCTGATCCAACTTTGGTGACCACATGAGAGTGATCAAGACTTGTTGGTTCATTCATCATGATGGATTGTTGATTTACGAGAATTGTTGTTGTGGTCGAAGGAGAAGGTTCACAGAGAGGAATCCTCTCGTCAGAAACCTTTTCAGAAATGACCAAACGCATTGGAGAAACCAGATCCACCTTTTCCTCTCTCAAAGGTTGCATGCTCTGTTGTTGAAGTGGTGGTGGTGAAGAGTAGAAAGAAGGCATGGAAAGTAGTGATTGACAAGATTTAAAACTGCTACTCGTCATGGTTGGAGTGATCGCTGCAAAAGTGTCATTAGGAACTTTGCTACTTGTGAATGATGATGATGATGATCGTGCGGATGGTTGTTGTTGTTGTTGTTGTAATGAAGGTCCATCATCATCATTTCTCGCACCCACCACCATGAAAGATGGAACTCCAACATCATTTAGAGTCTGCATGCAGATTGGAGGACTTTCCATGAAGTTCAACAAAGCATGTACAACATTGTCATCATCATTACTCACAGGATGCAATTCTTCTTCTTGTTGTCCATTCAAGAGCGAGAGTGAATCGATTGGTGGTGGTTGAGGTTGTGATTGTAGAGGAGGTGTTTGTTCTGTGATGTGAGTCAACCTTGTTGGAAATATGACTGGGAGATGATTCATGGAGGGTGTTGACATGTTTGGCACATGCTGTGGGATGGTGTCGACATGTTGAAGGAAAGAATAAGGTGTTTCAATGGACAACGGAGGATTGTTGGAGAACGTCCTCTCAGGAGTCTGAAAGACACTCGCTGTTGTTTTTGTTGTATGAGAGTCCATACAATGAGAACCTTGTTCATTACCACTATCGCTGCCACCACTGACACTAATTCCAACATGAGATTGCGCACTACTGTTGGTTGTTGGTGTTTTGGTTTTGGCCAAAAAAGAAAGTTTGGAGAGAATGTTCACGTATGTTTCGAGAGGAAGCTTGTCAATGTTTTGTAACAGCCAATTCATCGTGAGTTGCAAGATTGAATGATCATCTCCCTGGTTGTTTGAATGGTCCATCGTGAGTGTATTCATTGTGGAGGCTTGATCACACATACTTATTGTTGCCCTTATGCTGCCACTTGTCATTTGATTTGGAAGAGTTTGGAGAGAAACAATGTCATCATCAGACTTCGAAGGAGGAACAAAGAGGGATGAAAACAACAACTGCATTGGATTTGCGTTCTCTTGTGGAGTGCTGTTGTTGAGGAGAAATGGACTTGGTCGTTGTTATTGAGGAAACATTTTGAAAATTTCTTTTTGAGATTAAGAGAATGAAAATGAATACAATCAATTACAACAAGCAGTTGGATTGCTCATGTTTCTACAATTTCCAAATTCAGAAAATGTTATTTGTTTTGAATGAAGAGATGCAGATACTGCGTGGGGGAAGTTAGAAAAAATTGACAAAAAAGGAAATGACTTCTTCTCGACATGGTGTTCCTGCAAGATTTTTCGACAATATTTGGAATTTTGGATCTGTCATTTGTATGAGCGCTGTAAAACATGAACAAGATGGAACGATCTTAATAAAGTATATTTTTTATATTTATCAAATAGCCGACAGATGACACCAATCATTGCCTTCAAAATTCTGTGTCAACAACCCTCTTCCTCTGGTTGTATACACTTCCACAATATCTCCTCAAACCAGCGCACGATCTTTTATGCACCCCATGAAATGCAGCGTTTTCACCTTCCCATTTAATTACAGCAGTTTCTTTATTTAAATTACGATTGTGTGTGTATGAAAAAATGTTTGCCCAAAGGTTACAACTGCATGAATACAGAGATGCATCTCATCCATTCATTGAACATTTCACAGTGGTCACCCGTTGAAGATTCAAAGTCGTCTTTTAACGACTTGTCTAACAAGATTTTCAAGCAGTCGAAGAGAGTTGCTTTCTTCGAATCTGAAAGTGAGGAACACATCAAGTGGACATTGGAAAACTTTTTGGACAACGACCCATGCGCAGCCTCCATTCTCCAAAAAGCGAGAGGTGAAGCTTTAATGACTATGTGGAAGAATTTTGGATTATTGACAAAGCTCTTAAAAGCTAACCACACAAAACACAGAGCGATAAGCAACACCTGATGATCGATGGAACAAAATTGGAAGATTTCAAATATAGGCTTTTCAATTTCTGGCATTGAGTTTGATTCTTTTTTAACCATTGAATCAATTTAGGGGAAAGAATGATGTTGGGTGAGGATTAATAATTTTTGAGAAGTGTATGTTCGCCATCCTTTCATCAATTAAGGTCTTTTAAAAAGTTCTTAAAAAGGTGATTGAGGGAATGTGAGTTGTAACAACTTGAAGATTCAGGGTTCCCCACAAACTGGCAGATCTGACAACCAAATAAGTCCAAAACTCTGAAAGGAACAACAGTTGTTGACGTCAGGAATAGAAGACTACTTTATCCAGAGTGAGGTTGGTATCGAATGAAGTACGTTAAATGTTGTTGCTTCAGCAAATAAAAATATTGAACACTATTATCCCAGCTGCGCATTATATAGGAAATTTGAGAAATCGATCACTCGTAAACGCACTTAAAGCTCGCACAGATCTTTCTTTGACTTGTTTATGTGGGGAGCTCGAGGGGAGGGTGTGATAGAATTGGAAAAGATAATGGGTGATTATGAAGATTATTCCTTTACCTATGCTAGCGCTTTATTGCATCCACAATTAAGTAGGATGGCTGCCAGAAAATTATTCGAATTTAGCCAAGATGAGAGAAGTAAGTGGGGATTTTCAGATCAATTATTAACATCGATACAAAATGGAACACTCACCCTGATCGACTCACCAGATGCACTGAAACGATGGGTTGAAAATTTTGGTTCAATTGAATTGGACAATGAAAAGGTTGAAAGTGGATTTTCATACTTCAACTTGGATACCATTGCCAATCGAAAGGATCGAGAAGCTTAATTGAAAATTATATTGAATGACATTGATTTGTGGTATCATGAACTTAACAACAACAATTCCAGATATTTTTCCATTTACAAGGATACAGTGAAAGACATTAATACAGAAGATCGTACTTCCCGGCCAAAGGTTGCAACTTACGCCCAAGCATTGACGAATATTAGATCAGAAAATAAAAGAAGACAGCAAGATGAACGAAGATTTGACAATGAAGAATGCATCAATGCCATTCTCTATTTATTTAGAGCGTACAATGCACTTCATATCGGTGATGCATTTGAAACGGTCAACATTGGTACAAGTTCCAATCGTTGGTTGACCACTCAAAATTTGCAAAATATTTTGGAATTTCTCGTCTCAAAGTGAACTTGCCAACAAAAAGTCATCCAACGAATAGTGTTACGGAGTCGATGCATCGAATTCGAGTCGATATTTCTGAGTTTATTCCACCACATAGAGTATATATATATAAACATCAATGTAAATTTACGTTTATAAATGTAAAGACAAATAGATCACTAACCAGCACTATTTCCATTATCGACTCGATATTGAGTTTCATCTGGAGGTCTCTTTTCCACTGAGTTGATGAATTTGTTTCAAAAAGATGTTGTTCAAAGTTAAGAATGTGGATGTTACGTTTTTCAAATGAAGAAAAAGATCAAAAATTATTCACAATGATACAAACTCTAAAGCACCACACGATAGACGTTTCAGCTTTTTGTTTTTCGAAGATGAATGGAGGATTTAATGTTGTTGATATTTACATTTTTGTAAAATCTTATCTTTGAAAGGCATTTGTGAGCGATAAGAGAGTAATTGTCAAAAGTTAATATTGCGAAATGAGCTGCTGGTGTAAAAGACAGGAGTAGACGGATGATATGAATTGGAAGAAGAAGTGCCTTGTGATTGACGTTGTTGATTGACCACCGTTTCGTTTTCGCCTTCATCTCCACTCACTTTTGGTCGTCCTGTTTTCTTCTTCTTTTCTTTTTTTTGATTCGAAAAGGATTCGATTGAGTAATTGCAGAATGGATTCAAACGTAATTCTTTGTTTTGAGAGCAAGATGCATTTACCAGAAGGTGATTCGTGTGTTTGGATGAATGATTATTTCTTTTTGTTTTGTGTGGTTTGGAAATGATGTTTTTCCCACCGTTTGTTTTGGATGAGCATTTGGAAGATGATGATTTCGAGGACAAGCATGATGAGGAGAATGAATTGTCCTCTGATCCAACTTTGGTGACCACATGAGAGTGATCAAGACTTGTTGGTTCATTCATCATGATGGATTGTTGATTTACGAGAATTGTTGTTGTGGTCGAAGGAGAAGGTTCACAGAGAGGAATCCTCTCGTCAGAAACCTTTTCAGAGTCCACTTTTTCCACTCTCAAAGGTTGCACAATGCAATGTTCTTGAAATAGTGGTGATGGTGGTGGTGAAGAGTAGAGAGAAGGTATGGGAAGACATGGATCTTGTTGAGATATTACAACACCACTCATTGTTGGAGTGATTGCATAAAGATATGAATGATTGCTACCTCCTCGTGTCACTAATGATGATGATGACGTTGTTATTGGTAGTGGTTGTTGTTGTTGTAATAGTAGTAGTAGTAGCAGTAGTAATGCATTTCCATAATCATTCCTCATCATCATTATTGACGGTGGAACATCCTTCCTCACGGCATCACTCACAGAAGGCCATTCTTCTTCTTCTTGTCGATTCATTCTTGTCGAATAGATTGGTTGAGGAGGAGAGGGTGTTTGACCATGTTCTGTCATGTTCAACCTTGTTGGAAAACTCATTAGGAGAGGATGAGGATTCATGGTTGGATTCATGATTGGATTCATGATTGGATTCATGATGGACACATGATGGTTTTGAGTGGTGGTGTTGGTTGTGTGGACCTGTTGTTGAAGGAAAGAAGAGTGGTATGGAGGATTGTTGGAGAAAAGAGCCGCCGTTCGATGCATGTCCTTTTCATGTCCACCACCACAACCACCACCACAACCACTTGCAACACAAGACAGTAGCGCACTAGTATTGGTTGCTGAGATCCTCTCGTTGGTCACACATGGAGAGTGTTGATTGAGAATGATGGACACGAGTGTTTCGAGAGGAATCTTGTCGCTTTGTTGTAACAGCCAATTCAGCTTGAACTGCAAGAGTGAATGGTCATGTCCATGATGAAGATGAAGAAGAGGATGATCCATCATGGGTGTACTCAAGTTTATGGAGGAATTTGTTTGATCACTCGTACTGTTCGTCATGCTGCTGCCACTTGTCTGATGTGGAACTTCATTGGATGGGAATGAGCCAAAGTCGTCACCATCCTTCGAAAAGCAGAGGGATGACATCCTTAGCATTGGATTTACTTCTTCCTCTTGTGGAGCATTGTTGTTGAGGAGGACAAGATGTCGTTGTTGTTGAGGAATCATTGACAAGTTGAAATTTTCTTTTTGTGAATACAAGAAAGTAGCAACAAACTGTTGGTACTGTTCAAGTGTCTTAAATTGAAGTCAAATGTACAGCGCTTCCACAATCTCCAAAATAGATCTTCATTATCTCTTCTCACTTGACATGATCTTTTACAACAAGTAGAAAAAGTCGTTCTTGAGTCATGTGTCACTTGTTCAATAAATTATTACTATGACGGTCATGCATGTTTGGTCGAGGATCCATTTCTTTCGAATCTTTTTGAGAAGATGACGTCATCTGTGGTTAGTGTCATGCGGGAAAATAGAGGAATCTCGATCTTTTTCTGTACTGAAATTGTATTTCTGTTGATCGATTGAACAAAATTGGAAGTTTTCAAAAATAGGCTTCATGATCTTTGTGTGTGGTTCTTTTTTAACTTTTGAATCATTTTCAGCGATCTAGAAGGAATGTACATTGGATAATTGGGTAAAACATTTGACCTTGTTGGGAGGAAAATGGTGAGATTTGGTTTTTTCGAACATTGAGAAGAATGACAGAAATGAACTTTTTCGCGTTTTGTTAAAATATTTTATTTCTTGGGATTCATACAAGATATGACCTTACATCGACGAACAGAAAACAATAGATTCTGCATCTACAGTAACGAAAATGTACAACATGAATCTCTCCTTGAAAGGAAATGTATTGACACTTTGACAACTGACATAAACCCAACAATTGTCCAAAAAAGCCTACAAAAAATGCCGCAATCTCATCCAAACACCACCAATGGTCGTAAATTCTCTCTCCCGTTACCCTCCTTCAAAAGCAGACGCTCTCTTGAAGAATCCGATGAATCTTTCATGTTTTCTTCCTATTCATCATCATCCAACAATTTACAACCACCTCCTTCTCATCATCATCATTCTACAACGCTCGAACAATCAACCATATCTATTCCAATTCCAGCCAAAAAACACAACAATCACAATCCTGAAAGTGTTTCGCCCGCAAAGAAGAATTCGTTCTTTTCAAAAACACCTCCTTCGACATCTCCGAGTGGTTTGTCTCCGATCGGGGCTTCGAATGGACCTTTTTCTCCAAAAATGTCAACAAATATTGATTATGATGATCATGCTGTGGTGCATGTGCATGGAAAGACTTTAACTTTGAAAAAGATTTGTTTTTTGGGATGTTGTGGAAGTGGTAAATCAACGTTGTTTCGACAATGTGAAATGATATTTGGAGAAGCATGTTGCGCAAAGGCTGTGGCAAGTTCCAAGTTATTCATTCAGCAGAATTTAGTAGAAGTTTTGAGAGTTTTCTTTGAGGGAATTTTAAAAGAACAAAAAGAGAAGAGCATGGTGATTGTGGATTGGAATGTGACACAGAAAATGAAAACATTTTTAAAAAGACATAGTTGTGATAGAATGTTAGGAGATCGAATTGTAGATCCATGCACATGGATGGAGTTATTGAAGGATGAGAATGTGCGGAATGTGTTGGACAATTTATACATGTACAGTGAACTCAATTTTTCAATATCTAACTGCATTGAATATTATGTACAAGAATTTGCTAGATTGACAGCTGACTGCTACACACCTACCGAGGAAGATTATGTGAAATTTGTCCAAAAAACTACTGGTGTTGTACGTAGGCAATACAAGTACAATGACATTCCCTTTGTATTGCTCGATGTTGGAGGAAATAGAAGTGAAAGAAAAAAGTGGCCTGCAGTCCTCAAAAGCTGTCACGCTCTCTGTTATGTTATTTCGTTAGCAGAATTTGATGAATATTGTTGGGAGGATCCAAAAACGAATCGTTTCAAAGAATCAATGGTGACTTTTCAAGAACTGTTAAACGGAGAGCACATTAAGAACAAGGACCTTTTTGTTATTTTTACAAATGTGGACAGATTCAAACAGAAAATCATGAAGGAAAATCGATTAGCTCTTCTGAGAAATGCCATGATGCCATTTTCCATTTCTGTAGATGTCTGTAGTGACAACCAAATCGATGAGCTTATTCAGAACATTGTTGATCGATATTTGGAAATGGATCGAGAGCGAAGAGTAACAAAACATTTTGTTATCAACGCATTGGATCGACAAGAAGCTCAAAGTCAAATGTCGGAAATACTGGACGCAATTCTGAATAGGGACGAGTAAAATTAATCATCATGTTCTGGCTTTGCGTTGTTGAACTCGATTGAATTTTGAAATGGTTATTTATATTAATCAAGGTAATGTTACGTCAAATGGACTGACTGCATTGTCCATCATGTTTTTGAGGCGCTTAGGAGCTACAACTCAACTTTAAGCATCGTGCGCTCACTGGAGCATTTGCTGCATATTTTGAATCAATTTCAGTATCTTGACGTTGCACAAAGGGATTCAATAAAATATCATAGTACTCATAAAGCGGTTCATAGTCAAATCGTTCAGCTGCTTCAATGACCTGTTGCATTAAATAATTCCTTAAGATATATCTTGGATTTGTTTGATCCATGAGAGATTTTCTGTCTTCGTTCGATAAGTGTGAAATGGATTCATGAGAGAGACGTTGAATGTATTGGGAAAGAAACTGTTTCAAGGATTGAGTGGCAAGTTCCAAATCATTGGTGTCCAGTACGTCTGAAAATCCGGTTCTGCTGCAGCTACCACTAGTAGAAGTGTTGACTCTTGGCTCCAGTGTGGCCATTAGTTTTTCAATAAAGGTCTCTGGGAGCTCACTACAATTCTTGTCCAAATCGGAGAGAGTTCTGAAAAAGTTGGTAAAATCAGCCTTATAAGTGTGCATCCACACAAGTAAACTCTCAATGAGTTCCCAATCTTTATCTCTGAGAGAATCACTGTCACCTTGGAACATGTTGAAATCGGTCACATCTACTTTCGTGTCCACTTCTGGAGCCATGTGAGGAATTAATCCAAGCTTCTTTCTGAAATTTAACAAATAATAATGCTCGAAATGAGGAGCGTAAATGGAGAGCACTTTGGTGAAGTAGTCCGTCGAATCTGGAAGGAAGGTTGGTGTCAAGGCCCTCATCAATTTTTGTAAATTCCAGTAACAAATTGCAGGTTGATTTTTGTAGCGATAGCGTCCCTCCTCGTCACTATTGTTTGGTATAAAGTCTTCATTGTAATAATCCATAAAACCAAATGGTCCATAGTCAATAGTGACACCCAGAATAGACATATTATCAGTATTAAGGACACCATGAACGAAACCGCTTGACATCCAATCAGCAGTCAATTTAGCAGTTCGTCTCACCACTTCCTTAGCAAATTGTTCTCGAATGTTATTGTTCAGAGTGACCTCTCCAGTATTCGCATCAATACAATCTGGAGTCAATAAATGAGAATAATGATTCTTAATGACATAGGTCGCTAAAAGGTCAATATTTTTCACTTCCTTTTCGTAAAGTTCACGTTCTTGTTGACCAAATCGATACAAAAATACCTCAAACGATCCAAATCGAACAAAAGTTGGGGCCACTCTCATCACAATTGCTCCATATTCATACTTTGGATTTCCATTGTAAAACTCATCTCTTAATACCGCTCTGTCCTTAGATCGAACCAAACTAAATGCTCTCGTGGTAGCCACTCCAATCTTGTTCATAAATTCGCTAGCAAAGAATTCTCGAATGGAAGATCTCAATACAGCTCTACCGTCTGCATTTCTTGAGAATGGAGTTGGGCCTGCTCCCTTAAATTGCAATTCAAACAATCGAGGAGATGATGATGACAAGGAGCCATTGTTTTGTCCATTCAATGACCTTGATGCATCAATTTGTCCTATACTAATAGCTCTTCCATCACCCAGTTGACCAGCATAATGTCCAAATTGAAAACCTCCATAACAATGAGCATAATATTTTGTATTCGACAATAATTCATAGCCTGACAAAATGTTAGCCAAACGTTGAGGAAATTTCTTGTCATCTCCACAAAATTGCTCTAAATCTTTTTTGTGTGATAAAGGAAGTGCCATGATGACTACTGTTGGCATGATTTTGGCAGGTATCCATTTGTAAATTTGATTCTTGATCCGTAGTGGCAGCTGACAAATCCACTCCGAAGCAATCTCTTGCCACTTCATTACTCGCTACTACAAATTCATATGTTGTAAATCCAGACCATTCATCTTCTAAAGATGATGAGGAGGAGGACAATGCTGTAGTGCCATTTGTAGTTGACTGTTTCGGTCGATGGAAACGATCCAACAAGAGCTTTCCCGTTGTTTGGTCATATTGATATTCTGGCAATTCTAAAGGAGTTGGATTCACAAAGGAATACATGGCATGAGGAATCTGTCGGGATTGAGTGGTTCCTACATGTTTACTTGAAGCATGAGCCTCATGTTCTCCCACCACTTGTTTCGTGAAGAAATTTACAAAATTCAACTGATCAAAGAGTTTGGTGATCATTATTGTGGTGGATAATGTTGAACAAGAGGAAGTAGTTGTGGTGGTAGTCGCGACTGTTGTTGCTGCTTTCTTAATCATCTTTGCTTTACAATGATGATTTGGATGATTCTTTTGATTCGGAGGAGAGGATGATGATTGAAAGGAACGACAAGATACACGACCGCTACTACTACTATAATAATAATAATTACAACTGAATTGGTGATTGTTTTTTTGTAAGGATTCTTTGCGAGCGAATAAATTCAAGGGTGGTGATGATGATGAATGAGGAGGATGAATAGGAGGATGACCTTGAATGAGGAGTGTTGTACTGTTGTTGTTGTTGTTGATGGTGATGATGAACAACAGGAGGAGAATGAATGTTATTCCGATGAAGAAGAATCGTACGGGTAGATGTCGTGGTCGAGGAGTCGTAAAAGTTCTAGTTTTGGAGATGAGGATCTTGATAATAAGAGAACAATGAAAGAGAGTATTGATAACTACTGTCCTTCTTTCCAAAGATGCCAAATGCATTCAACCGCTCGAGATGTTCTTTTTTAATCTTGAATATTAGTTCATTGCAGATAGACTTTGAACCATCACACACATTAGGATCAAGTAGGTAGAATTGGTTCAAGCAACATCAGGATGTGAAGTGTGAGTTTTCACACAGAATTCATTATTCTTGTTGATGGAAAACGGATGACATTGTGATTTTCGAAAACATCTGATTTGTTATTGGAACTTGAACATGCATGTTTGATTACATGATGTACTGTAGATCAAATCGGAGGTGTGGCTGCTTTAATCGATCGTAGAGTATTCTCGAAAAATTGGAATGATTCTAATATTCTCCCATATGGATTCACCTGGCACTCTACAAGACATAGTGATACTACCCAACGAACCACCAGCAGCGTCTTGTGTGTTAATCTGTACTTTCATTTCCCCGGAATACATTCCATTGTTGTAAACATCTTTGCCATCGAAAATAAATTCGAACATTGTGTTATCAGTCTTTGGTATATTCGAAATCTTTCCGACCACGTCGATGACATTTTCATAGTGCATTTTAATACTATCACCTTCTTTCACTTCTCTCATCGGTTTGGGGAACTGCACATATTTTTCGTGGGTAGTATCAGTGACGAGTTGGAAAAAATAATTAACTAAGGTTGTGGGATGATAGTTAGCTGTTACTCTTTGAATACAACTATTGTATGCGCAATCAGTGGTTGGAGTCATTCAAAAGAGGGCATTACTTTCCCTTAATTTCAATTCCTTCTGAATGGGCAGAGTGTTTGGCGTCATGGGACGTGTTTTTCACTCTGTTCTAAGGGTACCAGTGTGAGGGCATTATTGTGGAGGAGAGTTGAGATTGAATCTAATGGGTTCGCATTTGGGACGCATATGGAAAGCCAAGTTAATCATTCTCGTGAAACTTTAATGTCTGTGACATGTTGCTTTTAATTAAGTGCTGTCACTGGGTGGCTTTGTTGGTTCCAAAAGTGTCATTGTTCAATGATTACTTAGGAACAGCAAACACTTGCAGAATATTGGTAGTTTTAGGATGGTGGATTCCTGAAGGTGGTGGGGGAAAGACCAATGTTATGACCTTAATTGTCGTTTATGTTTCTAGTAGTAGTAGAAGTTTATTCATGGCATATTACACCAGAATGCGCCTGGTGAGAGAAATAGGAGCTGTTAGATTGATGCTAAGATGTTTGATGTATCCTATGTACGTGTGGTAGAATAAACTCAGAAATTTCTCGAATCGATTTTAATCGTTGGATTACTTAAATGGAGGTATACACTGATTCAACAAAAACCCCTCTCAGAGGATACTTGCGATGAAAGACACTGTTCAATTGTTACTGATATTAGTATAACTAATCATGTCTACTAGCATCTCTGTCTCATCACTGGAAAAAAATTCAGCTCTTTCGTCATTCTCTGCCTAGCGATAAAATTGTTCCCCAATAAATTGGTACGGCATCAATTCATACATGATAGAAAGACAGTAGACCAACACAAACGAGGGTGCTTTTCAATTATTATCGCCCTGCTTGCAGTGGGAATGTGTTCAGTCGTTGTAATGTATCCACACTCCTGATTCCACGAGGTGGGTTCCCTCTTACATTCAATCGAGTTGAACTTCAATATGTGCTCTCGATGCTTTGCACATTACTGAAATGATGACCTGTCATGTCGGTTTTACTGAGCTTTTCCAAAGACTTTTTTTAGTTGTTTCAGCTTAATCATTGAAAGTCTTAAAGTTGTCAGAAAAAATGTCTTCACAAAGAACCTTCAACTTTCGTTCCGAACATTCCTCTCAATCTCCTTCTTCGAAAGATCCATCATGCAGCAAACAAAAAGATTCGACAAAGCCCAATGCTTTTTATTCTTTAAAGATGAATAAGAATACTGTTTACCAAAATAGGACATCACGAGGTGGCACCCTCTATCTGTCACGATCGACATGCTTCACGTTGAGTTTTGTGATCCTCTTCGGATTCATCAATATCTTCTTGTGTTTAATCTTCTCCTCCACTCGTACTCTACTTTCTCATCAAAATATCATTCCATTCACTGGTTGGAATCATTTAACAAAAAGTCTCTCCCTTCCGTGTTCTACATTGTTTCATGCCATTTGGTCGGTCTTTACTTTTACCTTGTTTTTATTGGACAAGTGTTTGGCCAAGTTGTCGGGAAAGCCATCATCATTGACTAAATTATTTCCAATTAAAACTAATGGGAGTAATGGAAATGGAAAAAGCTCCTACAGTCGTCGAGTTCCAGAGATGTTATTATTAACGAGTGTCTTATTGGGAGGATTTTGGGGAGGTTTGATTGGAATGATTGGTTGTTGTCATAAAACTAGAAAATGGAAGTTTTGGTTGGTAGAAGTGATTGCTTTTGTTCTACATGTGGTTTTACAGAGTCAAATTTTGGTCTCTGAGACCAATCAAACCATAATGTAGAATTCTTAACCACCGACATTGGTGATCGATCAACTAGTACCTGTTGGAACACACATTGACTTTGAGAACATGGTTGTCCAAATGCATTGCATGGCCATCCAACAACCGCTTCATCATAGGTGTGTCCAAGAGCTCCCTCCCGTATGAGAAAAAAGGAACAGCTTCCAATTATTGAGAGGAATCGCTCTATTGACAATCTCTCGTCTTGGAATCAGACCATCTCTCTCTATGGTGATGAGACCTTTCTTTCATGGAGATTCTCTTTGGAGAGTTGTTGGTTCTGGTGTCCGTGCGCTTTCTCTCTCCGCGGTTATTGTTGTTCAATTCTCTTCAACAATAACGCACGTTGTGCGACGGGATTGATGATCCACCTCGCAAATTGAAATAGAACAAAAAAACACAACAAGACACGAACGATTCTCGTTTTTCCTTCTCCTCGTAATAATCATCATCAATTGTGGTTTTTTTCTTGACCTCTCACAAAATCGTGAGGTCTCTTTCTCCGATATCAAGAAGAACACTTGCAAGTTCATTAAAGCGTGTTCTTCTTTTTTTGTATTTATTATTACCATCATCATAATTTATTCCTTTAGTGATTGCGATTGGCCAAACACCATTTCTCATCATCATCCTAGTTCTACCAGTACCCTTTAGTAGTCATATTTCTCTTCCGATAAGAAGATGCAACAAACAACCGTTACAATAATCGAAGAAAAGAAACAACAACAGGTTCAATTCAATGAGCCGAATCATACCACAACAACGACAGCAGCAGACACTGCTGATTTAATCATGAAGAGTCCAGTGGCGAGAGATTTGAATCAAGTCAGAGCCTTGTTTATGAAATCTCTCTTTCTCCAATTTAGACAATACAAGTAGGTACAACGTCATTTATGGAATGTTCACGTAAATTTTGTTTTCGTTATTTGGTATTTGATATCATTTCACTATTATTTGAACAACCATTGTGCATGTATATGTGCATGAATGTATCACAACTCGCATGCTCTCATGATGATGGAAATTTTCAAATTCAATTGAATGCTCGTGGTTTAACTTGAAACCAACCTGAATTCAGAACGAACATTTGTCAGCTCTTATTCCCTGTCATGTGTTTGGTATTTATATTTATTTTGCAAGTTGTTCTGAATACTCTTGTCCAAGGATTTCTTAATGCTGCTGGAACGGATGGCGTTTACAAAATTAACTCGACTGCTCTCGAATTATCACAACTCATGTTACAGGCCAAACAAATAGAGTACAATCAACAACTTGTCCTCAATAGCGATCCTAAAGCAACTAAAAATTTAACATTTTCTCCACCTGAAGCGATTTATGTGACCTCAGACAAAATTGGTTATTTGGATACCGTTGGCATTGGAAGATTGTCACCAAATATCAGTGAACCTTCCACTGGATTTCTCAAACTTGTGACACCATTTTCACGATCTAGTCCACTCTTTTTAGTGAACGGAACCTATAATTATACTGGATTTATACAAATTCCTTACAGTGCAACTGGACCATTCACAGAGGAACGATCAATGGATGAAATGATTTTTGATCAAATGGGTGCTGTTGGTAAACCGGAACGCATGAATGCAGTTGGAGCCTATATTATTAGAGAATTATCGACTGCACCTCAAAAAGGGCGAATCAATTACACTGTAGAATACGACTATGACGAGAAAACTCGATTCTGTAGCGGTTTTATCAAAAAATCTCCTTATTCCTTTGTCATCAAGAGCTGTAGAGATGTTCTTGGTGTTGGACTTCAAAACTGGCTGAACGATGCATTCTTAAAGAATATCACAGGAAGTACCAGTTTTAGAATCAAAACAAACACAGCACAAATGCCCTATGACACTTCAATTGCCACTTTCCAAATTGCAGATCTTTTGGGTTATTTCTTTTTCCCAATGATTTTATGTTTGCTATTACCTTCTTTCAGTTTCACAGTCGTATTAGAAAAACAATTCAAGTTGAGAGAAATGATGAAACTCATGGGTATGAAAATGAGATATTACTGGCTTGTGACCTATGTTTTTCTTTTTTCCTTTTGTATTGCATTTCAGCAGCATTATTTATTATTTTCTGCTTGATTTTTGGATTCAGATTTATTACTCAAACCTCTCCTCTATTGTTATGTAAGTTATTATTGTTTCGAATTTCAAGAGGAGACTGATGAACATTCATTGTGCTCTTGTGTATTTTTGGATTTCATGAGATGTTCAGTTATTTTCTTTATTTGCTGGGGAAACACATTGGTGAGCTTTTCATTCTTATTATCTTCCTTTATTGGAAAAACAATTGTGGCAACTATTATCAGCTATCTCATTGTGTTGATTGGACCAATGGTTGGTGTGATTCTCGAGATGCAACTTTTGACAAATGCTCCCAATGCTCGCTTTGGTCTCTTGCTAGTATTCCCATTACAAATTACTCATTTTGTCTATGCAACATCCAGTTCATGTAACAATTTGGATTGCTTACGAAAAGTATCTGACATTTATGACAACAAGTCAGTTTTCTTTTCACTCATTTACATGGTAGGAATGTCAGTGGTCTACTTTGTATTGAGCTTGTACTTTGATGCTGTTGTTCCTCAACCATTTGGTGTTTCAAGACATCCACTCTTTTTCCTCGAATGGATTTGGAAACCTTTCACAAAGAATCGAGTGAAGAAAAATTCACCAACGAGCAAGAACAAGATTTTACCATGCTCCTCTCCTTCTGATTCACAACCTACGCAAGATGATGAAATGGTTGTGGGTGCATCGAAACATCGTCTCGATGAAGTGGATTCAGATGTTTTAGAAGAATTCTTGAAAGTCAATCCTCCAAATCTCGATAAGAAACAAACTCTTGAACATTTGAAACGTTTAAAGAATGACTATGGAGTAGTATTTTATAATTTAGAAAAGACATATGGAATGAATCGAGCAGTGAAAGGAACTTGTTTAACCATTGGAAAGTCAGAATGTTTTGGATTATTGGGTATGAACGGTGCTGTAAGTGTTGTGCATGAATATTTTGTCTCTTATTCATTTTAATGTTGTTATTTTTGACAACTTGTTAACAATATTCACACACCACACAGGGTAAATCCACAACCATTTCCATGCTATCGGGCATGTTTGGTCCATCGAAAGGAACAGCTTTTGTCTACGGAAAAGACATTCGACATGACATGAATGATATTCATCAAATCATGGGTCTCACAGCTCAATTTGACATTCTTTATCCTGACTTGACTTGTGAAGAACATTTATTATTCTATAGTCGATTGAAAGGAGTCAAGTTGCAGTACGAAAAGGAACACGTTCAAAGTTTATTGAGACAAGTTGGATTAGACAATGAAACCTTGAAAACAAAATGGTCACCTAATTCAAGCGCACTCTCTGGTGGTATGAAGAGAAGACTTTCCATTGCCATTTCACTCGTTGCAGATCCAAAGATTATTCTTTTGGATGAACCCACCACGGGACTCGATCCTCTCAGTAAGAGACATTTGTGGAATATTATTTTAAATCAAAAGAAGAATCGAACGGTGATTTTAACAACTCACTCTATGGAAGAAGCAGATGTTTTGTGTGATCGTATTACAATCATGTCGAAAGGTTCATTTAAATGTTTGGGAAGTGGACTACGATTGAAGAATAAGTTTGGTGATGGCTTTTTATTGAGTGTGAGTTATGGAGCAGAGGATCAACAACGTGCTGAACAATATGTCTATGATTATGTTCCTGAGGCAGTGAAGGATTTAACTTTGACAGGAACGACCGTATTCAAAATTCCAAGTTTTTCTCGATCAGATTTGAGCAAGACAACTTCACAATCCATTGAGCATGCCACTCCAAAACAACAAATGGAAGCTAGATCCATTGCTGGTTTGTTCAAACATATGGAAAAAGGAAAGGTTGAACATGGTATCCATGAATGGGCTCTCAATCAATGTTCGCTCGAACAAGTGTTTTTGAATATTGTTCAAAAAGATTCTGAGAAAAGATCTGCCTCAGAGAAAGAGGTCAAATGTGCCAACAAGAGATCTACTGTACTCATTCGACAATGTTTGTGCTGATCATTGTACATATTTCATATTTATTAAATGAAGTATATTTCACATGAAGTTCCACGTTCGCTTTTGCGTCCACAGTTACATGAAAGGAAATTATTTTATTCAAACAAATTCTGTACATCTGCACCCTCGTCATCTTCCACTTGTATGGCAGCTGGGGTTGAAACAGCACCTTGAGAAGAAACATCTTCCATCATACTGAAGTTCAAAAAGTGATGAGGACGATGAACTTCATGATAAAATTCTTTTGGTACACCAAGAGTGACACCATATTCCATATTTTCAGTGTGACCATATCCCATAAAGTAGTAGTTCCAAGATCCTTCCTCTGGAACCATGAAGAATCCCATGAATGACTCTGATAAAATTAATTGGACGCCTTCATAGAATGCACAATGATTAAATCCTTGTGGTTCGTCACTGAAAATGTCCTTATTCTTTCTTCCCCAATCATAACCTTCTGGTGTTAATTTATGAGCTGTCAAGTTGCAGGATCCAGGAGTAATTTGGCATGTAATAGTGACAGTCTTTTCTCCATCCCATGATTTGTGTTGGCTCATAACCTTCGAGTGGAAAGTGACATCTTGAGGAGTCAAAGTGGTGTGACTGACGGAGGAAGGTTGTGTGTGAATCCAACCAAGGGGTTCGAGAGAATTCAAAATTTCATGATCAGGAAGCTGCTTTGGAACGCTAATGGTCTTATGGGTACCTAATTGTGGAACAAGCACAATGCAATGAATTTCCTTGACCTTTGGATTGTCTTCAGGTGATTTTCCATAGACATAACCCATGACTTGAGTTCTTAAATCTGAAATTGCAATAAATTTCTTGAGAATATTCATTGGTAACACATAATCATAAGCGTTCTCAGAAATTTCCTCTTGCTCGATAAAGATACGCTTCGTTCTGATTTGAAGGTTGGGAGCAGAAATGGCTCTCATTCTCCAGTCGGTCTTACTACTGAAGGTTTCTTGTTCATAGGGAGTAGATGTCACAGTAATAATTTCTTCACCATAGGCGTTTGTTTTCTTGGTAGTAATAGTGGTAAGTTGAGTTGCCTCCTTAGCCTCCTTTTCAATCTCTGCGATTTGTTGTTGTTGGATGGATGGTGGAGCAATCTCCATACCGAGAATAATGTCACGAACTTCGGATTGAGTTAAAGAAGTGACTTTGACATTGTTCTTCTTTCCATAGTCCGACAAAATTAAATCCTTCAAGGCAAGCTCTACCTTCATCCATGTCTGATCATCCAAAGTTGGCCAAACATGATGTGGTTGAGTAATGGTTGTCTTGTTAGGCTTCAAAATCATCTTTGTCTTTTCAGCATTCACGTTAAATGCACGTAATATCAAAATTAATCTGAGGAAGGCAGTGTAAGAATTTGTGGTTTCTCTCCAGTCATCAAACAAGTTGAACACCAACATCTTTGGTTCGTTTGCCTTAATGACCAAGTCATTAAATTTATCAATCTTGAGCAGAGCTGAGAATGGTAAATTGAGTTCACTTCCCTTAATCACAATGTTAGGGAAGTCCAGCAAGTGAACTTCAAGAGGATCTAACAAACCCTTTCTTGTAACGATAATTTGTTTTGGTTGTTCTTCGACTGGAAGAGAACGAATCAAACTGGTAACTTCTTCTGCCGTCTTCCATTTAGCCAATTGTCCCTTACGTTTCTGACCAGCCCACACACTTGTGTGAATAACCTTCAAATAAAATTGACCAGTCTTTGGATTGAAGATAAAGATGGCACCGTTGATTGGCTTATTGGCAGAGTTACCTTCATGAGTTTGGTGAACAACAACACGATACACATTCGAGTCGTCCACAAACCAGATGGTCTGATTACTGAACAACTCTCCATAATTTTGACTGTTCAAATATGGTTCAGTTGGCTCTGAAGAATACAATTGAAGACCCTTTCGAATACGTTCTCTGAGAACATAGAGAGCTGGATTGGCTTTCATAATTTTGGCCATAGCCTTACGAATGAGAGGTTTTGAACCAGGGAACCAATTTCCATACGCAGACATGTAATTATAGGCAAGGTCGATACCAATCAATACACCTGTGGGTGAAGGATAGAATGAGAGATTGTCGTTGGTATAGTCCAAAAACTTGGAACGAGAGTACCTTTCAATGTCGTGAGAGTCAAAGTCACCCCATCTCAATTGTACGTCAACCCAGTACTTGTTTGAGCTAGTGTCATAGGTGTCGTTAGTTTCTGTCAAGAGTGATGGTTTAGTAATTTGCCACTTGTATGCTGCGAAAAGCAAAATGTCGGCACATGAAGAGTTCATCTTGTAGGATTTTCTTGGGTGAATGGTTTCTTTTTGAACTGTTTGAATTTCAAGAGTGTCAACCTGTTGATCGAATACTTGACACAAGTCCATCACAACACTTTCGTGAATCTTTTGCCACAAGTGAGCACGGAAGATTTGAATAAGAGAAATCTTGAGTGTTGGGATTTTACCGTGCATGAAAATACCTGTCAAATCCAATTGAACTTGGAAACCCACATAAACATTGGCACGATTAATAGTTGGAGACCACCATAAAGTGAATCTTCTGTTTGGAATTTGGTTCAAACCAGAACGCTGAGCGTTTGTGAGTTTCTTGAATTTCATACTCTCTTCGAAGCCGCTTGCGCGTTCCCAGAAGAGACCTTCCCAAGTCACAAAGTAAGTACCCTTGAATAAGGTATGTTCCAAAATACATTCAACACCTCCCAGAGCTTGAATCATGTCTGTTCTGTAATTATTAAGAGACCACAATTTACCATCGTGACGTGTTTGAGTCCACCAGAATGGATTTTGTTTCAAAACTTGATATGCTTTGAATTCGTTTCTAACTCTCCAACCCTTGTCATAAGCAAGAATATGTCGATCTTTTTGGAACAAAGTGTTGATTCTTGGAATACCTCGATCCCATGAATCTTCCAAGTCACTAAGAGCAAGTTTTCTGTTCTTTTCCATTGCATCCTTTCGTTTTGCAGCATATTCTGCCCATACACGTTGCGAATCAATAAATTCTGATTGCCATGGTTGAATATATCTATAGAGATTAGGAATTAATTGACCTTCTTCGTGGCTCATACCTGCACGGAAATGAGTAATTCCAGTCTCTGTTTGCTTGGAATATCTAAGATCAGACTGTGGAATAAGAATATGGCCCATAGAAAGCATACCCAAGCCTCCTAATTCTTTTGGAGTATAAAACACAACAGGAGGAAAGCGAGAAGGCATCTTGGAGTTGAGACCTATCTTGATTCTTGTTTGAATCTTGTTCTCACACTTAACGAGTAAATCAAGCATTTCTGGAGTGTTAATCACTGCCTCACGGAAATAGGTCATTAAACCAATGAGAGCAGTGTTCCACTTGTTGACAATCTTGGTGAAGGTTGTGGAACCAGAGGCCATAAGAACCATTCTGATACGGTTTTCAAATTTTCTCATTGATGACTCACTCACTTTGAGGTATGCCTGAGCAGTTCTCTCTTTGGTAATTTCATTACGAAGATCCCAAACTCCATCCTTTGAAGTTGTGAATTGTTGAGATGGAGCACGAATCTTTGGTAAAATTCTAATTTCAAAACCAGACATGCTGAACAAAAGATTTGGATTGTCCTTGCTATATACAGAAACAAATGAGTCTTGCCATTTCAATGTGGTAAGGGTTTTGGGAAGTCTGTTCTTAATTTCCCAGAACACTGCTCTCCCAAGATTTACATCATGTTTCATTAAACGCATACGGGCATCTCTAGGCCAGCACTTCTTGTTATTGTAGCCAACAATGTTTTCATTGTTTGGATCTGGATGTTCAGTGAGGTATTTTTGAATGAGAGAACGTGCTTCCTCATGAGTGAATTTGAATAACATGTGGAATTCGTCAATATATCTAGAGTAGAGTCTGATAGGACTGTTCGTTTCTGTTTGTAAATCCTTAAAGGTCAAGAAGACATTAGGATCTCTTGGAGGTCCAGCAATTTCACTTGCTCTATCCAAACCAAGCATTAGCAGATCCAATATTAAACAATAATATTGAGAAATAAATGAAGAGAATTGAAGGCCTCTGATCAATCCGTACATATTCACATGACTCATATCCTTGAAGGTAATGGTCACATTGTTCTTTGCAGTCATGTAGTCAGCCAAATTACTGTCAACAACAAGTCTCAATAAACGATTCAACAGAATTGGGTCCATCTTTTCCCAAACCTTATCGAATTTGGATTGCATCATGACAACACATTCGCCATTCGATGTCTCCCAAATATCTGCCAAATTGTTGATAGCCTGACACCATTTGTAGATTAGCATTGGTGGAGGCTCAGAATCAGAAGGTTTAACCCAGTTAGGGAAGAGTCCTCTTTTATCAGCCTCATACCACAAATATTGGTCCAAATAAGCATCCGTAATCTTTTCTATTGGTTCTACATCGTAAACAGGAATGAGCGAGCTGTATAAATCCATAAATTCTATGGAAACTTCCTTGAATGTTCGTTGCAAAAGCAAATGTTTCTTAATTCTTGTCAAGGCCTCGTGTGGATTGTTGTAGGCCTGTTCAATCAAACCTAGTTCTTCTCTTTGTGAATGATTCAATCTACTTTTAACACTGTATGCTTCTTTCAATCTTTCAAGAGCCAAAATTAATAGCTTGGTATCGTGCTTATAAGAGAGAGGAGGGAATGGAATTGGAGCAAACTTTCTGCTTTCGAGCCAGTGTACAGTAGTTGTATAAATTGCAACAGCCTCTTCAGAGGTAACATATGGACCATCCTTCATGTAATTGTGTTGTCTTTCTTGTTCTTCCTTGAGGTAGAGACGAGTGAGTCTTCCTAGGTTTTTTCTTACAAACTGTTTTATCGACAGTGACTCCTCTCTTAATACGTTCTCTGTTATAGTGAGTAACGTTGGTCCACCAATCTGCCTTAGATTTTACATATCTTAGGATCATGTTTTCAATTGGACCAGGAAGTCCAGGAACCTTCCAAGGAATGTTTGCCTTCCAACAACGCCAAGCCTCGCTCAAGTGTTGCAAAACAACTCTGGCCTTATTTTCTCTGATACCCTCAGGCATCATATCCAAAATATCGTGAAGTACGGCAGCTCTCAATTCCAAGTCAAAGTGACTTTCTACACGTTGTTTTGTAACAGATTTGGCAGTACCCTTATTTTGTCTACCTTCGAATTGTTTGGCAAGCAAGTTTCCAAGCCATCTTTCAAGTAATGGTACGATACCACGCAAGAAGAATAGCCATACTCTCCATGCTGGAGCCCAAAATCCACAACCAGGACCTTTTCCTACAGCTCCAGCGTTAAATCTGTAATAAATCAAATGTTTCAAATCTTTACACATTCTAATCTGTCTCATGAGTCGATATTTGTAACGATACATTCCTGTCAGTTGGCCGACGTGTGTGAAAATGTAGTGTAAACCATCAGCTAATTGATAAGCTTCCACATTTCCCATTCTATATTGAACATGAGAGTCCACAACTAGTTTTGTTAATCTTAAAATTTCACGGCACAAGTGGAATGCATTACCAAATCTAGATTTCTTTCGTTCCTTGGTTGTTAGAGTTTTGATTGGTTTCAAATTGAAGTTATAGTCCAAGTGAAGATAGTTCAAATTCTTTCTGTGAATCAACAAGTTTAGCATGTTAAAACCTTGTCGTACAACTTGCAGACCTGCCTCTACCCAGTCAATTTTGGTCGTCTTAAAGAATTTCGTGTTTTTAAGAGCTCTAAAGAGATTTCGTTTTGTTTGTGCTTTGGAGGGTTGATGATGCAACTCGTTCAAAACAAAACATTTCAACAGTTTTTGGTAGCTTACTCTAACTTTGACAGGATTTTCACCCTCTGGATGTTCTCTGTACCAATTCTTTACGAGAGGAATATCTTGAGCTCTTCTCATTCTTCCTGAGCGTGTACAGAAAGGTCTTGGAGCCCAATACAAATCAATACCTTGTGTGGTGTATGGGGTCCATAAAGGTTCATCCTCAAGTAAAGGATTCACATCATCTGGAAGAGCGAAAACATCGCTCTCTCCACCAATATCCTCATATTCAAAATAGTCATGTTCCCAGTTGAATTGCGTTTTGTAAGAAGGTATGGTGTTAAGAGAAGGATGGAATTCGAAGGCATCAGCATCAGGATCCTCTGACTTGTTAAATGCAAGCAAAGGATATCGATAATGAGACAATTCAACATTTCTAGGACGATCGTTATAGAGATGTGGAAATGCAACCTTATACTCGGTCCTAATTTTTTGTCGAATGATAATTTTGTGAATGTCGTTAAATTCATTCCAATCTTCATCCTCTCCTTCAACATCTCTGAAAAGAGGTTCAAATTTTGGTCCACCGGGAATTGCCATATTCAGAGCTTTGCTGGTTTCAAATGATTCCTTATCGAATAAATAAAAATAATTAGGATCTACAATGTCACTGAGTAATCGTTCGGATAATCTATATAATGTAGTCATGATTGGAAGATTCAGCCTCCACGTTTTATAGCTAGATCCGTTCACAAATCTATTATCATTCATGAGTGGTTTATGTTGATAGAACCAATCAATGACTGCTGCATCCTCGTCTGGATCTAAATTCATTCGGATTGCGTCTTGAGGTTCGACTCCTAGAATATTTCCACCATAATCGATTGGAGCCTCTTCGTCATCAAATGGTGGAAATCTCATTCTTCTAAAGTGTTTTCTGTCCTTCTTTTCTCGTCTCATCAAAATCCACATTGTAGCCCACTGAGCCAAATATACTGGTTCAATAACACGAGGAATTTCATTCACAAATGTGATAGCACCGGTCACATGATAGAGTACTTCAACTTCACGAGTTTGTTCCCAAGGCATTGGCATATTTTCCAAAAGTTTAAGTACAGCATGAGGAATGTATTTCAAAGCACCCAAGTACACTCGTTTATCACGTCTGAATTTTCTATTCGACATGTCTCCGTGTTCCTTGATAATTTCTCGAAGCACTTCGGGAGGTTCAATCTTGTTGACATTCTTATTCTTTGAGAGACCTCCGCCACCTGCAGCCTTGCTGCTCAAATTCTTGAATCGTCTCTTGTTGAATTTAAGCCAAGCCTTTGCTTTCTCTTCAAGTTGTTGCTGAGAAGTAGGTGCGCCCATGGCTCCTGAAGGTTTAATACCTGGAGGAAGTTTGATTCCTGGAGGTAATCGCATGGATGATGAATTGGGTGCTGAATTGTTGTTGTTGCTGAAAGGGTTGAAATCTCCGTCTCTATCATCTTCGTCATCAATATCGGCATTATTCATCATTGATGATGATGAGGAGATGGGAGTTTGTTGTGGTTCTCCATCTTCAATATACACACCATCTGCCTCTTCATCATCACCGAACATGTTAATCTTGTTGGGTTTCATTCTTGTTGTTGTGGAAGAATGATGATGTTTTTGTTGTTGTAGTAAAAATCTACACACAAACACTTGTTCGATATATCTGATATCAAATCGTCGGTAAGCACTCCAAAGCTAGAAATCAATGATTCGGGCAGTAACAAGGAGTGTGATGATCAATCGAGAGAGTGAAGCTGCAGAATTTTTTTTGGTTGAAATCGTTAAAAAAATTTCTCTCTCTTCATCTTCAACTTTAGTGTTTTGTTTGAACCCTCGTCATGTTGAGACTCTTTTCGAAGAAGTAGGGAACAATGGATAGCGAGTACGAGGAGATTCTTCTAATTATTGTTCAACACCTCCTTCTTTTGGTTGATTATTCCTTCTAATCCGGAATAGATCATCATCATCGAGGCTTATGATATAATTTCATTTCATCATAAAAAAAATGAGTGCTAAAGGGGAGCAGGAAGAATCTCTCCTTCCATCCCAACCTCAACAACAAGTACAGCCACAACTCCTATCATCAACAACCAACCAAGTGTCCGCGTTACATTCGCCATCCATCATTGTCAATTCTGAAGGAATGAATGTTTCGGATCATCATTCAGGGCAACAACAGATAAGTTCTGGCTCTAGAGTAGCGCCGATCGTTGGAACTAGTTCATCATCATCATCGTCACCACCATCAACACTAATGATAGGACCACCATCATCACTAGTACAAGAACAACAATCGACAAGTATGGACGCTCACAATACAACACCCAATCCGTCATTGGATGCTTCACAATCTGTACGGACTATTTCTTCATCGAGTCCAAACGATAACCAACATCATTCGGATACGAATCCGAAAAACGCTTCGTCCATGTCATTTCTTGCGAAACATTTAAAGAGCTTTTCAAATAATGACATCATTCACTTTTTGAAGAAGTTACCCCGTCATAGTCATGACCCAGATCGATCTCACCAAAGTAATACTAATACAACTTTGCAATCTAAATCAAATTCAACAACATCTACGGATGTGGCAGTCAATCCCAACAACAATTTACATGACGATGTTCACGCTTTGAAAAAGAATATTATTTCTGATGGGCATCTTTCAATTTCAAGCAGTTTACTCCAAAAGTCATCAAATCTGTCAAATACCTCTCAGTCAACTCCAGAAAAAGATCAACAATCAAAAACAAGGACAATGGATGATTTTCTTAAAAATGTTGGAACAAAAACAAGTACGAGCACAATCAATACGCCCACTTCAAATATTTATTCATCTTCATCAGAAGACGAAGGAGGAGCCTATAAAGAGAGTAAAATAAGAAAAAGACGTAGCTCCTCGTCCCGCATGACCTCTCCCAGCACATTACAAACAGGAGAAGTGAAAATCAAAAAAATAGGTTTAAAGACCCTCTATAATATGATGGTTCTTCAGCCTAGTATTACTGACAAGGTCCTCCCACTTTTATTGATTGATGTTCGATCCTCTGAAAAAGATTTTATAATTTCTCCTCTTTCTCAAACTTCACCAAGCCACCACCCCAAAGCTTCTTCTTCTTCTTCTCATGGATTAACTATTTCAGAAATGAGTAATATTTTGTCGTCCCAAATTGAGAGCGAAATACCACGACCAAAGCATGCTTCATCCTCCTCTGAACAGCTTCATAACAGTTATGTAAATTTGTCCATCCCATCTGACTCTTCAGATGTAAATAATAATGCAGGTTTCCTTCCCACCACATCAACCACAACTCGCCCAAGAACGTTAAGTAATTCATCTGCAGTGCCCATGTTAAATTTGCATTCCATGCACGGCGTTAATAGTCACAGCCAAGAGAGTTTAGCAAGCCCGAAAACTCTTCATCAATTAAGCCCTAGATCTTCCTCTCTAGGACTTTCTCAACACATCCAATGGTCAATTCATTTTTATTTACCAGATTACATTATTGAACATATTCCTGTGGATGAAGTGAACAAAGACAACGTGTTGAGTATTATTCACATGATAGAATCAACCAATACATGTATCGATAAGGAACTATACAGAACAAGATTTGCATGGAGAAAAATGTCGAATGTTGTAGTTATTGGAGGCTCTGCAAGAGACGAAACGCGTGTCAAATGGCTATTGCGAGTTTTACAATTAGAAGGAAAATCGTACAATCTGTATACATTACACAGCCCTTTAAATTATGGCCACTTTGAGGCAAAATATCCATTTTCAATTACCTCATTCGATTTTGTAGAGTTTTTGTTACCAAGTCACATTTATAAGAATATTTATTTATCCGGTTATAGAGTAATTTCACAAGAGCGAGCAATCGAAGTTTTATTGCCAAGGAGAATTGTCATTAGAAACATTTTAAACTGTGCAAAAGAGTGCAAGTGTGTCATTCCTGATAAGCTCATTTGCAACCCCAATGACCCGTTAGAAAAATCACCACAAAAGTTTTCATATTTACATATTAGACTAGATGATCATGATCCTGTGTTTTGTTATTTTACAGCTGAGCAAATGAAAGAGAGCGTCATGTTCATCAATAGAGCAGTTAAAAACAATGAGAATATTTTAGTTCATTGTCAAGAAGGCAGAAGTCGCTCCGTGACAGTGATTACACTATTTCTCATGATATGTGTTGGATGGAGAGTTAATCATACACTCGATTTTATCAAAACTCACAGACCAAACATGAGTGTACATTCTACCTATGTGAGGCAATTACGAGCCATTGAAGAATACTTATTGGACAAGATTGAGAAAATCAAATACGACAACAGTGATGAATCCATTTTTGATATTGAGGGAATTGTAAAAGTCGAAAGTGGACAACACATTAGTGAAAGTGACAGTGAGCAACCGACATTACCGACTGGTCCAACCTTGAAATCACAAAGTTCCATGAGTTCAATGCTTGAATATTCTTCCACCGATGATTCGACAAATCCAAATCATTCCAATCTTTCATCTCCTGGAGGAGGAAATCGAAAATCCAGTCGAAAACTGTGTGAAAAGTTGAATGTGACTCTCCTTTACGCTCGATTGAGTAAATCCACCTCCACTCCACAACAGCAACAGGATTCTCCCACCACAGTCATGGAGTCTCCAGAATTTTGCTCCGATGAAGAACTCCTCGAACAATTACTCGATGAAATTGGAGAGAATGTTGTGAATCCATTCATTAAGGATTTATTAGAGACATCTTCGACTGTCGTCACAACCAGCGCTACCACCATCTCTCCTTCAAAGAATTCATCACAGCAATAATAACACTTACAATAGGATCACTCCATCCTCTTTGAATTGCTCTATTTCCAGTTGTTGATTCCATCATCATCTTCACAACAAACAATTCAAGTCACATGACTCCAACTGGAAATTCAGTAATTGAGTGCATTCACCCAAGTCTGTTCATCTCCTCTTTTATCGAATGTCATAATCAGTCACCATCATCAACCCAACAACAACAACCACCAAACTTGAAAAAATGACGTTTTCCTCCTTCTCCTCAACAAGAAGAAGAGGAGGATGCTTGTTCTTCCTTTCATCGTCATCTTCATCATCATCCTCTCTCCCAAAAACAATCCCCTACCGATTAAGATCGTCCTCGTCAATGTCCTCCTCCATCATCATCGCCATGTCCAATTATTATTTATTTTGTGTTCTTGTATTCATGAGTCTCCTTGTCATTCTCTCCAACCACTCGAATTTTGTAGAATCACTCACCTTTTCCAAACGCTTTCTTGGAAATAACTGCACCACACAGACCTACCTCCGTGATTGTGGTGAAGAATTAATTTGCGATCCTCTCATCGGAAAATGTACTTTTTGTACCAATACGACTCAATGTTCGAATATATTTGGATCAATGAATCAATGTAGAAGATCAATTTTTGGAAATGATTTTGCAAGTTATCAGAATAGTTTTGTCACACCACAAGGTTCCACGGTTCAAGCAGGTATTTGCTATCACAAGGATTTATTTCCAAGATTTTCCTATTTGGATGCCATTTCGACAGTTTTTTCCTTTTTGGGGAGTGTGTTGGCTTCGGTGGCAGGAATTGGAGGTGGTGGTGTGATTGTACCATTGTTGGAAGCAGCAGGTCAATTTCCACCTCAGTTGGCTGTTCCAATTTCGAAAACAATGATTTTTGGTGCTGGTAAGTTTTTTTGTCAAACTATAATAATTGTGATGGTTGTGATTATTATGGTGGGAAATTTGTTGAATTTCTATCTTTGTGAATTCCTTCTGGAAATTCAAAATGGAAAATACTGAAATATTATTATTATGAAAAAAAACATGAATGACCTGATTGTGAATCATTACCCTTTTTGTATGGTCACACCACACAGCAATTTCCAATTTCATTGCACTTTCAATGAAGAGACATCCTCATGCCGATCGACCTCTCATTAATTACGATGTCACACTTTTATTACAACCCATGTCATTGATTGGCGTGTTAGTTGGTGTTCTTTTTAATACCATGTTTCCTTCATGGCTTATGGTTGCATTGAGTGCTATCATTTTAACAATCATGACTGTTACAACTACGATCCGAGCTGTACAAATGTGGAAAGCAGAATCTGCAGCTCTTAACCATGATCGATTAAATATTCCATCTGATGCTCAATACACTCAAATCGATGAAAGTCCACATTCAGATTCAGAATCAGAGACATTTGACAGACCTAAAAATTCAACACCACAACCTGGAAATAATGTTTTAGAAACATCTCTTCTCGATGAAGATCAATTAGAAAAAATTGAACAAGAAAAAATCGAACAAGAAGAAAAGCAACGATATGCCAGAAAACTCACTAACGAAGAAAAAGGAACTCCTTTCATGAAACTTTTTATACTCGTTTTGTGCTGGATTATTGTGTTTGCTTTGACTATTATGAGAGGTGGACATGGAGCTCCAAGTGTTTTACAAATTCCATATTGTTCTCCATGGTATTGGGTTTTATTTTCACTCATGTTTCCAATTATGATTTTTATTACCATTTTAGTGGCTGTCTATCTATTGAAGAAACATCAGGAACGTCAAGCATTGGTTGGAAGTGGATACAAGTTTGTTCAGGGAGATATTCGATATACCTTGTGGACAGTGAGTGCATATCCATTACTTGCTGGATTTTCTGGAATGTTGGCTGGCTTACTTGGAGTTGGTGGTGGAATGATCAAGGGACCATTGTTGTTGGCCTTGGGTGTGGATCCTTTGGTGGCCTCTGCAACAGCGTCCTTTATGATTTTATTCACAGCTTCGATTTCATCGATTCAGTTTGTCATTTTGGGAACGTTGCCACTCGATTATGGATTGTGGTTCTTTGTGTTTGGTTTGTTGGCTGGAATGGTTGGACAGATTTTGCTGCACTTTGTGTTTGCAAAGAAACGAAAATCATTGGTGGTGTTTTGTGTGGCTTTGATTATTTTCGTTTCAACGTTGTGTATGACTGGTTTTGGAATTTATAATGCGGTGGTGAGACTTCAGAATAACATGTATATGGGTTTCCACTCACCATGTTAAACAAATGATGAAAATATCAATCTTGTGTATCAAAATGTTTAATATTATTATAATTATTTGTCTGACTTTGGTTCAACCTTTACTTTTTCCTCCTGCTCCTTCTTCCAGCCATTGTACAAGGCTTCGATTTTTTCGTATTCACATTTGATTTCCTTATTTTCAGGTTCGAATTGTTGAGCTCGCCGTACGTCAAGAAACGCTCTTTCGTATTCTTCCATCTCCTTGTAAGCCACTGCTCTCTTCAGATATACCTTCATTTGTAGTTTGGGAGTAAGTTTTGGATTGGTTGGAAATTCAGGTTTGGTCTTGTTGTTTGGATTCGTATCAACACCTGTTTCTTCCTCCTTTAAAATTTCAGTCACTCTCTTTTCATCTTCATCAGACAAAACGGAAAGAGCAAGATTACAATCTTTAACACATTTCACATAATCTCCCACCTTGAAATAACATTGGGCTCTGTTTGAATAATAGACAGGATTGGTTTTGTCGAGTTGAATGGCAAGCGTATACGAATGAATTGCAGAAGCATAGTCTTGGTTCAAATAAAAATTGTTGGCAGTGTTTTTGAGCCAATCTCCTTGAAGTTGTGACGTGAGTTCCTTATTGACTTTTTCTAAATCTGCCATTATGTCTTCATCTTCTGGGGCCATTCGAGAGGCCTGTTCATAATCCTTATAAGATCGTTGAAAATCACCCAATTTGAAATAGCATGTTCCTCTTCGAGTGTAGGATTTCAAAATGAGAGAGGCGCTCTGTTTTCGTTCTGTTTCACCAACAGCTTTAGAATGAATGTTTTCTAAAATGTAAGTGCAATCTTCGATACAATTGAAGAATTTGTTCAATTGAAGATGGCAAGCGGCTCGATTTCCGTATGCTCTAAAAAAGAAGGGCTTGAGATTGATCGCGCTCGTGTAACATGAGATTGCTTTTTCAAATCGCCTCTCGAAATATTCAGCATCTCCTTCTTCTTTCAAGAGATCTGCCTTATCTTTTTCCGATGCAACATTGCCAGATAAAATTTTCTCAAGATTCTTAATAATTTTTTGATACTCCAAATTTGACTCTACTTTGTAAGCTAGGTTAGCATCTTCTAATGCTTTTTTGAAATCGCCAATTTCTTGATAACTCTTTGCTCGAGTGATTAATGCGAGGGCTACATATTTATCCTCCACGTTTGTCTCAGTCTTTGCCTCTGTCTGTAAAAATTGTGTGCAATCTTCAATAGCTTTGAGATATTCTTGGCGCTCAAAGTGACATGCAGCTCTCTTTGACAAGCAAGAAATGGCATTCGAATCCATGGTCAAGGCTTCTGTATAAGCGCTAATAGCTGACGAGAAGTTTTGCTTTTTCATAAACTTGTCACCTCTCTCAATAACCCATACCACTGAAATTAGATTAGAATGACTAAAGGTGAATAACTTTCATACTTACCACTATCTTCAAATTCAGCCCTCTTATTCTTTCTCTTCCAAATTTCGAATTTCTTTAAAGTTTCACTATCCTTGTCTTCTCGTGCTGGAGTTCGTAGTGCCCTTGGAGTGAATGAGAGCTTAATTGTTGATGTTTCTGTGCCTCTCACTGGAACATCACATTTTTCGTACTTGTCTGCTTTTGAATCGACAGCTATGTCCTCTTCTTCATTTGTTACATCTTCAATGATTGGTTGTGTCATACGATTCTGTGGCAAAGCGTTTGAGAGATTTTCTTGTGAAAAAGTTTCACTGGTAATATTGACCTCCTCTTTTTTCTTAAATTCTTGCAATTCAGATGCTGCTTGTTCTCGTTCCATTTGTTTTTTACGTTCTATTTCCTCTCTTTTTTGTTTTTCATCTTCCCAATGTTTTTCCAAAAGTCTTTTTTCTTCTTTCAATTTTTCTTTTTTCCTTTCTTCTCGTTCTTGTTCTTCAATTTTTCTTAGTCTTTCAATAGACTCTGCTCTTCGCTTCTCAATCATTTCCTTTGTGACGTTGTTGTCATCAATTATTCTGACTGCTGTCTCCCAACGTTTTCGTTCGGCCTTTCTAAATTGCAACACCAAGTCGTGACCCTCAATTTTGTTCTGGGTTCTTGCCGACGCATCCAATACAATTTCCTCTTTCAAGTCCAACTCTAGAAAGTGATGAGGAGGACAATTCACTTTCACATAACAATCGGCAACAGTGACACTCATCTGACTCCGAGTGGCACCCTTCAAATGAATTCGGAACACCACAAGCTCATCCGTTTCATCAAAACTGTAGGGTAATGTAATTGGCATTTTGTTGTTTTTGACAGAATTTAGATATGAGCAAGTTTCCGAGAATGATCAATCCAATGATGATGATGATGGCAATGACACAAGGTGTGTTGTATGTTGTGGTGGTGTTTTTTTTTTGTAGTTTGAACCTTTGTGTTTTCCCGCCAATCTAGGTCAGGCGGAGCTCAAATACAATAGAAAAAAAAAGTTGTACAGTGATCTATCGTCATCCTCGAGACCAGTGAAATTTTCTACTCTCTCTGTTGTGGATCCAAATTTTAGAATATTCATTCTGAACACTCAGAAGAAAGGGCATAAAGAGGCGCTTCTTACTCGATTTGTATTTTGTTGAGCCGAAGGTATTGTTGGGAAACTTTTCAAATCCGAAGTGGAGCAAAAAGGTTGATGAGGAGTGAAACAATACCATGCCCACCTCAAACTCGGATACATCATCGGACGCAGTTGCTTGTGATTTGGATGAGTTAATGGTCGAGATTGAGGAGATTATTGAAAGACCTTCGAGTCACCCATCCCCTCCTCAAAGAGCAGTGACAAGTAAAATTGAGGAGATTCCACGAAATGTGTCATCTTCGCCAATTATGGGGTCTGCCACTCATCCACAAAGAAATAGCAAGAATAATTTGTATGCTAATTTGAATAATCATGTAAATTATCCACCCGCCCAACCTCAAACACTCACAAGTGCTGCTTCATTCAAGAGACCACATCATTTGAATCAGTTTGTTCAACATTCTCCGACAAATAGAAAAATTAATGATCATCATGAGTTAGACAAGATTATGAACGAGTTATTAGAAGAGCCAATATCTCCTCTGGTGAAGAAAAAGAATTCATTTTCCAAAGTTAATGCATTTCAGGTCCTTTCTCCGAGTAATGGTGGAACTCATCAAAACTCAGCACAAAAGATCAGCTCCTCTGCAATAACGACTCATAATAATATTGGACATTTCCACACAACCTCACATCACGACACTAGTAGCGGTATTGCGTCAACACCAAGAAAATGTTCAGCTGCCTTCATTGGAAATAGCTCAGATGGTTTAGGTATCAATACGTACATGTCTTTTAAAAGATGTGATGACTTGCGATGCATGAAATGTGATTTCAAAGTCATCATCTTTGATGGTAAGAAGTGGAAATCTGATGTGAACTATCTGTTTTTCAGAAATAACTATCCAGATACTGTTAAAAAAGGGTTTGAAGAAAAGGACTTTCCAGATTATTCGAGCTACTGTTGTCAATGCACCTGGATATCTGTGAATGAGAGAATGAATTTGAAAAACATACCATCAATTCACTGGTATTGTGGAGGCCACAAGTAACAAAAATCTTAATAGTGATCTAATTGTTTGAAACTAAGAATTATTGTGAACCCTTACGAGTTGCAGAATCATGAGAGTAGAGAGAACCACAAATGAAAGAGGACGATTCGATGATCTTTAATCTGCCCATTGGAAAAATTTTGAACAATCACCTTCTTTGTTGGAGCATTTGTAGAAATGTCTTCCTTGATTGTCTCCGGCCTTCTTACACACAAGCTTGATGGCAAGCTGTCCACAATGAGGGCAATTTACCTTATCGTTACTTCCACTTTGGTTTGAATTGCGTTGAGAGGTTTGCTCCCGTGCTTCTGATCGTTTGTGAGATGAGTAGGCGTTGCTTGGTGATGTCCCTGAATTGGTGCTAGATGGATATCCAGAGGGTGATGTGTTAAAGTCCCTACCAGTTCTTTTTCCAAGCATTTTATCGAGGGTAATTTGGTTAGCCGTACTCGATGGGCTTTTTCTTTTTTTCTCAAGGTAGTATGCATAGTTGTTGTTTGAGGAGAGGTTCGAGTGGACTGAAAGGAAGCTACCGTTCTGGACCTTCCTGTATTAATGTTGTTGCTGTTACTATGAATGGCTACAGAACCAGATTCATTATTTGAATCAGTCTGATTAAGAGCACTAAGGCTAATACTGAAAATCTCATTAAAATCAGTGTCACAAAAAATACAAGTGACATGTTCCGATTGAATATGAGAAGGAAGAAATGTACCATCTCTGGAAATTTTGAACTTGGTTTTGAATACAGATTCCAATCTTGTACTACAATTTAGACACTTATCCGAGGTTACTTCAACACTTGTTATGGACTTGGGCATCCAAATAGCAGTTCTACATGAAGGGAACCCCTTACATCCAATGTAGAAATTGCCTTCTTTTCCTTGTTTGACAACCATATTCTTGGAGCATTTGGGACATTTTCTTACAAATGCCTCTTGCTTCTTGGAGTATTTACATTCCTGAAAGGTACAGCTAAAGCATCTAAATCCATTTGCATGGGTTTCTGCCCCTGCATTCTCTAAATCTGGCGGGTTGTTAAAGCAGTTAGGGCATATTTTGTAATTAGTGTTCTTCTGGGTGGTGACGTCCAATACCTGGAAGTTACATATTGGACATTGATCTGAAATGCTCTCATATTCGCACTTGCTTGGCAAATTATAGGCCTCTTTGCAGTTTTTGCAAAATAAAAAGCGATGCCCGTCTTGCTCTTTCAAATCCATGCTGTTTCCACAGCCACACATTGAGAAGGATCTCACCAAGACCTTACTTTGTCCTGACTCTCCAATAGGTTTGAAATGTTGTTGAACAGCCTTGTCCAACAAATGGGCAGATTTACAAATTTGCATAAACACATGCTTGTACATTGCCAAGCTTTGATTAATAACGGCATCCTTTGTGATTTGTCCTTGACTAATACACATCATATCTTTTTCCATTTTAGCTCTCAGATTGGGTGTTGACAGTTCATAGCCAATAAGGTCATAGCCCTGCAGAAGTGCTATTCCTAAATTAGTTGCTTCAAATCTATTTCCTCTCTTGATCACGTATCCTCTGTCTTGAATTGTTTTGATATGCTGAGCTACTGTAGCATCAGTTCCAATACCATTGGAGTCCATGGCCGAAATGAGATCCGATTCAGAAAGATGTGGAGGTGGTCTTGTTTCCCCTTCATCCATCAGAAGTGAAGTTGGAACGAATTGTTGATTTTGTTGAAACACTGGAATGCTCTTGTCGGACCATTTGTCATATTTCCAAATTTCGAGATAATTCTTTTGTTCAACCATCAGTCCAGAGCAAGTAAACTCTTCATTAGCAATGACAATGTGAACCTTCGTTTCTGAACCCAACGCATCTTGAGAGCAACAAGCGAGAAAATGTCTTGATATTAATTCGTATAAATCTTGCTCTTTCTGATCATTCGTCTGACAAGATCCTTTGAGAGGGTGAATAGGAGGGTGAGCCTTGTCATCCTGTTTGCCACTGGTTGGCTTTCGATAGCCTCCATTCAATAAGTCCGAGGCATACTGTCCCCAAACTGGATTTGTAGAGTGTTCTTGAATTAGATTTTTCAAATCGTCATCTGAAAACTGATTATAGTTATTTGTCTCTGTTCTGGGATAACTGATGAAACCCTTATTGTACAAGGACTCTGCCACTTTCATCGTGTCGTGCGAACTCATGCGCAATTTTTGAGATGCTAATTTTTGGAGTTCAATGGTGTTGAGAGGAACAGGTCGTTGTTTGGTTCTTCGTTTTTTGTCAACTCGTGTAACTGTTGCTGTTGGATTTTCAACGCACAACTCGTACAGTACAAGACAGGTCAGATGGTCAAATAATCGTCCTCGTTTCCACAAAAATTGGGCTTTTCCCTCTTCGCCCATGTCATGAGAGCAATTTAACGTCCAAAATTTTTCACTTTCGAAATTCTTAATGAGCAAATCTCTCTTTACAACAAATCCAAGAGTTGGAAATTGACATGGTCCATAACTAATGACATCTCCAGGTAATCCGTGAAACTTTTTTTGAAGCCTCATTGATTGAAATCGAGTAAAACTTGCACCAATTCTCAAATCCAACTCTTGTCGAGCATCCACTGCCATGCTATCCAAAACGTTTGGTCTTTCCAAATTTCTAATTGCTCTGTTAATTGCTGCTGGAGTAAATTCTGAAAACCTAGCTCTTAAAATTGTGTTGTTTTCAATAGAGAGCGTTCTATTGACTCGTTTACAAACTTCAATGACCTCGAATGCAATATTTTCTCCTTCTCTATCGCAATCGAGCCATAAAATTAATTTACTTGCATTTCTGGCTTCGTTTTCAAGGTTCTTTTCAATTTCAGCATTTTTTTCTGGAACAGTACGTATCACTGGTGTTGAAACATCCATCAAAACAATCGGATCACATGAAGCCCATGATCGGAATTTGCCTTCAAAATCCAACTCCATCAAATGGCCCAACACCGATGTAATGCACATGGTTACTACTTGTCCGTTCATTCTATATTCAAACTCAAATACTTTGTTAAACTTTGATTTTCCTTCTCTCCTCTTGAAATTGTTTCCACTCAAAATTGTTGCAATCTGTTTGGCTGCTTCCGGCTTTTCAGCCACGCCCAGCACTTTAGGCTTTGGAGTCATTTTTTTAACTTGAAAAATATATAAATGTTCGCCCAAAAACTGGAAGTACCCTTTTGTCATTTACAAACACCTATCTTCAAAGAGAAATTTCTTGTTCTCAACAAATATAATCAAGGTTGTGAAGATGAATGTAAATAAAACAGAGCTTCCAATCCTTGTGCTGTGATGGTAGTCAGAGATGGCAGAAGCAAGATGCGCCCAAAAAAGCACATTATTGTAAAGTCCTAAAAAAATAATGCTTCGTGGATCTGCTGCTACCGCCTATCGTTTCCTCTCTGAAGTTGTTTCCCTCAACAAAAACTACTTTCCAAAGTTTTTGTTCCCATCGGCTGTTGTGGATAGTGTAGAGGCTCCAACGAGAGTTCCTGAGAAGAGAGGTGAATTCAACGTGTATGAAGCGTAAGTAGATGGTATTGTGGCGTGGAGGATTTGAATGACAAAATGTTGGTGGGATATCTTACTATCGGATGAATAATGTTTGAAAATTGATGATGATGATGATAATTTGTAAAAACATGGATGGTTGAATCTTTTGGATGATGGAATATATATTTAAATTGTGGTACTTCTTGAATGTTTGTTTCCAACAATAACAACAATACGTGTCGGACATAATTTCATTGAATTTTGTTGGATTAACAACTTTTATTCTTCATCACTACAACAATCATTATAACAACAACAACAACTATTGCCATCCAACGCGGTGTTACTTTTCACTACACACCATGATGATCATATCTATCATCTTTTTCGGCGTGAAAAACCAACAAAACTCCTTCACTCTCTTCCTCTAATTCTTTCAATCAACACCACCACACCATAATAACAGCTACCCAGTTCAAAATCCATGGACCAAGTATACAGAAATTCCATACGCTGACCTCTCAATCTGGGAAAAGGTTGACCGTTTCATCACATTCCAATACAGAAAGTCAATGCGTTACGAAACCTTTGGTTTATTATATGATGATATTCTCAATGATGAAGATCCAGTTGTCATTGAAGCCATCAACAGATTGCCAGAGGAAGTTCGTCGTGCCCGTGAAAAGCGTATTGCTCGTGCTTTCGACTTGTCTGTGAATCAAAAACGTCTTCCAAAAGAACAATGGACAAAGCCTGAAGATGATGTGGCATACTTGCGTCCATACGTTATGTGGGTTCGTGCAGAAATGGAGGAATATGATGCTGAAACCTTGAAGAAGAACGATTTCATTCCATTCTTCAATGTCAGTGCCGAAGACTATGAAACTGGAAAGGTCTTCAAAAAGAGATTTATTGAATAAATAACTAGTCGGAATAGAGTAGGGATGTATGAAACAACAAACACTTTTGGATTATGATTTCGAAACACAATAAAACAAGAAAATTCTTAATTTTCTTCTTAAACCACTCGAGCAATGTGGGGGCATTTGGGTTGTATCAAGGTTATTCCAAGTGTTTTCCAAATAATCGAGTTTTGTTTGTTGTTTCGTAGGGCAGACATTGGAGAGCTCAATAGCTTTCTCATAGGTCGGTCACTCTCCGAATCGATAATGCAAAACGTCCTCTCTCTTAAAGATACATGGCTCCATTCTCTTCAAATGTTTTCAACATAAAGTTATCTTGATTACAAATGAAACCTCTCTTCTCGTTGAGTTTTAAAAACTTGGTTCCAACCTTCATAAAGTGCTTGGCTCGATCTTTCAGAATGGACTTGACAATTGGCTTTGGAATGTTACCTTTCAGGTCCATATAAAACATTTGAGAATATTGAGTTGTTTTTTCATCAATTTCCTTATAGGCCCATCCACCAAATGAGAAAGCTCTCACCACATTCTTTTCTGGCTTTTTCGCCTTCTCAGAGAGACAACTCTTCTTTCCCATAAAGTAAGTATTCGTGGAGAGATCATAAATTCCACTCGATGACACAATAAAATCTCGATTACTGAAAGGCCACACCAATTTGTAAATTTCCTGAGTGAGTGAAGTGGCCAACAGAATGGAAGTGGCATTCGAGTGGTTGTTGTTCAAAGCACTCGACGTTGATGACACGATCGTCATAGGTGAGTCGGTCGTAGGCGAGGAAGGAATGTTGTTTTGAGGAGATATTTGTGGACTATTGGAAGGTGACGACGACGATGTCATACATTGGATCGATCCAATGGCTGAATTTGAAATCTTCTTTTCATAGTACGCCAATTGTTCAATTCGACTCAATTCTCCATCGTATTGATATCTATATTCTTGTTCGAAAAATGTATTCATGACTTGTTTGGCACTGTATGGAAATGTGACATCGAATTTGAAAAAGCTCAATCCGACAGATTCTCCCATGTCATAGGTTCGTTTTGACATGTAGCATTTGTGATGGTCACTGCTGCCAATGACTTCCCATTCTGAAGGATCGTAATTTGAAAATTGTTTCTTGATGAAACGAAAATCATGGAGTGTGAAATTTTCACATTTCATGGTTTCAGATAAGGATTCCACAAATTGAAGCAAACTGTCACTTTTCAAACTTCCAATTTCGTAGAGTATTTGAAGTGGTTGTTTTTTGAGAAAGTTTTTAAAATGATCACTTGCAAGGAATGTTGAAAAATGATTTTCCTTCAATTGCAGTAACACTAAGGATTCTACTTCATCAAATAAATTCTTTGGACAAGTGACAGTTGATCCATGAGAAGGTAAAGAAGAAGTTGACACTTCGACATTGGTCACTGCTGAGGAACCATTCGTGAAAGAGATCGAACTACCACTACTTGTCGAATCCAAACTATTTCTTACACCTCCACTACCACTACTATTACTCCTCGAAGATCGAGTATTTTTGACAGTTGGCAGTTGAACCTCTACTTCCTCTAAAGAACCACTATTTGAAGGAGCCTGTCCTGGAGTTGGACTATTTGGGTTCACCACCTTATATACTCGCATTTTAATATCATTTCGTAAATTAAGCTGTGAATTCGAAGAATCGGCGATAAATTTTTCGTACATTTTCGTTGCCAATTGTAATCGTTTGCGTTCGTGTTTAATCTTTCTGTATTCATTCACACTCTGAAGAAACTCACTGCATTCACTGTTCATGGTATTCGAGAGATAGGTTGTGAAGCACGCAAACGTTTCTGGATGATCGAAAATTGCTTCGAAATGAATATCGAATTGAGAAATGTCATCTTGGACGATCAGTCGTTTCTTATCGTTGAAGGAAGAAACCATTGTGGATTTGAAAGAATTCTAATATATCTAGGAGAGAAAATGTTGCGTAAGAGATGTGTGTTTCGTAAGAGAGAGAATGTGCAAATGTGAAAAGTTTACACAAGATGATGATAACAAAAGACCAAATTGCCGGTGATGAGTGTTTCGAGGAAAAGGCAAAAAGCAAACGTTTTTGTGAGACAATTTTTGGGAAGATCACGCACCACTGACAATCTGACAGCTTGACCAAAGATATCACGAGTCGAGTTCGAGGCAACAACCAACGCAAACGTTGAGAGTGTCAAAAGTATATTCTAATATTGTTGTTGTTGAAGTTGTTGTTGTTGTTTTAACGGAACACAGCAAAATTCAATGCCGAGATGAGGATGTTTTTTTCAACTGGTTGTTGTTGTTGAATTGGATGCAAGGATAGGTCCACCAGATAAACATGATGCCATGTTCCATTTCTGCATGCATCTCCTTGTTGGACTTTTGATCCTTATTCAGTTTCTCCACACACACACACATACGTGAAAAAGGATGAAAAAATTTGATTCAATATATGTTGCGAAGTGGGTTGTTGTTCGAAAGTGACGTTGAAGAGTGGCCAATGGCAATAATGGGTGTGGTTGTCATTGATTGGGAGTGTCGAACATTCGTTGTTAGATGCAAAACACCAAAGAGATTTCCACTTGCCAATTTTGGACATGATGGACATTTGATGTCGGTGAAAGTTTTATCCTTCTTCATCCATTATTGATCCATTCTGCTCATTTCAGCAGAATCTTTTCCAAAAAGTGCAATGTATTCTTGAATATCCATTTGTTGAATGAATGATTGAATAATATAAATTAAAGAACCTAAAAGTTCAACCACTCACTCCTCCAGAAATGACGATCTGATGTGCAAACATGTTGTTGAGAAAAAGCAGAGCTCTGTGAACAACAATTTGCATCCATTGGATGAAAGTTTTATCCAAATTTAGAGAAGTTGATCCTGAGAAATTCGCTTTTCTTTGTGCTTTGATTTTTTCAAACTCTTGCAAGAACACATTGAAATACATGAAGGAGGTTGTGGATTATTGGGATATCTACATGAATGCAAATTTTGAAAACAATTTGTCTCGAGTTTACAATTTTTTATTCATAAAAATTAAAAAAAAATGAAACTTGAAGATATTGAGAGTCTATCGGAGGGAGATTTTGTGTTTTGCCGAAAGGAAGATGTCGGGATTTATTTTAGATCCAAGGTAGAGTATGTGAATGATGAATCTTTATGATGGAATATCTAGTCATATATTGATCATGATGATGTTTGAAACTCGAATATTATTTTGGTATTTTTGTGTGTGGTTGTAAATTGTATATGATGATACGATGAATGGAATGAATAATATTTTTGTTGTTTGATTGGAATTTTATGATGATTGGAATTAATGGAACGTTGATGATCAATGGATGGAATATTTCATCATGACTTAACATTCTCTTATTCCGTAATGAATTATTTACAGATTGGAAGTGTGGACCTTGAAAATAAGACTCTGCATCTTCATTATTATCACATGTCTCAAGAGGAAGATTTGAGCTTTGAGGAAGCTGAACGACGACTTTTGAAATTTTCAAAAAGTAATGAAATTCAATTGTTTAATGATAAAAAATTAGGAATGAAATCTGGAAATATTCGACTGAAACTTGAGAAATTGGAAACAACTGGAAAGCCATATAATACCAATGATAAGGATGATGAAGATGCAGAGGATTATAAGAAAGTTACAAGTTTTGAAAAGGACAAGCAAGGAAGTAATAACGAAACTGGAAAAAGAAAAAGAGAAGAGAGTGGTTCAGAGAGCCATGATACTGTACAGACTGCATCGTCTTCAGAAAATTCTTTGTTATCACCAGAATCTACAATGTTGAAATTACCTCAATTTATTCGCCAAGAATTGTACAAGGATTACACTCAAGTGAAAATTGAAAAGAAGCTTCACAAATTGGATAAGGAGAAAACAGTGGCTCTTATTGTTGAAGGTTATTTAAAGGAATTGGAAGAACAAGACGTTCCAGAGACAGAGTATGATATTTGTAAATGTGTCATGGACGGCATTGTGAAATATTTTGATTGTTATTGTGAAACTTTTCTGTTGTATCCTGAGGAGGAGCGACAATTTGACGAGGAACAAACGAAACGAAAATCCAAGAAGACCACCTCCAAGAAGAACGATGAGGACACAATTCCTGCCTCAACGATCTATGGATTGCATCACTTACTGAGATTGTTCACGATTTTGCCCAAGCTGCTTTCTCGAATGCCAGAGGGCATGACACTTCGGCAATCAACCAAGTCTCTCATTTACCAGAAATTGGAAGGTTTTTTTGGTTATTTGGAATTATTTATGCAAAATGTACAATAATTATTGGGGGGTTATTTTGAGTATATATTATAGTGCAATAGAATGTGTGTACACGTTCAGTACACGCTATTAATCGAATTTGATTCAATTCTTGGGCCGATTCACGCTATTAATATGATCAAAATTTCATGTCACTCCTGTTTAAACTTGTTGATTGTTGCCTCCAGAAAGACCGACTCTTACAGCTCCGCTAATAGCCGTGGCCGCACCTTGTTGTACCAAGCCAGTACCGTATTCCTTGATCTTATTCAAAGAACCCTTGAGAGCTCTAAAGACCTTAACACCCAAAATAAAAATGACAATAAAATCAACCATCATTGCAAACCAAATAACAGCCATCACCAAGTTACACACAAATGCTGGAATACTGCCTGTTGTACCAGTTGGGAAATAATAAATAGCAGTGATAATACCACTGCAACCATAAGTCAAATATCCAGCACAACCAAAAGCACAAAACAAAATTGCAACAGCATAACCAATAAAGAATAAAATAAATCTAGGAACAGCTCCAATTTCCATGGCCTTATACAATGGCCAATAAGAGAGGAAAAAGTGTGCAGGAATGACAACAAAGAACATGGCAGTGGAGATGACCAAGTATTGGACAATGGTCATTGTTGAGACCTCTTTCGAAAGTCCTGCAGCTGGATAGAAGGCAGTAATGTATGCAGTGAAAGCATTCAACAACATGACGACACAAAGGATCATCCATGAAATGTAGCCCATATATGCAATTTTTCTTCGTAAGAACTCGGATGGTATTTCACCAATACTATGATATACGATAGGATAACAACGTGGCCAATTCTTCTTGACAGGTAGATGCTCCAAATTTTGAACTTCTCGTTCTCTTTTTTCCAACTCAGCCTCTCTACGAGCAAGTTCCATTGCTTTGAGTCTGAGAGCTTCATTGTCCATACCTTGGTCAACAGAAATTTCAGCAGGTTGATTCAAAACTGGTGGAGCATAGGCACTGTTGAATGTTCCCGCGTTGTCTTGCTGCTGTAGTTGTTGTTGTTGTTGTGATTGTATATGGTTGACAATTAGGTCGTCATCGTTTGAAGACGATCATCACATAATAACAATTATTCGGTCAAGAAGTGGTAATGTTCAAAAAAGATTCGGTTCGGTGGTTGGCAATGATGAAGATTGGAATGTGTATTTATATTTATCTCCTCGCATTACTTTTGTATCAAATGATGAAAACACTTACTGGTTGATAATCATAATCGTATGGATCCACATCGGTAGATGAATACGGATTAGTTCCTCCGTTGAAAGACATGGCTTGATTTTATATTTTTAGGTATTAGTAATAATAGTAGTCACTAACAATCAACGTGCTGTTGCTATTGTTGTTGTTGTTATTATTGTTCTATCAGCTGATGATGATGATGAACAAAATCTTCGTAAATTTTTGAGAGAGCAAATTTACGAGAGAGCCGAAAATAGGTTTCACTATATTTTTTTAAAGAATTTCCAATTCGCTAAACATTGGAAGGCAAATGGAGACTTTGTTTGGGTTCATGTCCATTCTTTGGAAAGAACCAAACGATCCACCTGCATCCGAATCGATAAGAGGCTCTACTACTCCTGGGACATTACAAACAACTGTGACAGTCTCGATCAACACTCTTCACAAAGAGAATTTCAAGGAGGAGAGTCCAATTCCTTTCAAAATTAAGATGGAAGGTTCTGCTGGCTGCTTTTGAGATAAATGGAGACTACAGTTTATTCTTCCTTCTCAATTTCTTCGAGTTCAATAATGATGGGTGAATCGGTGAGTTTGTATTTGTTGTCAGTGTCGTCAATCTTGAAGCAGGACACACGAATGTTCTTTTGGGCAATGCAGGTGGAGTCCGCCTTATACCAATGTGTCACTTTGAATTTTGCGTTTGTACCAAACACAACCTTTTGAGCAACCTTAGTACCAGATTTCTTGGATTTGATTAAGAATAAGGTTCCTTGTTTCGGAATGTTCCAATTCAAATTTGAGACAACAAATCTGTTCCAACAAATGGTGGATCCAGGCATGAATTTAGTTCTGTCCACTTTGGATTCATAAATGAATGATTCTCCTTCAAATTTAGGTGTTTCATCAAAGTTGAAAGATTGAGGAGCTGAATTGTAAATGTTGATGGCAGAGGTATCTCCAGAAATGAGGTACAAAATAGCCCAAGTTCTTGGAGGAATGGGAGACCCACTTGCCACATGACCAATAATTTGTCTCTTGATGTGAAAGATTTCATTTTGGAAAACATTCTTTCCTCCAACCCATTTAGGATGATCATAAATTTTTAGAGGTTCAACTACGGTGATCTCTTGAGTCATAGAGGAAGGTTCAAAAAATTCATCAATATGAGGAGTCACAATCTGTAAATCTCCTCGTTGAGGTGGTTTCCCAATGAGTGTAACTAATTGCTTATCCCTGCCTGTTACCAATGAAAGTCGATTCATAATTTCAGAGTTGGGAGATCCAGGAATGATAATTTTCATCATACCTCCAACAACTTTTGCCCAATCTCGAGCTGTCATACCAAAAGAATCCTTAATTGAAGCTTCTGCTCCCAACTCGACAAAAGCTTTAGCAGCATTCACATTTCCATAAATGACTGCTTCAATGAGTGCACATCCGGCGGTTAAACCTCTCAAATTTGTAATCTCTCCTGGTTGCAAAAATCCGGGTAAAACACCATAATTTCTCAGGAGGTCAATAAATTTCGATTCCAATAATCCATAGTCTCCATGAGCAATCTTCACAAGGAAAGGATACAATGGTTCCACAAGAATATCTGGATTAATGTCTTGGCAGTAAGCTCCAGGCATATTTCCTGCATTGTCAAGAGCGAACATGTTAGCATTTCTTGAAATGAATAATTTAACAACCTCTAAATTACCTCGAAGCATAGCTACATGAAGAGGTGTCATACCTGCCAAATCTTGAGCTTCAATATCAGCACCCAAATCAAGCAAAACCTTTGCAGCGTTCACACATCCATAGAGAGCTGTCAAGTGAAGAGGATTAGAGTATGGAATGATTTGATTGTCAGGTCGAGTTCTACATTTCACAGAAGCACCATAACGATGAAGAGTTAAAATACATTCAGCTCTATCTTGTTCAGCAGCAGAAAACAAGGCGTTAAATCCATCAATTTTGGCACAATATTGCAAATCTTCTTCGGTAGCCTTGGACAAGAATAATTCCAAAATTTCTGCTTGTCCAGTTCTGCAAGCAATAATCAATGGATTGTCTCCATTATTATTTGGGGTGTTCACGTGAGCTCCATAATTCATTAAAATTTCAGCAATCTCGAAAGTACCGCGCTGAGCACAAGAAATCAGTGGAACAACGCCATCGTTGTTTTGTGTGTTGGGGTCAGACCCAGCCTCCAATAATGTTTCAACGACATCAATTCTATTATTACAGCAAGCAGTCCAGAGTGCATTATTGCCGTTGACATTTCTCCAATCCATATCGGCTCCATGTTCCAATAACACCTTGACATAATCTAATTTCCCTGAAGAAGCTGCCACAAATAACAATGATTCATAATTTCCTTCGTATCCAACAATGTCGTTGACATTGAGCGTTTTGGCGAGAGTTTTGAAAATTCCAAGTTGTCCATAGTCCATCGCCAAATACATGTGATAAACATCAGGGATAATTCCAGATTGAACGCATTTTTCAAAGAGCTCTACATTTCCTTTACGGACGGCCATATCTAAAAGTTCAGTGGAGGCAGAAGCAGACTCTCTCTGATCAATCCAATCATAACATTTGCCATCCACAAAGTTACGAATATCGCTTGAAATCCTACACACTCCCCTATCTAAGAGTATCGAAGCAGTTCTAAAGAAATGTCTATCAAACACATAGTTCATTAGTTGATCATTCGAAGCAGCTGTTGGAGCCCGTTGGTCCAGTAAGAACGTCACACAACGATCATATCCCATCATGATAGCTAAGTCCAACGGCGTAAGATTGTCCTTATTGGTGATTGAAAGGTCAGAACCTTGAGAGACCAGTATCTTTACAGCCTCAAGATGTCCCTTCATACAAGCGAGATGTAATGGTGTGTTGCCATCACGATCCTTCTCATTAATGATTGATAGGCAATTCTCTTGAATTAAGTAGTTTGCAAATTCACTACTCTTGAGTTGAACGACAGCAGTATGTACTTTGGAATATTGTTTTTTACCGTGGGCATAATGGATTTTCTTAATGTTGTACTTGGAGATTTGACCGTTTCCTCCCGCAAGAGCGTTTTTGAATTTTGGTGGTTGCACAATTCTATTACGTTCTTTCTTTTTCTTGAATTCTGGTTCAGGCGTTTGTTTCACAGAAAACATGCTAGAAAACTTTAAATCGTTCAAAACATTCGTGTTCACAACTTGACCTAGCTTAATTTTCTGCAATTCAGCCTCAATAACTGTCAATTTGTCACCCAATAATTGATCAATTCCCTTCAAAGATGCAGTGCATCGAATCAATAATTCGCAATGAAATGCAAACAATGCTTCTCCGTATTGTTTCTTGTCAACTCCGGCCAAATAGAGAGCCTGAGCAGCAAGTTGATCGACATGATGACTGGCCAATTTTTGGAGAGATCTTAATCTCAATCGTTGAGGGCATATCGTTTGAAAAATATATATTTGGATTGGATCTCTTCCAGAGACTCTTAATTGAGCTTGAATTGTTTTGTCTGATTCTGGAACACAAGTAATGTACCGAGTGATGGATCCATGACCTGACTTGTTCACTGGAATATTCACCAAGAATGTATTTCCTGGCTTGGAGTCACTTCCATAAAGAGTGAACAACCCCTCAGATAAGGTAATTTCAGCAGAGATGGTACTGGAGGAACTCACAGTATCGAATATCGAAGTTAATTTTCCACAAATAACGTCATCATTATCGTCATAGTTTGCATAACGATAAGCTCCTTCCAAAGTACCAACTTTTCTCATTGCATCCAATAATTCCAAATTATGATTGCTTCCAAAACCAACTGTATGAACGACATAGTCACCTCTGTACACTTTATCCAACTCTCTACGAAGATATTCAATACCATCTTGAAGTCCGACACAGGACTGATCTTGACCATCTGTCAAGAAGGCAATCACTACATGTCCAAAAGGTAGCTCCTCAGCCACAGTTCCCTGATTGTGACTTTCTCTTTTAATGATTGAGCATGCAGTGGAGAATGCACTCGCGAAATCAGTTCCTCCTCCCGTAAATGCCTTCTCAATTCGAGCAACAATTTGATTCAAACTTCCGCTCATGTCAATTTCTTTGGCACTACTTTCATAGGCCACCATCCGACAAATCACGGCTGGATTTTCAAAACTCTGATGAGCAATATGTTTCAAAGAGGCACACACTTGTTCCCAAGGCCGACCTTGCATGGATCCTGAGACATCGGCCAATACAATGAAAAGTGTGGGTTTAGGATTGAGAGTGGAATCATTGACTGTGATTTTGAGCTCGGCCACTCCAATATCATGATCATCGTTGTCCAACAAGTGTTCGGCCTCAGCAGAAAACTTGGCTTGTGGTTCATCATGATTCGAGGCAGCTGCTGTTGTACTCGTGTTCTTCTCTTGCAAGACCATCTCCACAAGAGAGGCTAAATTCACGTTTTTAGGAGCCTCTTGTACATTGAAATGGTCCAAATCGGCTCTGCAACAAGGACAAGCCTTGTGATTTCCACTAACTGAGTGAGGTGAGAATTGTCCAAAGTAGACTCTCAGAGATTCACGTGAAAAGGCTCTCCCACAGCACGGCACGACGATCGGATCTTGGAGTAATTCTCTCGAGATGGGACAAGTCAAATCTTCATGGTCTTCCGAGAGCATGATGTTGTTGATGAAAATGAATGAATGGAAGAATGGAAGAACTCGAGAAGGAATCGATCGGTTTTTGAATTAGTTCTCAAAGTTCGCAAGTTCATCCGAGAAGAAACCAATTTTTGTTTGTGAGATGTATGGTATCAATTTGACGTTCAATTTGAGAAAAAGTGTTGTTGAAATTTAAAGTGTTCTCGTTATGCATTCCGGAATGCAGGTGCATTTAGGTGAACCAGGATAAGGAATTTCGGAAAACGCACGTTTTGGTTTAAGGAGTTGAGAAATATTTTCTTGAATGACCATCGACTCTCAAGTTATTTTGAAATTAACATGAGCGGATTGATTTGACTCACTCAAGCACTCTCAAAGTCGACAATGCACTACTCGTAAGGTTTGAAGAGGATGGTTGCTGGGTGTTAATGCCACAGATGAGACATTGGCCTTTTCACAAGAATCTTCAAATACTCTGTTGAAATGATTGAATGATCATGACTGTCATTGTGAAACATTGGAAACTGGAATTTTACACATAGATATGAACCTGTCCACTTTGTCGATCCAACACAAACAACTCTCCCGTCCTTCATTCAAACACATTCCTGTGGGTGCTCTTGGTGCTGTATCATTATTGAAAGCAAATCCCCAACCATCCATCTCCTCTCCTGCATGCACATCTTCTCCTCGAGAAGAAGAAGATGACGAATTTTTTCTCTTCTCAAATTCAAAACATTAATTACTTACTCTTGGACACCAATCACAGAGCCAACAGCTCCGATTTCAAAAAGACACAACCCGAGAATGCTTCTAAGAAGAGTGATGAACATTCCTAAAAAGAAGATCCTTATGAAAATCGGTTCACATGTTTTTCAGATGCCAAAGGACTAATTCGAAAACTCTATGGGGCTTATAGTCCAAAAGACGAAGATAGTGCGTTTATGACTCTCATGAAAGATGAAATAGAATCATCTATGGGGGTGCTGTTATGCTTGGTGATTGTGGATATGAATCTGTTGTCAGCAAGTTCAGTAAAATCAAAATCGTCACTCCAAAGTCACAACCAAAAGGAAGACCACCAAAAGACGGAAGAGGAATCAGGAAGTTGACGCAAAAACAAAAAGCTGGAAATAAGTTGCTAAAATCACCAAGATCGAGAGTGGTCAAATTAAGCTGAAGTGGAAATCTTTGTCATCTTGTTTCACAGAAGACAACTCAACACAGCTACGTAGTAATAATAGCCTTAAACATCAAGAGCTTGATGATGAACCTGTTTGGAATTTTTTTAAAAAAATTTTTGAAATGATGAAAAACGTCGCCAGCCATTTATTTCGTGGTCCACTTTCCTCATCAACACTCTCTTTCTCTCGGTTTTTCAGAGGTGTAGTTTTTGGTGTTGATCCACTTGGGTAAGACTCTAACCTCTCGCTCCATGTACAACAACCAACTGCTTCTCATGATCTCAACCCAAAATCAAACAATGCAGCACCACAACAAACCGCTAATAACGACAATTCTCAAACGTCTAAAATTGTAGCCCTCTCTTTCAACCAGTACAAGAAATGGACAGCCCAAGAAGTTGCTTCCATTTTGGCTTTGGATGATGACGCTGGTGGAGCCTCATTGTCCGTTGATGTTAAACCTCTATGACATTTGTTTAAAAGGAAGCTCTCTTGATAACATTGTAAAGGATATCAAGAGGCATGATGTAGACTTTGCTATTGCCTCCTTGTCTCAAAGCAAAGACTATACTCAAGTTCCTTCAAGCACTTGCAAGACTGTTGTTAATTGGGTCAATGAAACATTAATGCCCAAACTTTTTCGTTTGTGGGACAAGGATCAAACAAAGGATGCATTATGCCAATCAAAACTAAACGGTGGGGCTGGATTAACCATAGAACAAGCTCAGCCTTTCTATGATGCAAAATTTGATGGAGCAACTCTCTCAAAGATTGTGTACGAACTCGAAAAAGCTCAACAAAATGGGAATGAACTCTCTGCAAATGATATCATGAAACAAATTTTTGAAAACCAGATTGATTTATCCACTTGCACAACTATAGGATAAAAGACAAATTGATAGAGAAAAATAAGATACAATTACCATTATTGAAAATCGTTTCTAAACGTAAGTAATTTGGATAACTGTACACTAATCTTGCTCATGAAAATTCCACACGTGAAATTTGTGCAACTGTTTTACATTTTATTGGGATGAACGGAAATTGGTAGACTCAAAACCGAAATACATTCCAGACAAATATATAGAGATAATTCCAAATTTTTCTGATGAAGAATTGTATTTATTTCAAGAGATCAGTGAGCTAAAATTGAGAGATTTATCATATGTTCACCATAGCTATCTAGATCGTCTCATTTTCAATGGCATGCTGAATAGAGAACAAGCAAAACAAGCGATTTTAGATTTAAGTGCAAGACAATACAAAGCAAGTCAACAAGAAAAAATTAACAAACAAGACTTAACTTTTTTGATTGCCAAAGGTGGAAGTGGGAGTGGGAAGACTCGTATTATGTCTGAGGTTGTCAAAATTCTTTCGAAGGCCGAACCACAATATATTTTTAAGAATTCTTCAATCATTTACTTCAACTTTACAAATGGATTTGTTTTGCAAAATGATGTTGAAAGAGACAGTAGTATTATTTCTTTAATCTCATCGAGAATCATTTACGCTGCTTTTGAACAAGGAGAAGAAATTGCAAAACGAATACCAAAAATAACTAATGATTATTTTATATATGAACTTCTCCGAATTATAAGCTCAAAAATGCACGAACAATTGAAAGTCGAGCAATCGATGCCAATACCTCTTATTCTCGCATTTGATGAATATCAAAGAGTAACCAGACTGAATCAAAATCTGAATACACAATTACAACATAAAATTGGATGGTATATGAGACACTTTCAGAAAAAACAGGGATTGATTTTATTTCCATCATTCTCAGGAACGTTAATGGAATCCGATGCCGAATTTGGACCAACTGACTACCAAATAACAACTGTCCCATTACCATCATTGCGACAAGAGGATGTCGAAATTATTATGAAAGAGCAAGATTTAATAGAATTTTATACACCAAAGCTCTCAAATATGAAAAGAGAGTTGAAGAATTATCTGGCCAAGGCAGAATTTACAAAACTAATGACCATATTGGAATACCACTTCTTGCTATTGATAAACTTTCAGAATCAAATGAGAAAATTCCAAAAAGCTTATTCAACGACTTTGTTTATACTTCAACAAAACCGGATTGGGAAAAATTCGAAGAGCTATGTTTGAAAACAATTACCTGCAAACTGAACTATATTCTCAAACTGAAACCAATTGAGCCTGTAAATACTTTTACTGTCGGTGAACTTTTTCAAGGAGCACATATGACAGATAAGCTTGCTCATATGACCTTGACCACTAATATTGGCACAAAAGCCTACTACCGTTATGTTGAAGTTGTAGAAACAATTTCTAAATCACTTATTCAGAACGAAAACATGCATAATGTAATCACAAAGGCAAAACTGAATCAACAAGGTATTGATGGATTTTTGCCTGTATTTGTTTCTGGTGGGAGGAAAGTGTTATTTGTAGTTCAAAATAAGTTTATGAATGATGATTCACAAATAAGGACACCCGAACCCAAACAATTATGTGATCATTATAACAAGGCACTATTGGATATTGAAGGTTATGATATTTATCCAGTAATTTTTTCGAGAAAAAAAGTCTCTGATAACACAGCCAAAAGTGTTAGAACAGGAATAATTCCAACTTCAAAAGAGACACCATGTCCTAAATTAATTTTGGTTTCTGGAGACTGTTTTGATGCCTTTTTCCATCCATTCATTACCAACATTCTCAAACTTAGGGAAAAACCTTGTGAGGAGTAAAATTTAAACATCTACCATTCAAGCACAGCTAATTATTAGGTGATCAATTGTTATCGTTATTAAAATGTCAATGTGTAAAGTATTGATTGATCGGTAAGAGAATCCTTGTGTATCACGTCGTTGCTCCGGACCCAATTTGGCACCAGCTGACTTTCAAGCTAAAAAATCGAACACGATCAACTAAAAACATCTAACTGTTCAATATTTTGAATACTACCTTGCCTTCAGATTGGGCGGAATATGTACTAGACTCATTTCCCTACATTTTCGTCAAATTTATTTCAAAAGTTTTATTCAAAAAGTATACAAACGTTCTGTTCGGAGAACCCTCCGCCAATTTTCGCTGGCCTACAACAACGTGAATGTTGACAACCACTGTTGTTGTTACCGACCTTCTTTCTGTGTATTGATTGTGAAATTACTTCATTTTCAAAGGCTTTTGAGTTCTTTGAGTGTTGTTAATGAATTTGAAATAACGGAAATACATGAATTTTCAGAATTGATCATTTACGACCATTATTTCACAAGAAATACCACAGTGAATCATTAGGATGCCTTCATTCATAATGAAGTCTGATGAATCATATTCGCTCATATTTTTGATCAGTGTTCCAACTCGTAATGCTTCTCAATCTTCGGCTCACATCTCCGGAGATGGAGTGAGGTGTCACGATCCAACTCGAGTCTCTTCTCCATCGTGCTGAAAGAGAAGGACATGACCATTCGGTTAGACTTTGACACATTTTGGAGAGAAGATTGGTGAGTGGTTGGTGTGGACGATGTGGTAGTTGTGGAGACGATGGGACTGAACTTGGGCCCATTCGAGGAGATTGACAAGCCACAATTAATTCATCAATGACTTGCAAAACCTTGCCGTTGGAGGCGTTCAAAACTTTGAGACAGTCTTTGCCAAAATCACAGACATAGAGCAATGTATCTGAAGAAGGTTCAATCCGAATGTGTGTCTTGTTGACATCTGGCGTTTGGTCTTTGATGTCGTAACTTTTCCTGAAAGAGCATATCCACACATAACCCTTAGTGGACGGAAACTGCCACGGTGGCACTGATGACCACCTGGTTTGTACACACTGTGTACTTCAATTACATTTCTGGTATTGATTGTTGGAGGTAATGAATATTCATCCCTACGAACAAGATCGACTCCAAATCTTTCTCCAAGCTCTGTCCAACCAGATGCATCTAAAAACCATGGTATTTGCGGTAATACTTTAAAATTTCAGGGGCAGATACTTGTATACTCTTCTTAGTTTCACGGTTATATATTCTGACATTGCCTATTTTTTTCCATACACTAACATTGTCAGAAAGTTCAATATAATTTTTTTTCCAGATGTAGAATTTCGATCAACATAACTATACTTATAAGTAAATACACAGAAGGTGGGAGCTTATGGAAAAATGAAAAGACTCCCTTTTAAAACATTTGTTCCATCTTGGACTTGCATTTTGAATCTATTTTTGAACATTTTACATCATCAAAAAAATACGATTTTCATTGTGCTTTACAACACACGCCAATCCTCTATGCCGTCCAAAGAAAAACCCAAATCCTTCCGAGGAGTTGTTGGAGTCGTTGGAAAGAGCTCCAATGCATCATCCATTCACCATCATGGTCATATGACCAAATTGGACGGAAAATCCAATGAGCTACTCAAAATATCACCCAATGTCAAACGTTATTCCGATATTAAAAAACCATCCAATCATTCCAATACATTTACCTCTACGATAGGAAGTGCTGGTGTGGTGTTTAATCAAGTAAAAGCACGGAAATGTATTGAAGATTATGAACCCGAAGACGAATTAGAGAAATGGCTCTTGAAACATAATGAAAAGAATCTGGTACTATGTTTGGAATATCCAACACATGTTTCTCAACGAGGTGGGCATTACCATATCATATTTAGAACTCAGAGCATGTACAATGAATATTTACAAGCTTGGAAAAACTCAATAACGATCAATAATCCAGAGCATTCAAATTTACCAAAAATGTACATTGAAGAATTACGAACAAAACATGCCTTTCGATTATATGTCGATATCGATATTAAACTGGCGATTGAAGAAAAGTATGATATCGTTGAAAAGGGCTGGATTGATGACATTATGAAATTTACTTGGAATTATTTTTTCAAAAATCAACGAGAAACAAATTTAACCATGATTTTAACACAATGTCATGGCAAATGGGAAGACAGTGTCACTACCACTTCCAAATACAAATCAGGATACCGTCTCTATTTTCATGACATTATTGTAGATTTCGACAAATTTTGTGACTACACTCATAATTTATGTTATACGTTACAAGGAAAATTCGATCATTACAATGGTCAACCTCATGATTGGACGTTTGAGGATGTCATTGATTTGAAAACTTGTAATCATCCACGATGTCGATTATTTGGAAGTGCCAAGTGGAGACGTGGTGATATTTTACCTCGAATTTATGAGTTTTATGGAGCTTTTAGATACAACCCGACATCAAATAAGGCAATTATGGACAATGCCATAACGAGTGCATTAAGGGAAAATGTCTGTGAATTATTGAGATTGACAAGTACTCGAGTGGAAGATCCTTTCGATGAAGATGATGATTCTCATCCAACAACTGCAACAACTCCATGAATAATGTTGATGAAATCTCTGTTCATGAACAGAACACATCAATGCAAATCGTAGGTTAACAACTTTTTCCCAAATTGAACGAATAACACTTAGACACACTTAATAGGCCTTCGCTTTACAACTTTTGAATTGGAAACCACAAAATTCGAAAATGGAAAAGGACAAAAATAAAAAAATGCTCGGAAACAATTTGCCAACAACAACGGAAAATACAAACAAGCCTTGTAGTGATGCTGCGAGAACTTTTATCGACGATGCCATTACTACTTCCACTCATTTGAGTAGCACAATGATGGAAAGTACAGGCAAAAAAACAATCATGACGAGTCCAAGTTATAGTACTGATGATGATGATTTGGATGACGCAGCAGCAGTTTCCAATTCTTCCGATGATCATGGTGATGAAGAAAATAACAGGACAACATTGCCGAAAACTAAAACACCATCGTCCTCATTGATGCCGAAAAAGAAGAAGAAAAAGAAGTCTTTGATTCAAAAGAAACATTCCGAAGGAGAACCACATCACCAACATTTAGGAGTTGAGGGTCATCATTACAAGCACGACGTAGGAGTTAGCAGTAGATCACATCATCGAGCAAATCAATCGACACCCGCAACCATTGTGATGAGAGAACACACCGATTATGGAGAAATTAATGTATATCCAATTGATATCAAACAATTACAGGCTTCTGAGACTCAAGTTGCTGGACATGGAACACGTAAAAAGAAGGAACTATCGTTACTAGTACGAGATGGTAAAATATTCAAAGCAATTCAGCCAGGAAAAAAACGTTCATGGTGCGAGGTTCACTTTTACGAAAAACAAATAGCAAAAGCTCCCTATTTATTACCATTCATTCCTAAATATTATGGTGTATTTAGAGCGTTTATTGCAAACGAAGAGGAGGACTTGGGCGACAAATCGATTGATTCTCTCACGAGAGCAAGTAGCTCATCTTTGAATTCTATCTTCTTTCATGCTTCATCTTTAGCGAGTAGCACGGCATACACGTCTCTGCAAACACTTGAAACAAACAATGGAGATGTGACATTGCGAGGAGTGAAGGAACCTCTTCATGTTGTAAATACTACGTACAAACATATTGATTTTTTGGTTCTAGAGGACATTACTGCAAGTATGAAAAATCCAAATGTCATGGACATCAAAATGGGTCAACGAACCTATGGAGAAGATGCGTCACCAGAAAAGATTCTAGAAGAAGAATCAAAATATCCGTATCAACATGTTTTAGGAATGAGAATTAGTGGTGCCAAAATATTTGATAGAACCCAAAAAACATATAAATATTTAGATAGACATTGGGGACGTACCATTACACCTGACACTCTCATAAATGCTATGGAGTTATTTTTCCTTCCTGCAGAACTGGATGAAGAGGTACGAATGGACGTAGGAGTGAGTGTTCTCACACAATTCCTGAAAGAGGTGAAGAAAATGTACATTATTTTCACCCAAAAGAATGACATGTTGAGAATGTATGCAAGCTCGCTGCTCATTTCATATGATCATTCTAAGAACTTGTGTGTGAAAATTATTGATTTTTCTCACGTTCATGAAAATCATACAGGAACACCAATTTTCGATACTGGATTTGCACACGGCCTTTCCACTATCATTTCTGTCACAGAACAGCTTTTGGAAAAATATTCCACAGGTACGAAATGAATTAGTGAAAAATGATGATGATTATTATTATTTATTCATTTTCGACATTCATATCTGTGACTCACAAACACCTTGAATTTAAAGAGTTTTAATTCCATCATGCATTCCGAAAAACCTTAAAAGATCTTCATTCCGAAAAGAAAAAAAAATGTCTTCCATACTAGTGACCGGCAGTTCGAGAGGTATTGGATTGGCCTTGGTGAGAGCTCTGCTTCAATCGGCTCCTTCCAAACACATCATTGCCACATGCCGAGATCCAAACAATGCCAAAGATCTCTCCCAACTTCAATCTCAACATTCCGATCGCCTCTCCATTGAAACTTTAAATGTTTCTGAAGAAAAGGATATTCTCTCCTTGATTGATCGTCTAAAACAAAAACAAACCTCCGTGAGTGTGTTGGTGAATAATGCTGGAATTTATTCTGCAATGAAGAAGGAGACCTTGTTGAATTCAACAAAAGAATCCATGTTGAGTGTATATGAAACAAATGTAGTGGCTCCCATGTTGATGATTCAACACTTGTATAATGCCAAATTGTTTGAGAAGGGAGCTTTGATTGTGAATATTTCGAGTGTCATGGGATCTATTGGTAAGTAGTTGTGTCGTGTGAATAGATGAGAGTGTTTATTGAGTTGAAAAATTGATTTGGAAAATTGATGAACTGCCATTTTAAATTTGTTTTAAAACAAGCCCAAACATTTGAGAGAAGAGGAGTCTCTTATTCGTGCTCAAAGGCTGCCCTTAATATGTTGACCAAGATGGTCAGTATTGAGTTGCCAGAAGTCAACGCCATTAGTTTACATCCTGGTTGGGTTCAAACTGATATGGTAAGTAATTATGAGATTTGATGAGATGTTGTGTTTGAATGCGAATTGGAATTATCTGTAAATCCATCTATGGTTGGAATTATATGGTACTGTAGGGAGGAAAAGGTATGTTGAAAAGCTATCGATAATTTCTTCATAATTAATCACAATTTTATTAATTCTAAATAGATGCCCCAGTGAAACCGGAAGATAGTGCTGCTGGGATTGCCAAAATTATTACCAACTTTGATCCCAAGTCACAAAATGGAACCTTCTTGAGTTATGATGGCTCAACCATCCAGTGGTAATTAACACAGTCAAGTTAATTGCCAAACATATGAATATGGGCCAATGATTCACGCGGTTAGTAAAAATTAAAAAGGGTCTGTCTGTTACAGTTTTGAAGGTCGTGGATCAGTGAATTCCATTAGTGTTTTTTGCTTCTTTTGTGAGTCATGGTTTTCCATCATTTGTTTCACGATAGTCAATATATGAGGCCAACACTCATCTCTTCCGTCCTTTCGTTTGAAAAAGTTGAAATGCCCAACTTTTTTAGCAATCTCCCCATGAATGTAATACATTCTCTTCTCGTTGGGACAAGTTAACGGTTGAACATGATCATCTTGTTGTGTATTCGAATCTTTTTTCAATGTCACATTAATCGTTTTAGGAATTCTCGAATTGTCCGTATTCAAATGTTGTTGATCAGTAAAGCTCACAAATTTAGGATCACTCAAACTTCTAAAAATCCACATCGCCGACTGCAAGGGTGCAAAATTGTCTCCCTCAATCACATAACTCACCATTGGAATTTTCTGTAATGCCCATGCAGGATGTTGTGGATTCTTTGGTGGCTCCTCAATTCCACAATATTCAAAAATATAATTCCTTCGACAATGACCTGCCGAGTACCAATCTCTCACAAGCTTATTTGCAACATACACAGGAGGAGTAATGAGTGGATACATCCGTACCATCATCGGTAAATAGACATACCAATAGAAAAACATGAAAATTCGAGGAGTGATCCATGGCCAGTGTGTCATGAGTCCACTCTGAGTTCCAACCCAAACTGTTCCAATAAATTTCTGTAAATACAGAGAAGGAATATGGGCCAATATTTGTCCTCCAATGCTGTGTGCAATATAGAGAAAATTGTCAATGGGAAGGATGGGAGAGGAGTATTGTTGTTGTTCGAGGTGTGTTAAATATTGAGTGAGTTGTTCTTCTTGTTGAATCACTGACTTGTTGTTTTCAGATCCTTGTTTGTTGTGCATTTCTGATGATTTAACTATTTTAGGTAGGACTTTGGTAGTCGAATCAGAACTTGTCAATAATAGTTTATGTAGTGGTGTACTTTCAAGAAAATTCATGATTGCTGTCACATCCAACAGTCCCCAATTTCTAATACTAATATATTTGTTTTGAATGTCATAAAGTATTTTCTTTTCTTCATCGGCACTCGCCTTCTTGTTGTGGTCCATGTTGGAATTATCCGCAACAACAGCATTCACTCGCAAACCTGATGAAAAGCATCCTCTATAATCAAAGGTCATGACAATACATCCAATTTCTTCGCAAATGAATGTACAAAAATCTTTATAAAATCGACACGGAATTCCCATGGCTGGTGCCATCAATATTGCAGTTTCCGAGATGTGAGTTTGACAAAATTTACCCTCACTGTCCTGATCGAGCGGAATGAAAACCGTTCCATAAATTTTGTATCGATCTTGACATGTCACTTCATGTGTTTGTGTACATACAACCCGTCCGACAGAACAAGAACGATCAGAGGATGATGTGGGTGAGTGAGAGGAATGATTTTCTTGTTGATACATTTTTTAGAGTTGAGGAAAATTAAAAGATTTCTCCGAATTGAGATGGGAATGTCAAAGGATGGTTTTCTTGTGCTTGTCATCTGAAAGGCATTAAGCGTAATGACTAGGTGAATACAACACCTCTGAAACATATTCAAGCTGTTGTTGTGTGAATTTCGTCTTGTTTTGTTCCCAACGATCAATCGATTGTTGCAAGCGGAAGAAAATATCAAATGTTTCTCGAATAATCTGTTGCAAAAGTTGGCCTTGAACACCTGTTGAAAATTTGTTCATTCTTGCCAAGTGCTCCATGACATTTGGTAGAAAGGTAGGAATGTCATAACTGTGTGAAAAAGCTTTCACAATAGAGCTCAAACCTAATCCAACGTAAACAGGATCTTCATCTTTCTTTTGAGTTGTGCTGCTGTCTAATAATGCTTTTGCTTGAGTTAGGAAGAGTTTTGAAAACGTCAATAACATCTTGTTTGGCATAATTTTCAAAAGAGGGCAAAGCATGTCAGACGCTAGCTGACGAATGAGCATGTTTTTGTCTTTAAGGAGACAACTAAGATATGCATCACATAATGTTTGATAGCTCTCGTCATACTTAAATATATAAAATTGATTTTTGAATGTAAAGTTTCCAATAAATGATAATAAGGTCATTCCTTTCCATGTGTCAGTACTGTCTGATTTATGGAGTGGAGTCTGTTGTATGGTGTTCAGTGACAAGGTGTAAATACTGTCTACAGCTTGTCTGTTAATGATTGTGGCTATTTTTGCACAAACAATACTTGCTTGAAGTGTCATTTCATTGCTATGACTGTTGTTAATATTGGATAATAGAATGGTAAAAATTGAACTTAGATAAGGTGTTAAAATATTGGGCGCTCGAATCATAGTTCGAATTACACATTCAACAAAGACAGAGCATACATATTCAAATTGCTCTTCAGATTGAGGATTATCTAATTGACTCGCAAAAGTTTGAAGAATGCTGACTAGATATGGATCTTTTTCTTGACAAGAACCAACATCTGAACTAATGCGAAAATGATACTTGTCCAGAAATCCTAAACCTATTGTACTCCCAATAAGCTCTCGAATGGAAAAATGAGTATGTCTCAGAAATGGAATTAATTTGTAGTCCACAAGATGTTGGTACCAGTGTTTGATGGCTCCACAGTTAGCAAGAACATGAAACGTTAAATTGAGAATCTTTGTTTGTAATAGTGTGTCAGCATTGCCAAGGTCAAGGCTAGATATTAGGAAATCAATTAATTCCTTATTTCTTCGATAATCTAAATCTCGAACGCAATGGGCGAGAGCATGTGACACTATTAAATTGCATGAGTTATGAGAACTCAGCCCTACCATTCTTTCAAGTTTGGGGAGAAGAAGACCAAACAGTTTTCTACGGACTTGAGCTTGCCAGTGTTTTGATCCTCGTACACATCCAGTAAATATTTCGCTTGACATTCGAATCACAAAATCAAGACTCGGATCATCATTTGAAATTGATAATATAGAATCCCAAAAAGTGTTGAAAATGTCAATAATTTTTGGGCCAATTACTTGACAAAGTCCTTTAAAAAAGAATGCCATTTGCATTCTAAATGTAGGGGTTGTCGATGTGTCTCCATCCGTGGCATAGTCGAAAAATTGTTTCCACCAAGCAGTATCATTCATCAACCTTTGAATTACCTCTAATGATATATAGAATGATGATGGTTGTAATTGCATGGAGTAATCATATACTTTCAGCTCATTCGGTAAAAATGAAAGCACACCGTTTACATCTGACAAATACCCTGTCGCGTAATGATAAGGTTTGTCAATCATTGCACTGCATGAGCAGGCATCAACCCTATGTTCTATCAAACTTTTGATTGTGTCAGAATTGTTCAAAATCTGAAAAGGTTGGTGTGGCTTGAGTTGGAGAAGTACTCTATTCATTGTACTCAAGGATAACATTCTCAAATTCGTGTTCTCGCTGATCATACATTTCGCAATTAACCTTAAATATTCATGAGGGAAGGTGTCGTGTTCAGATTTGGGATCTTGCCACACCAACATTTTTAAAATTTTCATAATAACTACTTGATAATTCCAAGACATGCTGTTTCGTTCCAAAAGAGTTGCCAGGTTATGAACTGTAATTTTGTAGAGCTTACTTGACTCATCATTCAGTATTGGAATTTCAAAAAACAATGATGCATACAGTGCTATCACAATGTGGATCTTTGAAAGCACCTCATGATCATCCGTAGAGCACAAGAATAGCGTATGGAAACAACGGCTCACCTGCAACCAGCTTCTACAAATGGTCTTGATAACATTAAGAGATGACAAAAATTCAATGCACCCTATCACTTGATATTTGTTTGTGCATGATGGATCTGTTAAGGTTGAAATGCATGTTGAAATGTATGGATCTAGCAGCTTCCTATGAGAGCGTTTAAACAAATTGGAAATTTTGAAAAAGCATATTTTAGCTTTTTCACGAATGTTTTCATATTCCGATGTTGTGGCCAAATGAAATAAATCATTGAGAAGAGTGGCATGCACTTCGCTGAAATACTTTTCATGTAGACAGCACTTTGTTCGTTGCAGTGCTTCTCTCCATTTGTAAAGTATAAGAATTCGGTCAAGAACTGCAGCTCTTGGATAATGATGCTTTCTATTTAAACTCTTAAAATAATACATCTTGATGGCGTTCCATAATTGTGTTGTGTTTTCTCTGGTGCTTGTATAGTTCATTCTTCGATAGACGATACATATTTGAATGAGGTCGATTAGAGAAGTGATTATATCTGTGTTGTCTGTTGATTTGTGTTCAGTTAATGTGCTTGTGTTCATACGGGAGGTAAACTCTTTCAGAATTAAGGAGAGTTTTTTTGCAATGTCAAGTCTTGAATACTTGCTGCTTGCAATCGTAGAGAAGAATTTTGTTGATTGCTCAGCATTTTCTGGAATCTCATCGAGCATCATTGAGCTTCCTTTCATGACATATCTCAATAGAGTTAATGTTGTAAGAAGATCATCTGTCTCATCTATGCATCGATTATCGAGTTTTGTCATAATTAGATCCATACATATGTCATATATCAAACCAGCTTCTATAAGCTCTTCGCTTCTTGGGATATGCCATTTTGCTTCAATTTCAGTCTCTGAATTGAGGTCCACTAACTTTCCCCAGTGGAGAAAATGATTGGTTTTCATAAAACTTGAAGAATTCCATGTTGAAAAAGGAACACTCCTTTTTTCCAAGAGGTATACAGTAGTTAAGCTTTCAATATAATGTCGCACAAGTTTTCCAATGGCGGTTATTATACTTAAATCTACTTCTTTCTTCATGCGGTTTAAATGGACGTCAATGATTTGTCTGACTATATTTGCATGGTGGATGGCATTATTATTATTCTTAAAACTTTTTCCAACAATTTTTAAATAGTAACTGAGCTCCTTATCGGTCATGTTATTGTCGCTTCGTATTACTTTTGGTACCAACTCTGAGATAACAATGGTCATTGGATTATAGTGATCACAGTAGTAGGAGCTTGCATAATGGATCAAGTCCCTAAATTGTTTAGAACAATCTGGTAAAAAATTTGTGGTCAAATACAAGACAATTTTCTGGAAGCACAATTTGTGAAGTCGAGGTGAGAGCTGTTGAAAGAAAAGCGAGACGGAAATCATTACTCTGTAGTAATTCTTGGAAAGATCAGTATATGTCACGTTGCTTAAAAATTCTAGTGTTCGGTTGACAAATTCAATTGCAAAATCCTCAAAAAGAGATACAGCTGATGGCGTTTCGTTAGCATTACTTGATTCGATAATGGGAACAAGCTGGAAAACACGGGACAGAAACTCATATGCGCGAATTGCTTTCATGTTGTCTGTGATCTCAATATTTAAGACAATCGTCATCAAAACTTGAGATAAATACTCTCTAATTTCTGGAACTTCATCACAACGTGACAAGAGTGGAATTAATACAACATTTAACAACTCTATGGTAGTTGAAATCTGGTTCGCCTTACTAAAATTTTGCAAGCTATTCTGAATAATTTCAAAAATAGATGCAATTATACGCTTGGGTCGAATAAAGCAGAGGTGTTTCATAACTTCAATGTCAACTATCCATATTTCAACATCCTCTGAAAATAAAATAGCTTTTGATACAGAAAATACCATGTCCACAATCTCATCCACCACTTTAGGTGACAGCTGCATTGTGGACGTAGACGCTTGTTCTCGTTTTAACCTTTTAGTTAAAGCTCTTATTAGTTCATGCATAAATGCAATTAAATTTGAGTTCCATAAGAATTGATCATCTACGGAATGAACCAGTTGTGACAAAAATTGTAGCGTTTCTGGGAAATCTAATAAATAAACACAAAGTTGAGCAGCATATTTGAGGGCAATTCCTTTGGGAGAGTCGGACCAAAATAGATTGCATGCTTCGGGTGGATCAGCGCCTGTGGATGATGCCAATCGATACAACCTTGATACACTGTTATCATCTTGATTTTCTACAGATAATTTCACACCCATTTTGTTGCTTAACGCAGAGACGGTAATTTTGACAGGTACATCCATACATCTTAAAATTTCGGAGAAAATATCATCTAAATGAGGTTGAAAGATCTGAATGTCTCCACACCGATCTCTCGACATGCGATAAAATAATGAAAAGAAGTTCACCTCAATTAAGGGCGAGTTAGAGGTGGTAGAGTTCCAAAGCTCAATTAAATGGTCAATCCAATAATTGCATTTTCCTTGCAGGTAGTCGACAGCTCGGAAGCTTGTAGGTAGGAACAAACATAGACAGCACAATGATATGTAATACTCGGTATGATAGACAGACATTCTTCCTGTAAAAGTATCTAGTATTTCTTTTGTTGCAGTGGTTGGAAAGAAATTTCTCAATTTACAAATGGCCTTAATTAATGATAACCCATACTTGATGAATAGCTCAGGATTACTTGGAACACCATAGTCCACTTGACGCTGCTTTTTAAAAAATGATTGTCTGATCAACTCATACAATCTCTTCCAGCATGTTATTGCTTTCATCGATGGGCTATTCTGCATTCCCGAAACTACCTTTCTTTGTTTGAGAAGTGTGTAGAGTAGCTCTGCAATTTTTGTACGAATTTCAATGAAACCAATTCCTCCAAATTTTTCTTCCACAAGAAAAGGAAGAGTCAAATCCAGTATCTCAATTCGTTCTTCAATTGAAAATGAATATTCCAAACTAATGTATTTGTTAAAAAGACTGATAGATTCATTCAATGTATGAAAGAAACAAGACTCTTCTTCTGAATTTTTGAGCTCGGACCTGGAGAGATCAAGAGCAGATTGAAATCCTTTCAAAATTTTGTTTTTGAGCCTGGGAATTTCTTCCATCATCTCTTGCTTGGCAAAGGCAGGCTGATGCAACAGAAATTTATGCAACATGATCAAGCTCTTGGTGATATATTTCTTTCCGTGATGATGATGGAAGAGTCCGAGAAAGGGAGGAGGTGACCTATTTTCTTCTTCTTGGTAAAATGTTCTTGGCCTCCATCATTTTTTCCTTTTTAAAAAATCAGAACCTTTTTTTGGGTTTTTTTTCAAAACGAAATGATAAAATATTTTCAGAGGTGGAACAATTTTTTACGATTTTAATATTTGATAATATTGAAATTTCATTGAAATGAAACAACATGTAAAGATTTATTTCATTCGTGTTGTAGAAGAGAAGAAGAAGATGGTCCAAACCTTCGTTCCAATTTCTTAATAGAGTTCTTACCACGAAAGTAAACCATATATTTTACACTCCAGTTTTAGACTTGTGTGGCAAGGGATGCTCATCCACGTGTGTACGATAGCCTCCTTCTGCTTGACTCAATACAAGATCATCAAATGGAACATGTAAATTAAAATCAATCTTTTCCTTATCTTGTGCCACGAATGGTTCCAAGAATTGTTTGGTTCTCTTATTCGAGTCAGAAATATCCAAACGAGCAATTCTCAATTTCTCATTACCGTGAAGTTTGGGTCCAAAGGTATGAGATTTGAAACGTGGCAGAAAGTGAGTAATTTCCTCTTCGTAGGATCCATCTTCACTTCGATAGAAGGCAGTGACACTGGTAGGAGTGTCCGTGTTGTTGGTAATTCGAGAGGAATAGAGTCTTCCGTGAGGTTGGTGATGCATCAAGGTGTTGACTGTACAAGATCAAGAAATGGTTGTTTTTTTTTTTGAGGGAAAGCGAAGAGAGGCCTGTGAACAGAGTGGTTAAAGTACCATAAGGTGGGCATTAAATAAAGTAATTTCACAATTTCGGAAAGTGTTTAAAATGAACAATTAATATTCATGAGGTTCTTTTTGAATGCTCATCTCTCTCTGGCTCTCATTTAGTAGAAGTATTTATCATCAAGTACGTGATTGATGCTTTTGGGTAAATTCATTGAATTGACCTTTTCATTCAAAGACCCAAAAGTGGCCACTTTTGAAAATGGTTGAACTATTCAATTTGAGAGCTATTTGTGATATTCAAAATATACCTACTGAACGACAGACACGGACTCAACAAGACAAAGCCGAACACTATTAACAAGTACTAGTAAAATTTAAAAGCTTGCTTAAAATAAATTAATGAACATTTACAAATCTAGAGATCATTAACTACAACCTAGTTGATGACAATTCCACATCTTCGAAACGTTCATGTTGTGGCAGTGAGGCCGTCGAATTTCCATTCAATCCATCTAAATTTTCTTCCTTTGGTGTTTGTTGAGTCGTTGTTGGTTGAATGGACTGAACTGCTTCATCTCTCTGGCTGCTCTGTTGTTTCTTCTGAGCATCTTCCTTCTCGTGTCTCTCAAGCTCTAGCTGCCATGTATTTCCATCTATTTCTGACTTTTGTTTGGCTAATTTTGGGAAAATTGCAAAGAAGATGATAATAGAAAAATAAGGTACAATAATGAAAAGCCCAATAGTCAAGCTGAGCCAATCAAATTCCTTCGATCCATGTGGCTTTGTCGAGTATGGTGTAATAAATTCCTTAACAAGTTGAATACTAAATAATATCAATAAAATGACAGGATTCACAAACTTAATTAAAATACTCCATTCCCTGTGTGGTCCAAAGTTACAAATGGCCTTAATTTTCAGTCGATATTCGTCCACACTGTGAAAGAGAATGGTGGAAAATATATTCCAATATTTTTTCAATTTGTTTTTCAATCGTCGATTTCGTTCGCTACGAATGGAAGATGCATCCAAAGGATCCAAGGTTGGTGTAGAAATTGGATGTTCATTGATAGTACCGTATCCTCCAGGAGAATCGACCGACGTTTCTTCAATGGAGGAATAAGCAGAAGCTTTCCATTGCCGTTTCACCTTACTCCACAAGCTTTCGTTTGAAATGAAATATCCAATTAACACACATTGTGCAATGGCTGTGAATACTAGACAAAAATCACTAATGTAATGATCGACAATGTCCATCAAGTAATATCCACTGTAATGAATGAACATTAATTGTTGAATTTTAAGAGTGGATGTCAACAATGTTTGAATCATATTGTCAATGTTATACCGTTTGGAAAAATTGTTTTAAATCGTCATGCTTTGAATTTGTTAAATCAAAAACTTACTTGTCCAAACAATATGGAATTCCGGTAATAAACCCGAAGAGACATGTTCCCAGAGAAATCCAATGAATCTTGAGATTTGGAAATGCATCATGAATGGTCTATTATCGGCACAATTATTATTGTAATTATTATCAAGAATTCATTGATTCAACATTACATATTTGATCCAATAAATTCATACTTACACCATTGACACCTTCAATCATACCAAAACATGAATCAACTAAAGAATTGGTTGTGTGAAACAAAATGTTCTATGATACTTACTCGATAAGGTGAGCATGGCCACTAAAAACAAAATACAGAACAAATGAGGTACAGGCATGAGAGATATGGACTCTGGCACAACCACAAATGCTAAAGCCAATCCTCCTTGTACAACCTCATCGACACCAAGACCCTTCGTATGAGCCATGTATCCGAGAATTGCAAACATGCAAAAACCTGCGAAAATACTAAATAAATAAGTAGAAACTCCAATAATCCAAGCATCTTTGACAATGTTCTGTTTTGGATCGTTGTAAGATGAAAGAGCAATCATGGTTCCACTCGCCAAGCTCAACGAAAAGAATATCTGACCAGCTGCAGAGAGCCAAATCTCCACATTCAATAATTTTGTAAAGTCTGGTTTAATAAAGTACCACATGCCTGAGAAGGAACCCTCCAAAAAGAAGCTTGTAATAAGCATGATCAAGAGTAGAATGATAGGCAATGGAACTGTCACATAGGTAATCACTCCTGTACTATTTGTTCCTTTCCAAACTCCAAAATAAACAAGTATCCACACAATGAGTAATGAAATCAAGATTGGAACATTCATTTCAGTAACGATGGTGTCACTTGGACTCTTTCGAATAATAGTCTCAAAGAAATACTTTTCAGCTTGGTCTTTCCAAGGCAATGTCCACGACCACATATGATAAAAGTAGACAAAAATCCAAGAGATTAATACACTATAATAGGAACAAATTACAAATCCTCCAAAAATCACAGCAGCAATACCAATGCCTCTCGCTCGATCATGGAGTAGTCCATTGGCTTTGATGGCTGCCCTTCTCAACATTTGTCCAGCACTCAATTCAAGAATTAATAACGGTATTCCAAGAGCAACTAAACTAATGGTATATGGAATTAAGAAGGCTCCACCACCATTCTTATAAGCGAGGTAGGGAAACCGAACAAATGATCCAAAACCAATAGCAGCTCCCAACGATGCCAGAATGAATGAAATTCGAGAACCCCAAGCTTGACGGATGTGTTTTTGGTGTTGTTCTGGTGAAGAAGTTGATGAGGATTGGTGATGTTGTGGTTTTTCAATGGATGATGGTTCTTCCGTTGATCCAATTTGTTCATTCGGATCGTGATGAAGATGGTGGTGAGACTGATCATCAAGATGACTGAAGGCAACTTGTTCTCGAGGAAATTTTGTAACGATCGGAGAGGGAGTGTTGTGTTTCTTTGATTGACTGGTCATCATCATGTGGGAGTGTTCATCAAAGTCATTCATGGATTCGGAAGTGATCATGGTCATGGAAGAAGAGGGATCTTCTTCTTCTTGGTGATTCATGTTCCTCCTGTTGTGATGATCAACATTTTCGTGATCTTCTGGATGTTGATGATGATGATGAATAATTACATTGTGATGACGAGGTATGAGATCATTATCTGTCACCTCTTGGAGAGGATTCGTGTGTGTTGGAAACGATGAAAACGACATTTTTTCTTTCCCTTCACTTGGAGATTACCAGTCCCTTTGGAACTGACCAATCAAAAGAATTCTCGGAGAAAAAAACCCACAGAAGTTTACAAAACATCATTTTCCAGAGGTAATTACTGTGTGGAATCGTCGTAATCTCCGGATCGAAATTTCTGAATTTTGGGTCTTGTTCTCTGTGAATTTCTCTAGTTTTATTTCCATAATTGGTGTAATCACAGAGAACAAAACAACCTAGTAATTTTCCTAGCAGAAAGTATTATAAATTAATGATTCAATTATTGGTGTTTGGAGGATGAAGGGGAAGAGGGAGAATTGTCTGAACTTGAAGATCCTGTCTGCTTCTTTTTTTCTTGAACTAAGGCGTGAAAAGGTATAAGGTTTAACCGGTACCAATGACGGTGACTGTGGTGACTCTGGTGTGTTCGTTTCTTCAGAATTGCTGCCAGGTGTGGAGGTGTCCTTTCGTTTTCTCGTTCTTCGTCGTGTGGTGACGCTTGTAGATTGTTGGTCGCCTGTTGTCCCTTGAAGATTGTTTTCAGAAGAATTAGTGGTGCTCTCTGGTTCGTGTTGGAGAGGGCCATTGGTGGTGGATGGTTGGGGCTTGTTGTTGGGTTTTTGAGAAGCTATCAACGATGGAGAAAGGTCTTCCTCATTTTCTCTATTGTACATTTCAATTTCTGGTTCATCCAAATATTTCACTTCCTTATAAATTTCTTCTTCTTGTTCTTTAAGTTGTTGAATGGCCTCTAATTTAAGGTCATGTTGATCTTTTTTCCGTAATGTGTTAAATTTCTGTGCAAATTTTGGTATTGAAGATGACACGTCAAAATCATTCTTATTCATCTGTTTCATTTGTTTCTCCACCAAATCTTTTTGTTTTGATGCATAATCTTGCTCAGACTTAATAGCAGCTTTTAACTTGAGAAATTTCTCTTTGAGATCATATAAATTTACAAGTCTAATCTCGTTCTCGATTCTCGTCTCGTGTTCTTTTTTCTTTCTATCAACATTGTTGTAACGAGATTCCCACAACTTTTTCACAGCTACTATATCATGCTCTTGTAATTTTACATTAAAAAATCGGCTTAAATCAATAATGGAAGCCGTAGAAAACCATGATATTTTTCCATTCTTACAAGCTCTATTCATAAGTGCAATTATGCATTCAAAATCCTTTTTTGATAGTGGATTCCTACGCCCTGTGTTATATTCATTAAGCCACTTTTCGTCGTCACTCTCCATGTTGTACTCAAGAGAAATATCAATTTTACGATGGCAATAGGTGTCAAACTCTGCGTGTAAATTTGGTGTTGGATTTAACATTAATGTTTCATGGTCGTAATTCTCAGTGTTGGTATATTTCATATAGTGATGAGTTCTTCGAAATCCCTTTCTAGCGGTTGTATCTTTAGCAACTGTGAAATTTGGGACAGGAACATTTGTCAAATCTGCTCCCTTATCCTCTAGTTCCTCGAGCTCGTTAAAATCTCGATATTTCCGGCTAGTATGTGTGCTGTCGATCAGTGTCACAGTACCGGTACGTTGTTTCTCATCGGCAAGTAATTGTAAATCTGCCTCAGATAATGAGTTGACCGTAACTGATAATCGGGAAATGTCAGAATCTTGTTTCTTAGGGCTTGATTTGTTGACAGGCATCGATTTGCTTTCTTTCACGGCTTGTGAAATTTTTGTACGTAACTTATTCAATGAAATCAGATCTTCTGGTCGGAGCACTAGCAACTTTTTCGAAACATCGAGTTTTCGAGGCCTCGACAATGTAGAAGATGAAGGTGTCTGGGGAGTGCTAGCCACAGAAGGCGTGTTATTACCACCTTTTCGACTGCGTTGCTGAGAACGTGTTGGAGTTTTGGGCACTGCTTCTGCATTGGCTGTTGTTTCTGGGTCTTCATCATCATCACCATCATCACTCAACTCACGGTTCGTGATTCTATTGTCATCATCGGCTTCCTCATCGGATGATGACTGGGCCGATGATTGTCGTTTTCTCTTGTTGTTGCTTGCAACTGGAGTACTGGATCTGGTAATAGACTTTTTCGGTGTGTTGGAAGTCTTTTTTGATGATTTCCTTGATGGTTGTGTATCATCGCCACTCAAGTCCATCATGGGGTCAGAGTTGGCGGGTTCTGATGAATTTTGTTCTGGTGCAAGCTTATTAGTTTTCTCGTCGCGACCTTCTTCCGTTTCGAATGGAACGTTGTTGTTGGATTTTCTGCCATTTAGTTTTTTAACGGGGAAATCGAGTATTTCCTCTTGGTCGTTTGTTGTTGCTTGATGAGGCTTGATATTGTTTGTTATACTATCCATGGTGGGCGTTAATGTGGTAGAATCAGATGAACGCTCTTGTTGTTGCCTGTTGATGATGTTGTTGTTGGAGGAGGATGAATTGATGTCATTATCGGAGTCATCAGAAAGTTGTTGATCATCGGATTTAGAGGTTGATGTGGTTGGTTGGTTTGTCGTTGATGATGTTGCTGAAGGAATTGACTCCTCTTCGCTGATGATTTTCGATGATGGTACTTCATCATCATCATTCTTTCTTTCTAAAGGAGTGGTCTTCGCTTTCTTCTTCTTTGGTGTTTTCTTCCTTGGCATTTTTTGTTTTCTTTTTTCATCATGACATTTTCTCGTTTCTTTCAAGCATTGCTTTCGTTTTACTTTTCATTCTGAGTTTTCTGGAGATGCAGGTTGTCAAGAAACTTCAACATCTAATTAAATTTATTATTTATTCATCATTTCATATATGTGAATCGGGTGTGGTATAGTGGTAGCATTCCAGACTGTCACTCTGGCGACCCGGGTTCAATTCCCGGCACTCGAGTAATATTTTTGTTGTTTATTTCTCAACTTTTCCCTTCTTTGAGTATGCTGATGCAACAGCTAGATTCTTTTCCTTCAATTTTTTTTCTGCCAATTCTTTCAAATCCAAACGAAGACCCAACAAAAAAGCAATTCGAACAACACGAATAGTGGAGCGATGAAAATTTGGAAAACGTTATCTATAAGTGCAGGTCTCTGTTGTTTTGGAGTCGTGGTGTTAAATGAATGCATTTTAGCTGGTATTGGATGTCACACTTACCTTTCCCTCTGTTGTGGAGGTTCAATATGACAATCAATCACATGGAATTGATATCATGGTTTGTGATGTACCTTAACCTTTGAGAAACAAAACATCAACATACCCAAATAATGTCCATAGAATTGAGTTGCCCATCCAATAACTTGAATAATTACAGCAAACCAATAGTACGTGGAAGGTGAATGAATCCATCTCAAATGAAAATAATGGGAAAGAACAACCATTCCAAAAAATTCCAATGACAATAAAAACTGTGTTCGTCAAATGGGTTTTAAAGGTTAAAAGAGCAGAAAATAGTGGGACATGATTATTAATGTCGTGTGTGACAGCATTACCACCAATCACGTCATTGTTGAAAAAGTAGCGGTATTGTGATTGATCATCAACATTATTGCAATTGTCACAACGTTGCGAATCAATTGATTGATTTATGAAATTGACCGAGTTTTGATTTTCGAAAACTTACTCCAGCAATTCGATCCAAAATCAAATAATAGACCATCAACACAGCAGAAACCAAAACCGCTAAATTACACCATTCCGAACTCAATTTTAAAACATCCACAATCAGCCATCTCACCGTATCAACATGTTGCAAATCAACCTTGAAACACAACATGATCAATGACAAGGCAATCACTGGAACAAACACAAAATGAATCATCTGATTGGTTGGGCTCTGATGATAATAATAATAATTTACAAATTGATCAGAAACGGAGAAGATTCTAGAGAATAGAGAACCTCTCTTGACCGTATCGGAACTGTTAGCGGTTGATGATGAAGACATTTTTAATAAGAATGAAAAACCTTGTAGTTCAAGTTTGGAAAATTGGATTTGCGGAGGACAAAAAACATGATACATGTACGAAATACATTCTGATGGCATATATATGCTCTGATATGACTCAGAAGAAGAGTTTTCTGCTTAATATGAGAACTCGATCGCTCTTTCATGAATCATCTGATTGAAATTATGATTCTTTGGGTTAAAAGAAGAAGCTCTCTCTTAAGGCTCCGATTGACGAGCGGTCATGTGGGGAGGACTCTTTTCAAACAAGTCATCTTCCATATAATCATTCTGAACCGTCTGTTGTTCCTTCAAAGATTCCTCTCGGATTGGGATTTGGTCCATCACGATTGAATCCATTCTCTTCAAATTTCTTCTCTTCAAACACCACACGGCATACGAAAACACCATCACATGATGAGAGAGAGGCTTTAGAATCTTCCAAATGGAAATCCATCCCATCCACAAGCCATACATTGTGAGATAGATGATATGAAAAGCAAATTCTCCCAACGTCAGAATATGAACCACAATGATGGAAAAGTAACCCGGAATCATCACCACATAGAACATTAGGAGCTCTTGAAGATAGTGCTGCACTTGCTTTTTCAGCCGAAATGATGAAATTTTCAAAACTTCATTTTCCTTAAAGAGATACGAGTCGTCATGATGGAGGACATGACCTTTTGAATGCATGATTTCATCATCTTGTCGTGTTTGGATGGATTCCTTCAGAGAGAGCTGAGAAAGAACCTTTGTGGTGAGTTGAGACAACCATAAGGAAAACACACTCAATGAAAAGACACAGCATGCAATGACTGACCACAATTGCATGGCCCATATTGAATGAGGGTCATAATTGTGAGTATAAATCACCTCCATGTACAAGTAAATGATGAACAGTAAGGGAAGGAGAGCTACCACAAAAGGAGACCAAGTAAGGAAGATCCAATACCAGCACTGAGTGAGAATATTTGGTGAACGTGACAATTGACCAATACTTGGATTCGTTCGTTGATGGAGCTTCTTTGGGAGGATGTGATTCTCAAGATGATATTCAATCATGTTTTCAAATGGTTTTGAAAAGATGCATCTGAAAAGTAATGTTGCGAAACGTGATCGACACGATGTTGTGCTGTTCCTTCTCAATAACCAAAGAGTGATTGAAATGGTGAGAACACAAAGAAGGGACATGATCGAGTTGAAAATGACCAAATTCCATGGCACCACTCGATAGATCAAAGTTTTCACAAAGTATGGATACCACAGGTAGGATGGATCCAAAACAGGAAATGCATAATAGGTCCATGGTTTGACAGGAATGGTCATGTGAATGGCCACAAATGCATTTCCATACTTCTTTTCCCATGCTTCTTTTGAAAGGAAAGCAAGTTGAATCTGTCCATTGAAATGAAATGGTAAACGGTATATGGCATCTGCAAGTTGAGCTCCATCCTTAGACGTTCGAGACACTACTTCCTTATGAAATTCTTCATTCGACCCTAATGCCGCCTCCCTTAATGGCCATGCACGACTATGACGGTTAAATTCAAAATATCGATTAATGAAACCTTGTTCTCCTCCGTCATAGCTCTGGAAGGATGGATCTTTCAACTTGTCAATCATGTCCTTGAATCGATCAGAACTTGGTTTCAGAACCATGAGACCTCCATTAAAGTACTCTGGAACGCACAAATCACTCACTGCACAAAAGTAACCACACGAGAATAAGTGTTCGATTTGAGGTTTCAACACGACGACATCGGCATCGAAATACACAATTTTTTGGAAATGAAATGCATCCAACTTCCACATATGAAGTTTGTTAAACGTGTCAATATAACGATCCTCCACATTATTCGAAGCCATATGTTTTCCTTCGGTAGGATTCGTAATGTAAGAGGCAATATATATTCTAAATCGAGGAAGGTCCTGTGGATGAATGGACTGCAAAAGACCAGTAATTACTTGAACTGTTTTTTGAACAACCTCTTGCTCGGAGAGACCTTTCCCTTCGTCGATGCGTGGAGGAACAACCACCAAAACAAACGGAATGGAAGATTTGGAATTTTCAACAAGACTCTGGAAGAGTGTCAGCACTCCAATCGTGTATTCGAATGCTTTTCGGGGATGTGTGGAAACAGATAAAAAGGTGGAATATGCATTCGATACATTATTGGGATTGATATTGTCGAGCGTGTTGAACATTTGTTTCATTTCGTCTAAGGTTCTCGCATTTCTTAACTTTTCAATGCTTTCAAAATTGTAAATGACCGTTTTTGGATCTTTGTCTAGCAACATGCTGGATGAAAGAATGGTCGGCGAGTTGGGTTCCAATGGTTTTAAAACCGAGACGTCTTCTGTGTGTGAGGTGGTATTCAGAAAGAGTAAAAGAACGAACCCGATCCAAACAGTGATTGTGACGCAAACAATTACAATTTTGTTTCGGTTCATCCATAATGGTTTTGAAGGAGAGTTTTCATTGTCGGAAAGGACGTGACTGTGCTGTTGTATAGCTGATATGGTGCTGTTTTCATTCATATTAAAAGTAGATGGAATGGTTTTTTGTGTTGATTGTTACAGCCGCATGTGACTGGGAAAAGAAGTTTGCAATTTTTATGAGTTTCAGAAGAAGGATCTTACCGCTGACGTGACTTCGCTGGCTTGAAACTATCTCTTGTTAAACCTCTTACCTAATACTCTCTTTGTTGGCGCTATATTGGAACGGAGAAGGAAAGCTTTTTTAGGGTACTTCTATATTTGGAGTTTGTGCTTTTTGGAAATGTTAAAGGTATCAACATTAAATTAATAATGTTAATTATTTAAATGTTAACAATATTTCATTCGCCTTCTACACTCTTGAATTTGCTTGATTTGTATCTCAAACAACAATCAATAATATACTGTTGATTGTTGAGAAGTTCAAGGGCTTTTTGGAAAGAGAGAATTTCCTTCTCAATTACTTCTCCAGAAACATCATCGACGGTTGACGTAGTGTCATGATCATGCTCGAATAAATTTTGGAAATAAATCTGTTTTTGTTTTGAAGTCAATGCCTTCCCTTGTAAACATTTCCAATATTCAAGTCTTTCTTTGCGATTAAGCTTACTGGTAACTATTCTTCTTTTACCTGCAATCATTTGATTAATAGTGTTGCAAACATTGACATCTATATGGCGTGGATTTGATAAAATATAATTCCTCATAATTGGAATTCGAGATCGCACACGTTCACTATATCTCGCATACCTTTCATAATGCATGAATATATTGTTCGAAATACATGGATAGCCATGTGTAAATTCTTTCTTTTGATAGCAAGAACAACCATCTATTATTCCACACACACATGACACAATATAACAAAAAAGGGGAATCACAGATCTCGGGCATAGATTAAATTGAGTTAATGTTGGAACACATTTCGATAACACAGTGTCTTCGAGATACTGCTCTCCTATCAGTGTTGGTGACACATTTCTTCCATGAAAAACATAAAGAAAGCAATTTTGTAAAACGTTCAAGTCAGAAAGTGGAATATGACGAATGTTTTCCGAAGGTGGTTTTTGCAATTTTTCGTTCATGAAATCATGAGTTTCAGTAGAAATATAAATAAACGCTCCAGGAGTGTAAGGATGTCCGAATAATCCAAAACCGGCATCATAGGGATATTTTGTTCGAGCAATAATACATTCATCGAGTCCACTAATCTTCATTTTGATTTTTACCTGAAGAATGTCAAAAATTCGATCCTCAAGATGAATAATATCATTATCTTTGGAATAGGTTTGCAGTGTTCCATTATTGTCAGTACAATAAATATTCTCCACTCGAATTCTGCCAAATAGAAATTTTGCAAATTGATTCAAAAACGGATGAACCATTGATTGTTTCATAAAATGCATTTGATTACTAAAATCAAAGAAACCAAGGCTATTGATCTTGTGAGTCGTTCTCAATCTGTACTTTGAGAAATGATCTCGGATCATATTTCTCCAAAATAAATCATCCTTTTCCAACACAGTGGTTTCAATACTTGTTTTTCCTTTCTTATTATTACTCAACAGGTGAAAATACCATTCCCACAAAGCATTGCTCCTAGCAATTTCATTCCAATGAGTGCAAACGAGACTAATTTTCGGAACATGAGAGAAATCTAGAAACTTGAAAATTGACAGCAAACAATCTGAATCAAACATTTTTTTTGAAAAAGAAGGAGAAATGCAACTCATCTTTGAAATTTCAAAGTTAGAAATGAACTCCAGAGAGATGATGATGATGGTGATCAATCAGTGAAGTTGTGTTTTTCAAAGATTTAAATGTGTCTTCACGGTAGGCTTACGCAAG